CAGCATCAGGGGTTCCTCAGGGTTCTCTCTTAGGCCGTTGATGTTTTAGATTTTTATTAACGACCTGCCCTGTCAACTGAACTGCTCTGCGCTTCTTTGCGCTGACGACGTAAATATTTGGAGAGCAATAAACTCATCGGAAGACTCCGACAGATTGCAGGCTGACCTGAAAACTCTAGGAGACTGGGTTCTGGCTAACGGAATGCCTTTCAACCTAAAGAAGTGCAAAGTAGTGCAACTTCATTCCGGCAGGTCACAGAGTGTAAATTACACCCTTGGTGGCCAGAACTTGAGTTGTGTGCCATCAGAACGCGACCTAGGTCTTATTTTAACAGAAAAGCTAGACACCAGTGTAAATTACACGAGGGACGTCGCCAAAGCTTACGCAACTTTACACTTTATGCATAGGCAGCCGGGAGCTCTTACTCCCAAACTATTCTTAACGTTGTATACGACATACGTGAGGCCACTCCTTGAGGTGCATAATATCGCTGCCCCTCCACTACTCAAAAGGGATGCTAGCATTCTAGAAAGTGTCCAGAGACGAGCGACAAAATGGATAATCGGCCTCCGCAACAAATCATATGAGGAAAGACTGAAGAAATTAAGTCTTTTCACACTCAGTTACCGTAGTCACAGGGGAGACCTCATCACCGTCTATAAGATCTTAAATGACCAGGCCCACCCTAATAAAAGCATCCTGCCATTAAGTGACTATAGGCTTCCACGAGGTAACCCGCTAAGGATAGCACACCAGAGACCAAAGACTCGAGTGCGTTCACATTTCTTTTCGCTTCGAGTTTGCCGTCTCTGGAACGCCTTGCCGGCGGCCGTGACTACAGCGCCATCTGTGGAGACTTTTAAGCGGAAGCTGGACAATCATGCAGAAATGCATGGTTTGTGTCTCAATGGCTTATCCTCTTAAAATTTGAAGCCACATTGTCAATGGATAAGCATACAAGCTAAATCCCCACGACCCGTTCTGTCTTCTCTCACTGTACCGACTACTCTATCTTTTCCCTAGGTCACCTTTATTATTTCACTTATCTCAACTTATATTATCTACACTACAACCCATTATTATTATTACTACTCTGCTTTTATGACTACACTGGATGACCAGCGGGTGTTAGGTCAAACTCCATTCACGGCAGCAACTGAGTCCTAACATACTGCACACTACAAACCACATCTTGACCAATCCTCGCACCACTCCTTTTGGAGTCTACCAGAGCTAAAGCAGTCGAGTGGCGGGATTTACTACGCATAAGTTCACCGAAGATCTGAAACCTCTACCTTACAATCGAGAAGCGAGCTCAAAGAAATCACTGGTTTATACTAGCTCATAATCAGGATATTGGATTTCCAATACTTGTATCTAGTTTGGAAATGATCGATAAGCGACTAATAAAGTTTTTCCAAACCTTGTAGTACAAATATGTCACAGACACGTTCAAAGGTTTTGATGAGAAACAAATCACTACAGTGTTATGTCTAACCTTCCTGTAATTTTCCCATAGTTTTGTTTTTCTCCAGCAATTATTGTCATATATTTACTCCGTAATCATTAGCGTTTGCGCGCACTACTCAAAAATGCCAAATTAAGGTATTTTGGCATTCTGTTACTGGAGAATTAATTTCACTTCTCAGTGAACCTTATTACCTAGGTTTTAAGTAAATTGAGCAACAAAGTGGTGCGTTTTGCATTTGCACTATGTTCCCTCCAAAAATCTTTTTGGAGTGTAATTTTTATGATATATCTTCATTCCTATATGATTTTTAAGAGTGAGATGTTCTGAAAAATATTCATATTTTACCTCTATAGCTCGAGCTATAGCTGGCCGCAACTGCTGTAAATATATAAATTACTTCTCATATTCAAGTTTCTGGAAAGATTAATCAATTGCTCATCGCCTTAAACGTCTTGCATTTTATATTCTCATCTATGTTCTTAAAACCATTTTGCCGGAAACTTTCATAGTATCCCTTCATTATGTGTGTTAGGGATGAAGGTGGATTAATCACTGAAACTATATATATTCTATGATAGTTCAGATTCAGATTATAAGGATAGAAGGCTCTTGTTGCCTATGTTAATTCTCGCGATATATATCTCTGCAGAGATCCAGTTTCTCTTTGAAAGCGTTCACCGATGGAGCTGTTACTACTGAATCAGGTAACGAGTTCCAGTCGTTGACCACTCTGTGAGAGAATCTAAACTCCAAACGTATTTTATTCGACCTTGGTTTGAGCACCTTCTTCTGGTGACCCCGTAAATGTATCCTAGAGGGAGAGAAAAGGTTTGAAAGGTCAATCCCTAAATCACCCTTGAATATACGGTAAGCCAAAATTAAGTCGCCTCTCCTCCTTCGGTATGATAATGGGAAGAGATTTAAATGCTCCATCCTCTTATCATAAGGAAGGTGTGAGATACCACTAACTAATTTGGTTCCTACCCTCTGTACTCTTTCCAGGGTATGTGGCTCCTTTTTGAAGCATGGACTCGCCGCTTGTATACAGTACTCTAGATGAGGCCTGACATATGTTGCAAAGAGTACTTGGAACATACCCTCGTCTAATCGTTTGAAAGCTCTTCGAAGTGCCCATAGCATTCGAAAAACCTTAGCTGCGGCTTGATTACAGTTTACCGTTGTTTTTAAGTCATGGCTAACAATAATTCCTAAGTCCTTTTGTTCCCTAACATCTGGCAGTTCTGTGTCCCCCAGGGTGCATTACCGCGCTTTTCTTGGAATTAATTTCCAGACTCCAAAGGTTAGCCCATTCTGTTAATTTGTCTAGATCGTTTTGTAGTACCAACCTATCATCTCTACTGTTTACGGTTTCCCATATCTTAATATCGTCCGCAAATAGTAAGGAAGATGAGGTAAGAATTTTTGGCATTTCATTTACTTATAATAAGAATAGCTGGGGCCAAGTACCGTTCCCTGAGGTACTCCACTTAGTACTGCTTTCCACCCTGACAGTACACCATTAACCCTTACCTTCTGCCTCCTATCCATCAGGTAGTCACTAAACCACTCGCATAAGCGTTGGTCTAATCCAAAATGTTTAAGCTTACTAAGAAGATCTAAGTGGGATACCTTATCGAATGCTTTACTAAGATGGATAAATACAACGTCCAGTAGATGGTTTTTATCCCTGGCCTCGACCCAATCTTCCCTAGCTAACAGTAAGTTTGTCAAGCAGGATCGTCCTGGTCGAAATCCATGTTGTTCCACTACCAGTAAGCCATGTTTTTCCGTATGAGCTAAGAGCTGGTCCCTTATGAGTTTTTCTAACACCTTTGCTATAATACAGGTCAGACTTACAGGCCGGTAGTTAGATACTAACTGCCTGTTCCCATCTTTGAAGATGGGGCTTATAAAAGCATCTTTCCAGTCTCTGGGTAACCTAGTCTGGGTCAGAGACATCTGAAAAATCTCCGTAAGTGGAATGTATATTATATCCGCCAGGGAGCTTAGCAATCTAGGGTGAAGTCCGTCTGGTCCAGGTGATTTACCTGGCTTCAACTTAGACAGTAGTTTCAGAACCATTGCATCATCTACCACACAGACTATAATAAATTTAGTTGTTTAGCTTAACACAAGTATTTTGGTACGAGTATGGAATTTTCAGCTTGTGATATCGGTAGCCCAAATTTTGCAGGCCGACCATAGATATCGGGTGTGCGTTGGCAGGGGATCGAACCTCGGACCATGTGCATGGTCGGCGAGCGTCCTAACCGCTATGCCACCGTGAGACAATTTGAACTTTTTGAGTTGACAAACTCCTGGAGTCAGAATAGTTTAAAATACTATTTGATATCTGTCACCACTAGTGATTCAAATCTTCAGATTTCTTGGGAATATTCTCACAAAATAACCTGGCTTTAGCCCATAAATATTTCATGTAGTTCATTTAAGTTACTGTTAACTTACGTCTGTGTCCAAGTACGTGTTGAATTTTATCAACAAAATATTCTCTCCATGTTCTACATCCACATTTCAGGGAATATACTTTGTTTTGCGAATCTGGCTTTACCCACGGGCTCAGTAACAGTCTGCGTAGTCATGACTAATAACAATTTGAGATTTCCTTGTGTAAAAGAGTCATATCCACTAAAGACTACTAATAACACAATTATACCTAATTTGTTTCGGATATAGTTACAGTTTAGTTACTTTTAAGGAAACAAACCACAACATTAATGATCAAGCGCCCATCCACAACATGTGAAGGTGTAGTCTATATTACGTTTAGTTCACGCCAATTCCTGTGTCACACACATGAATTCCAAAGATAACCATTTTGAACTGATGTGTTTAGTAGTTATGCTAATTTATTCTCGCCATGTTTTGGCTTTCTTTTTTAAAGATCTAAATGCCTGTCTGACGACAATGTGAGATCTCAGTTAGCAATCATTAAGGAAAATCCAGGGATAATAGGTTACAGGTCGTCATTTTCTGCACAGTTGCTCGAGTGATCATCAAATCAATGTGCACCGTGATGGCGAGCTACATAGAATGGCGGGCCACATTGCTGGTGGTCAGACTTTGAAGCTACCGTGAGAAACAGGGTTTCAAGCTGCTTTACTGTTGCTCAGGCAGAAAATATCTATCCGTCTCCATTTAAATTTTTAAAATTGCAATTTATACGGATGATTAACATACTTGAGTGAAATAGTTTCTTGTAAGAATGAAATTAATTTAAAGAATCGATTTTCAGAAGTACCTTGTGTAAGAAACCAAACAATAAATGCTTAACATAAAAATAAATAATATTTAATCTAAATTTTGTGGTTACGTCGTTAAATTTTGCTACTTTTTCGATTTCATTATGCTGCTTCTTTATTACTATAGCATAAATTGTGATAAATGTTTAAAGAATTCACGCCACAATATGAACGAAGAAGCTTCACATGAGCAAGAGGTTTGTAAAGCACTCAAAGATTTGAGGTAAGTGAATGGTGTTTTATAATGTCGCAATTTTAGGCTTTCAATCTTCAACACTCTAATTCATGATGAAATGTGGAATAAAGTGGCTAGTGATATCCTAAAAACACCGTCTTTTAAATCAAATTTAGACAAAAGAATTAACACAGATATAATGTCGATGATCAAGCTACTGCCCAGGTGCGTACATTTGTTTTAGTTTATAGTTCCGTTCTTTCCTTCTTCATAAGAATGTCACATATCTTCTTGGCTTTTGAAAAAAACCCAATTATTTCACTGCCTTGTTCAGGTATGGTTTGAAGGCAACATACTTGCCAGCCACATACGTGGTCTGATTTAAACCCTATCTAGTTCACTAGCTGCTAGCTAAACCTTTAAGGAGGGAAGATTGACAGTGAGGCTAGCAAATTCATTCCGTGTAAGCAACCTCTCCGCCACTGAAATTTCAAAGCCTAAAACCTGAAGTTCAACGTTCCATTGCGAACGCAAAGGAACTAAGAAAGCAACGGAAATTAAAGAATTATTCGTGTATGATGCATACAAAGATTAAGACAGTAACATTTATTGGAAACCAGAAGGGATTATATTTGTCAACCATTTGCACAGTGGAACACATTAAGGGTAAAGATAACAAGATATAGTCAGAAGTTGCAGGACATTATGGCACTAAAGGAGTAGTGAAACCAAAGCAAGCATTAATAACCAGCTTAATATGGAGACAATTTACGAACAGATTCAAGACAAGCAGAGAGTTTCATTATCACCCAGACCCTGTAAATTTGTAGTGGGCTCAGAAGAAAATTTCGGTCTTAATAAAGCTATCATAGAACTTTGGGAGAAGTGGAAGTTACATTCGTGTAAGATAATCATCAACAATTTAGTATGAGTGTATCAGCTAGGCAAGTGCAACGTCCTGTTTGATTCCCGGCCGACAAACTCTTAAGCGTCGTTTAACCGGTAGTACGCCAGAAAACGAGGGAAGGTTAAACATGAGGCTATTGATCCCATCCTGCAGGAAGACAAGATAGTTACTGGAAGTCCAAAATCATTGAAGCCTTGTGCTCATACTGGAAAGCAAGCAATGGAAATAACGAAAATATAAGCCTAATTATTGAGTAAATTCTATCAGTTACTTCTTCGATGTTCTCATAGTAACGGAACTACGGTGTTAGTGCATTGCAGCTTAGTAACCTGTATTTTAAAATTTTTGCTTACTTTACTTCATAGCGTTATAATTGCTCTATATCATATTTGAATTCTTCTTCTCATCTTCAACTAAATCTTTTATTGGCCGAAGCACTGTCACTGATAACCTTTAGTTGTGTCTATACATTAGTAAAAAGCTTGAAATTAAAGTGGAACACCTATGCGGCGTCCTCTAAAGCCTAATAACCTCTCACTTACTATTATTGGTCCTAATTAACTAATCGTTGTTATGCAGTGATTTATCTTTTTGTATAGCACTCTTCAGAATCATTGCAGGAACTCCGCCAACCAGGAACAAGATGGATTCAGGAAGAGGAAATCATCTGCTGACCAAATCGCAGCTCTATTCATCACCACCGAACGAAGCATAGATTGCCAGCCAAACCTCTACATTAACTTCATCGACTTCGAAAAGGCCTTCGACAGACAGCGTTGACCGAGAAGTAATTCGGAAACTGCATCATCACTATGGCGTGAAGTGACCAAGTCTTTATCAACCTTGTTGGACAGTTGGCTATGTGAGAATGTCACGTGTTAGGGGATCCACAACGGAAAACTCAGTTAGGCATTCTAAGCAAGTACAGGAGTAAGACAGGGCTGTCTATTAGCGCCGATGATATTCTTAGTTGTGGTGGACCGGATAATGCATCAGACAGTGGGGAGCGAGGAGACAGGAATACGTTGGACCACAGATAAGAAGGCTCCAGAAGATCTGTATTTCACAGATGACATGTGTCTAATGTCACACAAACTCAAAAACTTGTAGGCAGGAGAATATCAACAAAGTGGTCAAATAGGCTGGTAGCGAAGACAAGACTGCAGGTGAACACTGAAAAGACGGAGGTGATGAAGATAAACAACCAATGATCAGCAGCAACAACAGTCAGAAACGATCACCATCAACAGGAGAGATTTGACTGAGGTGACTTCCTGGATTCACTTATCTAGTGAGCACGGTTTCAGCGACAGCTGACGGAACGGATGAAGATGTCAAAGCAAACTAGGATCAGAAAGGCGACATAAGTCTTGATCAGTGTGAAACCAGTTTGGAAATCTTCTGCACTCCTTAGCACAATGAACAAGATTCGGATTTTCAACACAAATGTTAAGCCAGTCAGTTCTTCTATACCGGTCAGAAACTTGCACTGCGCGTAAGTCACGAAAGGGATTTCCAACAGGCTGCTGCAGCCTTTTATCAAAAGCTATCTCACCTGGCTCCATACTGAAAATCAAATGGACAACCAGTCAGAAAGAATTAGCGACAAGAAACCCCGACTGGCAACAAACTAACCAAGAAACTATCGTGCAACAAATATGTAGGAGAAAATGGGAATGGATTGATCGGGCATATATTGAAGAGGCCATCAAATGACATCGCGCGCCAAGCTAACGATCAAGTAAAGCCCCATTGGAAGCGACGAGTGGGTTGTTGGTGTGAGGGTGACATAGAGGAAATTGTGAGGCTAAAAGTAGGTTAGAGATTTTGGGCGACCGTGGATCCAGTTGAATGAGATGGCAGAAAATAGAAGAAAGTGGAGATGTGTTGTCGAAGCTCTCTGTGTTCCACTCGAAATAATAACAGGTCTCTGACTGACAATGTTTCATGACCTAACTTGAAATCATTCAAATCATTCGAATTCCTCATTTCACTTCCTTGATGTTAAGCTAGATAGAAGAGAGAATGGCACGTTGCTAAGGTCGATTTACCGAAAGCCAACATTCACTGGGCAGTACACTAACTTCAACAGTAGGGTACCGTCAGGGAGAAAGAGAAATCTTATTCATTCCTTATGCTTCAGAATTCGTAAAATCTGCTCTGCAGAGACAATCGATAGTGAACTAGACAACCTTCGATCAAATCTCCTTAATAATGGTTATCCTAGAAGGTTTGTCGAACGTAACTTCAAGAAAGAACACGCCCCTAGACAAATTACAGTGCCAAAGAAGAAACTGTTTATGAGTCTGGCATTCAAAGGTGACACCATTTCGGAACTGATTAAAAATCGTTTATCTAAATGTATTTAACGCACTTTTCCTGCAGCTGACTTGCACCTAGTTTTTACCAGCCGAAATGTGATTAGACAATGCGTCAAGGATAGATTACCGCTTTTGTCCACATCCATGTGTATTTACTCTTTTACCTGCTCTTGTGCACCTGTTTATATTGGACGTTGTAAGCGTAATCTCCGAAAACGTGTAGCTGAACACTATCCAGTCTGGTTAATGAAAGGCGAACGTAGAACTGCAAAGTCGTCTACCTGTGACCACCTGTTAGAGTCAGGTCATTTAGCCCCACGTGATTCATCTTTCAAAGTTATCTACTTGGCAAAATCGAATCGATCCAAAAGTTTACGTTTTCTTCACTTATGCATAGCCGAAGCTTAAGCTATACATGAAGAGAAACCTAAATTATGTGTTCAAAAACGTTTTGTCAAACCCCTTTCTTTACCTTGGTCATAGTAATGTTCTTTCTAGTTTTTTCACTTTATTTTATTTTACCACTTGAATTCTTTCCCCTTCACTTCACATCTTCATTCTTATCGTAATCGTACTCCTAATTTTTTAAAATTTTTAGACAACACTTGACATTTTTAAAACATTTTTCAATTCACTTATAAAACAATCTTTAATAATTTTGTAATTTATCCACTTCAACTCTACCCCTTATAACATTTTAATTATCGTTATTCTTATCACATATATGTATATTGACTGAGCAATTATTTAGTGCCACTTAATGACCTTTTCTGTAATATAAATACGACTGTACAGCTTGAAAATGAAGTCGTTGAAAAGAAATTTCTTCTCTGAACAAAAACTGTGTTTTTACTTATGAATAAATGGGTATTTTTCGTGATTTGAAACCCATATTTGTTAGTTAAGAATAATTATTACTTAACAGTAAATCTTACGGAATCGAAGTAAACTTTGAACAGGGGCACAATAAAACGCTTTCCAAATGAAATATCTTGCTAGATTAATGAAATATTTAAAATTAAACATATTTATTCAAGTCTCACAATGCTTTATATTCAATTTTTAGTTATGAAAAACTATTGAATAGTTTAAAAGAAAAGCTACAGCATACCATAAACTCATGTCAAACTGATGATTATGAAAATTTGATTCGAACACTATTACATCATTCCATGGAGAATATCCAATCCCTGGATGAATATCCTGAGCTTTCACTGCTGCTAAACTCATCATCTTCATTGTCAGTGAATGAAATCTCTGAATTATGCAATCGACTTGCCATTGAATCAATGAATTTCCAAGGTAACAAGGAGGATGGGGATGGGGATAAATGCTTGTCAAAATGGAAACATTTTCATCTGTGTTCTTCACGTCCTAATTCATCACCGTCATCTGAGACGACAGGCGGGAGCTCATTAACTCTATGTGCGAAGTCTTCATCTACGTCATCTTCGTCGTCCTCATCTCCATCTCGACACGGATATGCTTCATCGAAAGGTATAAAGCAAAAGAGCAATGAGGAAGTTAAGCATAACATTAAGCAATCATTTAAACAGAAAGCCTTCAATGAACAATATTTAAGAAATTCTGTTGAAGACGATGATTTTCAATGTCGTAATAGTCTGTCAAATATGCAAAATTCAATTTATTCATTCAGTGATGCTGATTCATCATTTTCTGGTTATTTTAATAATGTAAGTGTATCATTGATATAAGAATAAAACTTGTGCACTGTGGTAGAGTGTAATTCCATTATGGGTAAATTTTATTTTGATAAAGTCTCACAGTGTTAATCAGTAATATTTACTGATGACCACGTTTCGAGCACAATTTTTTGCTCATAATCATCATATCAAGGTAATCACACGACTTCCTAAATTCATTTATATAGTTCCATTGTTTTCCACTTGATTTGATTGGTAGTAATATTTTCCATATTTCGGGTATGAGTGATGAATCATTCCTACTATTGCATATGTTGGGTGTAGATTCGATGAACAAGGATTCAGTAATCAACCTGTCTCTCTCCACCTACCTAGATTACTTTCTAGAATTTTAACCCTCTCCCAACCTATTGTGTGGTTGTGTGCTAATGCATGAATTGCAATTGCTGAGCTTTTTTCTAAATTACTTATCTTCTCTGGGTCAACCATTCTTACCTTAGCTAAATTCTTATGTTCTGACAATCTGACTACCCCTGATCTACTAGGCAGGCTTAATTAAGTGTTTAACAAACCGAGCAATGGCACTAAGTAGCACAAAAAAAGAACTAAATGATGAAATAAAACAGATAGAAGTGGCGTTGGTGTTAAGTAACTATCCTTTAAAATTCATTAGGAAGATTAGAAAAGACCAAAATAAAAATAAAAATAATTGTGAAACTAGGAATAATAACATAAATAAGAGAGAATATAAGTCATTTTCAGTTATACCATATAAATAGGGGACATCTGAGACCCTACGTAGGATTCTAAATAAAGCAGGAATTAGAGTGGCATTTAAACCTACAAACTCACTCAGGGATAAGCTCTGTAGGTTAAAAAATCCAGTTGACCCAATTAGACAAAATAATATAATTTGCAAAATACCCTGCAATGACTGTGAGGTCAACTACATAGGTCAAACCAGTAGATCAGCGGTAGTCAGATTGTCAGAACATAAGAATTTAGCCAAGATAAGAATGGTTGACCCAGAGAAGATAAGTAATTTAGAAAAAAGCTCGGCAATTGCAATGCATGCATTAACACACAACCACACAATAGGGTGGGAGAGGGTTAAAATTCTAAAAAGTAGTCTAGGTAGGTGAAGAGAGAGGTTGATTACTGAATCCTTGTTCATCGAATCTACACCCAACACTCATACCCGAAATATGGAAAGTATTACTACCAATCAAATCAAGTGAAAATCAAGTGAAAAACAATGGGACTATATAAATGAATTTAGGAAGTCGTGTGATTACCTTGATATGATTATGAGCAGTAATAAATTGTGCTCGAAACGTGGTCATCAGTAAATATTACTGTATAACACTGTAAGTTTATTATTTTAGGTAACTGTTGGTTGTGTTATTTGTTTTTAAACTATCGCAGGGTGTTTCTCCTATGATTACGACTGTTTCACAACAAATGATGCTCTTCGGTGATGATGCAATGGTAGAATGCTTGCCAGATGTACAAGAGGAACGGGTTCGACTCCCGGCTGACGAGCTCCTCTACCTTGCCTTGTTTACCAGCCGATAGTATAGGCCTAGAGAAAGAGGTCAGACGTGAGGTTAGGAACCCCCAATCTTTAAAAACAGCAACATCCAACATATAGTATCGTTTTTACGAGCTAGTGTAAACCATTTTGATTTCTTTGTGCTCGCTTCCTGACTGTGAGGTAAAGGTTCCTGGTCTTCGGTAAAATTTCAACGTGGTTCGTCCCATCACTCGACTGTCGTATCTTTGGTTGACTCCAAAAGGATTGGTGCTGGGATTAATTATGCTGTTGTAGTCAGGAGAGTAGGACGGGAGAGAATGTAAAGAAGTTTAAACGATGAGTTTAGATGTCTACCCATTAATGGTGTGTGAGATTTTAAGGGGATAGGTCTTTTGGATGCAGTCTTTATGTCGCTGCATGAATGTCCAGCCTTCGCTTAAAGGTGTCCACGCCATAACTACATCTGCCGGTGAGGAGTTCCAGGGGCGGCGAACCCGCAGTGAAAAGAAGTGGGAGCGCACCCGAGTCTTTTCCTCCTCCCGAGTGAGCTATCCTTATGGGATTTTCACGAGGAAGCCCATATCTACTCAATGACATAACACCTTTGTTTGGGTGATTCTGGTAATTTGTTATCTTGAAGGCAGTAATCAAGTCCCCCTTAAGTCGACCGTAGCTAAATGCGAATAGGCCTAATTTCTTTAGCCTTTCATAATACAGTTTGTTTCGAAGACCCATCACTCCTTTTGTCGCCTATTTTTGTACTCTTTCCAAGAGGTTTGCATCTCTTCCAAGCAGTGGGGGGGGGTGCAATAATATCATATGCACTTCAAGGTGTGATCTGACGTATGTTTTGTACAACCTTAGAAAGAGCGCAAGAGTGATTACACCTGACTATTTCTCGAGGAAAATTTTTTCCAGTATCTGATCGGTCTTATGAATTCTTTGTTAAGTATGATTACTATTGTACAGCAGCTTATGCAAATGAATCGTCGAAAAGGAAAAAAATTCTTCGCTATTTACGTCTTTTTCTTATGAGTCAATAATGGGGATATTTTGTTCATGTTTCCAAATAGTTTATCCTCTACAACAGTCATGTTCAGATCGATACAGAAAGATAAGATTCATCTACAATCAGTAGGCTTAACTCTTACCGGAAAGTTTATGAAAGCCTGGCTGGCTGGATTTTATCCCTACCGTTATTTGTTAGCTATCATTTCACCTGGAACAATATACTTTCTTAAATAAATCACATTATCAAAGCATTAAACACACATGTCGATAAATCTCCACTGAATTTTATTTTATTTTATGTTTAAAATGCGCTTATTCAGACACTCAGCATACGAGAAAAGACTCGGATTTTCAACACTTATGGCAAGTCAGCCAGTGTTTTAAATAGTTCGGAGACTTAAAGTACGTGTTACGAAAAGATTCTCAACAGGTTACTGCACATCAATACCTGCCTCCGCTCCATACTAATTGTGAGATGTCCAGCCAGACAGGATTAGTAACAAGGAACCCTGGCAACGAACTAACCAAGAACCTGCTGTCTAACAAGCATGCAGAAGGAAGACCTGTGATGGATTGGATACGATCTGTGTAAACCATCGGGTGATATCACGAGCCAAGCCCTCGAATGACGAGTTCAGTATGGCTACAGGAGTGATATGAAGGAAATTATGGGAGGAGGAAATGAAAACTTATAGGGAATTCTGGAGGCATCTAAACAGGACTGCAGGAAGCAGGATGAAATAGCGATGTCCTACAGAGGTTTTATGTTCCGCTCAGAATCGAAGAGAATAATAAAAATAGTAATCTATTATGGTTGGTGGAAAACTTTGGAATGGACGTGGAATCCAGCAATCCACATGTGAAGTTAACTTGAAAATGAAAGCAGAGATTTGTAAGGAAACATAATACACCCAACCTCATTAGGTCACTTGGCAATTTTTATATTTTAAAGGTTCAGTATTTGACGTTACTGTGTGAACAGTAAATGGAATTGATTTCAATGGGGGTTGCTTAGAATTACTGGCTATTCCTTGATAAACTATTATATGAGATTTATTTTTCCCTTGGACATCATGGAGTGATAACTCAAATTAAAACTGGGAATACTTTCAGTCGTGAAAAGATTACAACTATTGACGTTTTGAGTACTGATTGAGTTTCTTCGAGGGGGGGGGAACTAAAAGATCCGAAGGAAGAGTACTGGAACCAAACAAAAATATCATTATTAATACTATATTACCAATCCATTGGGCTCTGAATGCAACATAGGGCTGGCTTAAACAACACATCTCCGTTTTGTTTTGTTTGGTGCTGTCTTCTTCGGCTGGGTCCACAATTGCCCATAATCTCTTATCTCCTTTAACTTGGATGATCTCCTCCATGTAACCCACCCACTGAAGGCCCACTCATCACTTTCCTTTGGGATTCTAGTCGATGGCCTGGCACATGATTTCATTCGACGGTCTCCTCAACGTATGCCCAATCAATGCATTCCCACTTTCTCCTACATACTTGTTGAGCAATAAGCTCTTGCCTATTGGTTTGTTGTCAGCCAGAGTTTCTTGTTGCTAACTTTTTCTGGCTGGCTATTTGATATTCAGTATGGAGCCAGAGACGTGGGCAGCTGTTGATAAAGGTCTGTAACTTGTTGGAAATGCTTTTCGTGACACATTCGCCAAGTTTCTAACCCGTTTAGAAGGAATTACTGACTGACTTCACAGTTGTGTTGAAAATCCGAGTCTTGTTCTTTATGCTAGTTGGGCGAAGAAGATTTTCAAGATGGTTTCAGGTTGATGAAGGCATGCTACCTTGCCTTTTCGATTCTGGCTGGCTGGTATTGACATCTTCATCTGTTCCGACTGCCTGTGGTTGAAACGATGCATCCTAGATAAGTGAGGGAAGGAAATAACCTCTGTTTAATCTCTTCCGTTGATGGTGACCGGTGCTGGTTGTTGTTGTTGTTGCTGGTCGTTGGCTGGTTATCTTCATCACCTCCGTCTTTTCAGTGTTCACCTTCAGTCCTGTCTCCGTTACTTGCCTCTTCGGCTAGTTTTTTGCTTTACTCTTGCGATTCTTTGAGTTTGTGTGACATTAAACATAAATCATCCACGCGAGAAATCCAGATCTTCTAGAGTCTTCTTATCGATGGTCCAGAGTATTCCTGTCTCCTCACTCCCCACAGTCTGGGCCCATAATCCAGTCCTCCACAATTAAAAATATAATCGGTGATAATAGGCAGCCAGTCTTGCCTTTCTCCTGTATGTACTTCGAACGCCTCACTGAGTTTTCCACTGTGGATCACCTGACACGTGGCATTTTCATATAGCTGTTGAATCAGGTTGATAAAACGAAAATATTCAGTCTCCCATTTAATACATCAGTGCTTCAATAGAAGAATACGCACCAGCCATCCACGCACAAAGGTCCTGGTGCGACTGCCAGCCGAAAGACTCCTAAATCTCTACAAGTTTACTAGCCAGCCGTAAGCCCACAGCTGATGGAAGTTTATGTTTAAGACTTGCAATCCTACTACATAAGAAGGACACAACACTGATGGTGATTGAAACCTGAAAACTTAAAGCTTGAAACCCTATGCTGTACTCGAAACACAAGGAATGAGGAAAGTTTATCACTATTTAGTGATTCGTTCTGCATTATCTGCGAATGGATACACAACTCAACTGTGCAAATATATTCCCCGGTTCAGAACACATCACTGTGGGTCAACTCACTCACACACAGTCCACAGATTTACTTTTCTTTCCACACATATGGAACCAGACTATTAATAATAATAATAATGATAATAATAATAACAGCTTTATTCCAAACAGTACTTTTGGTACAAATATGGCATTTCCAGCATGTAATACGACCATTATTGTATCCAATATTCTCATTACGGGGGTAATAATTCAAGCAGGACATTTACATCAATAATATATTCTTCCATATGACTATGAATATAAAATTAAATTAAGTGAAAATATTAACAACATTGTTACAATGAGAACAAAAAATAGTACCGTCTACTTAGAGTTCTTCAGCAGTAAGTTGGTAATTTCCTGTCTTTCACTTTTCTTATCACATAAAATGTGTCCCAGCTAAATAAGGTATTGTAGAGTTTTTATACTTAATCGTCCGAGCATACAGCAGTTTTCTATAGTTGCTTCTAGTTCTACCCAACTGATGAGATTCAAGGAGAGAGTTGTTTGTGGAGAGGATGTTCAGAGTCTGACAGGATAACATTTGCTAATTTCTTGTAGGAATCCAAGTGTCTATCCAAAACAATATTAACCAGTTGGTTTAACAACACCCCACTGTTTTTCTACTGACGGCTTTTGGTGCCCTATGCAGCACAACTAGGTCTTTCTTGTGTAGTCCGGGAAAGATTATGATGTGGGGGAGCAGTACAGAATAATGGGCAGAATAGAAGAATTAACAAACGGTAACAATAGAAATGAAATGATACCAGATCGTCTTAACTTCATCACATAGAATGTTAAGCAAAATATCTCTTTAGATACTAACATGATGTGGGGAGACCAGGAAACATCATTAGAGAAAATACATAGTCAAAGGTACCTGACAGTAGATTTAGCTTCAACTTCTATGTCATTTCTGATAGTGGAACCATAAGAACTAACTAGTTCACGTTAGTTGCGCTTGCATCTGACAGTGAAATTAACAACCAGACAATTGGAGCAATTTATCTTAAGACCATCTGACAGTGACCTTCTACCGTCTTAATGTTACTTCCCATAGCAATGCACTCTGAAGTGTTATTATTGTGTTTTTGGAGGAAGTCAGCAAGAAGCTGTTGGTTTAGGTTTGGTGTTCATTGAAACTCATGAGCGAGGCGTATCCGCAACTCCTAAGGAAGTGATGCTGCTTCGGTGATTCAAACTGTTACCAGCCAGTGCCGTGCTCTGAGACGTTACCCTGTGAGCTATTAGGACATATTAACATAACATATCACTATTATTCTGAGGTTGAGTTATTTTTACTTTTGGTTATTTTTGACTAATTCTAATGGGATGTATAGCATTCTAGTTTTAGGTCGGTTTATACTCGATGCAGCTGAGCCACAGTTGCGGAAGATATGTTCATTACAACTGGAAGGTGAAAGACTCTAGAGAATTGTTATTATTATTATTGTATCCTTTAATTCTTAGAGGAACATAGGGCTTCAGCCGTGCGTCTCCATTGAGTTCGGTTCTCTGCTAGAGTCTTCACCTGGCTCCATGTCTGCTCACACGTTTTCATCTCCTCTTCACATGACCTCTTCCAAGTCACCCTTGCACTGATGACCAACTCACCGCTTCCCTTTCGGGTTCCACTGGAGCAATGGCTTGTCTAGTGATATTACTTGATGGTTTCCTCAGAGTATGGCCAATCCATCTACATTTCTCCCTGCCTTTTTGTTTCACAATCGGTTCCTGGTTGGTTCGTTCCAAAAGATCTCTGTTGCTGATCTTTTCTGGCCATCTGATCTTGAGTATTGAGCGAAGACAGCTAGATGTTGATGAAGGTCTCTAGTTTGTTTGAGATGCTTCTTATGACGCGCCAGGTCTCTGACCCGTATAGTAGCACTGGCTTCACATTGGAGTAGAAAATCCGGATCTTATTTTTGATGCTGAGTGTTGTTGACCTCCACACAGACTTGAGAGTAGTGAAAGCTTGTCTTGCTTTTCCGATTCTTGCTTTGATATCCTCGTCAGTTTCTTCCGCCTGTAGTTGAAACGATGCTTCCCAGTGAGGTGGGTAAAGGAGGTTTTTTCTTTCAGGTTCCTCCCATTTATGCTGATTGTTGTTGCTGTTGCCCGGGAATCTTCATCACCTCTGTCTTTTCTATGTTCACTTGAAGTCCTATCTTTGATGCTTCTTCTGCCAACTTGTTGCTTTCCGCTTGCATATCTTTCAGTTTGTGGGAAATCAGACATACATCATCATCGGCGAAGTCCAGATCCCCCAAGTTTTTTGTGTGAGTCTATTTTATGCCTGTTTCGTCATCGCCCGCTTTTTGTCGCATTATCCAGTCTACTGCAATCAAGAAAATAATTGGCGATATTAGGCAGCCAGCTTGTCTTACTTCTGTCCTCACTACGAAGGATTCCGTAAGTTTCCCGTTGTGGATTACTTGGCATGCAGCATTGTCGTACAGCTGTTGGATGAGATGTATAATTGTCGGTGGCACCCCGTAGTAGCGAAGTAGTTTCCAAATCACCTCTCGATCGATTTAATTTAATTTTAATTAATTTAATTAGATTTAATTTTTCTTGTAACTTCCTTCTCATTTCTTATCTTTTTTCACTTTTCACTTCTTTTCTCTCAGGTTGGATTCACTGTAATGAACCAAGATCAATTGATCAGTTTAGCTAGTGCTTTAGACAGTCGTTCAAGTCGTTTGGACTGTCGTCAAAAAGCTTTGAAACAATTAGTTCATTTGCCGATAATTGATATACAAGCTTGTGAAGTGTGGACATATTTAAATGACCATGCTACTGCAACTGCTAATGATAATTCATCATTGTTGCTGAAAAGAGACAACTCTTCAAGTTTAATCGATACACCTACTTCTCACAAGTTACCTAATACATCAAAATTCAAAAAATCCGGTGCTGTTCAACGATTCATTACACCTGATGAGAATTTATTATCCATGCATGGTGACATTGGTGATTATAATGACAATTCTATGAATACTACTAATAACATAAATAGTAGTAGTAGTAATAGTAGGGGTAATAGTATAAAAATGATTACAGCTGGTGGTTTAAGACGTGGCCTGGCTGATGCATTGAACGATGAAGATGACACATTGTGGGTAAGAAGGTTTAAACAATTATTTTCATAAGAAGACAGGTTCATTTAGTTTGTATCCGTATTGTTTGTTTTGGCCATTCATAGGAATTCAGTCTAAGGAGGTATTATTATTTATTATTATTCCCTTAGGTTCCAAGTAGAGCACAGGGTTTTAACAGTCATCATTGACTGGTTCCTTAATAGCCCATAAGCCTTCTCTTCTGCCAACTTGAGCGATCTCATCCATATCACCTCTGGGCAGATGCTCAACTCATTGTTTCCCGTTAAACATCCGCTCAATCGACGACTTGGTGCGTGATGTCACTCAGGAGTTTTCTCAGCTTATGTCTAATCCGTCTCCATTTTCTTCGGCATATTTGTTGGGTAATACATTCCTGGTTAGTTCATTGTCTGTCAGCGTTCCTTGCTACTTGTTTATCCACTCTCTGGTGACACAGCGGTTGGGACTCTCACCGACCATGCACATGGTCCGGGGTTCGATCCTCTGCCGACACACACCTGATATCAATGGTTGGCCCGCAAAATTTGAGCTACCGATATCATTTGCTGAAAATTCCATACTTGTACCAAAAATACTTTGTGGTTTCAAGCTATAATAAAAAAATAAAAAATACATAAATTGAATTTGTGGTGGGCTTCTAAGTTTTAAGTGGCTAAAGAGATATTCATGTGACGGCTTTTGAATAACGAATCTTATGTAAGTTGTAATCCAACGGAAGGCGCCATAAATGAAGACATTCAAGGCAGTATTGGAAATGCCAGATGGGCATTCATCAACCTGAAATCAGTGTGGCAATCCGCTGCACTCAGCGCATAGAAAAAAATTAAGATTTTTAACACTACTATCCATTCAGCCAATGCTGCTGTATGATTCAGAGACATAGCATGTCACGAGACGCTTTCCATACTGTCAACTACAGACGTTTATCAACAGCTGCCTTCTATAGCTTGATAATGGAGATCGGGAGGCAGTTGGGGAAATATGAGGAACAAAGAACTTTGGTGATGAACCGGCCAAGAATCTGTTGCCCAAAAATATGCTGAATAAGGTTGTGGTGGATTGGAAATAACCTGAGGAAACCGCTGAGTTACACCACCCATCATGTTGTGGAGCGGAACTTGAGTGGGAAAAATGAGTTAGGTTTCACCTCGAAGGTGATGTGGAGAAGATCATGCAGGGGTGGAGTGGAGGGAAATGGAAGCGTATGGATAGTCGTGAAGCCAGCTAAGAAGAACTAAGATGAACGGAAGGAAGTGATGAAGTGCTGCTGAAGCCTCATGTCCCACTTGGAACCCAAGGGAATAATAATAATAATAATCATTTTCACTAACTGTTATCAATTTTTGTTTTCATCACAGTATAATGTTTGCTTTTTTCAATGTAGAGTCTTTCGTTACGGTATATAAGTAAAGGACTTTCTACTACTCCGCCGAATATTCGTGAAACCTACAGTCTTTTAAGTAAGCAGATGCATTCTTTTTACTTCATATAATTTGTTTGGCTCTTTATATATTAGTTATCTGTTCTTCTTCTGTACCTTCCAGCCGGAACATAGGGTTTCAAACTTTAAGCTTTGAATTGGTTACAGGATTTCATCATGAGCTGACATTGATTGGAGAACTATTAGAAAACCAGCTGAGAGTTCTGGACAGCCATCTGTTTCGTCCTACTTTGGGACTCTTCATCACTGCGTACCCACACCACGTGGTTCGAACCCAGGACCTTCTGGTTACATGGCTAGCGAGCTAGCTCGTTGACCATTAAGCCACTGGGACCCGATCCAATGGCCAGCCCATGAATTCCAACTTCTGCCAATTCACGACATAACGCAACCGCTAGCCAATGTCTTCGGCGAGTATTTGTCCTCACATCTGACCTGCTGCACTCTTTGAAGTTTCAGTAGAGGTGGTGTTGTTTCCATAACTTTGTGGGATTGCTGGCCTGACACTCAACTTTACCTCCTTTGCAGGCTTACTACCAGATGGTAAACTAGGAAGGGTTTGGGAGTTCTTTGGCTAAGAGTCGACCCTAGAGTGCCTGACTGGTACCAAATCGGGTGTGAGGACGTATACTGCACAATGTAAATAGCTGGTAGTGATGCTTTATATCATGAATTGGCAATTAGTATCCGTTTTACTGGGAAAATAATCTATCAACTCATCTGATACCTTGAAGGTTGTGAGTTCGATCCCCGATTGGTGAGGTGATGGTTACGTACTGCTGACGAGTCAGGCACTGACTGAAGAGAAACAGCTGTTTGGTTTCCAGTGTTTCTCCAACTGTTGCCAATTTATCATATGACTTCAAAAAAATCAATTCATATTTATCTAATGAGTTTTGATAACGATAATCAAAGCTAATTAGTCTCTATCATGTTCAGAGTTATGCTATGACTATTAGTGGATATCATGAAGATAAGGCGCGCTAAGTATATTCGGACTCAAAATCAGCGGGAACTTGATAGTCAGTATCTCAGGCATAATGCCAAGTTGTGAAGTTTATCACATTTTCAAATTAGGATAATGAAGAAAATCTTATGAAATTGCAGTTTACTGACTAGTTGGCTTAAGGGCTACAATTTCTTTCAAATCTCATTAATCTAAAACGTTCCTTATGTGGACGTAGGAACTTCCTCAGTTGACATAATGTCTTTTATTCCACATTTACGGTTACATATATATATATATATAATCCAACAGGTGTACGACAATGCTGCATGCCAACGGGAAACTCACGGAATCCTTCGAAGTGAAGATGGGAGTAAGACAAAGCTGCCCACTATCTCCAATGATTTTCCTGATTGCTGTAGACTGGATAATGAGACAGACAGCGGGCAGCGAGGAAACAATCATCAAATCGACCCACACAAAATACCTGGAGGATCTGGACTTCGCCGATGTGACATGTCTGATTTCCCAAAAACTCGAAGATAAGCAAGTGAAAAGCAACAAGTTGGCGATAGAAGAAGCATCAAAGATAGGAATTATTTCAGGTGAACATAGAGAAAACAGAGGTGTTGAAGATTCCTCGCCAGCAGCAACAGCAACAACAACGACAGAATATAATCAGCATAAACAGGAGAAATCTGAAAGGAGCAACCTCTTTCACCTACCTAACTACCCACCTACCTGGGAAGCATCGTTTCAAGTATAGGTGGACAGAACTGATCAGGATATCAAAGCGAGGATCGGGAGAGCAAGACAAGCTTTCATTTCTCTCAAGTCTGTGTGGAGATGAACACTCAGCACTCAGCATGAAAAATAAGATCCGGAATTTCAACTCCAATGTGAAGTCAGTGATACTTAATATACGGATCAGAGAATCGGCGCGTCATGAAGGCCACCTCAAACAAACTACAGACCTTCAGCAACAGCTGACTTCGCTCAATACTACTCAAGATCAGATGACTACAAAAAATCAGCAACAGGGATCTGTGAGAACGAACCAACCCAGTAGAAACCAATCGAGCAACGAATATGCGGGAAGAAATGGAGATGGATTGGCCAGACTCTGGAAAAACAAACCATCAAGTGGGTGAAATCACACGACAAGCCATTGCTCGAGTGGAACCCGACAGAATGGGTAGCGGCGAGTTGGTCGTCAGTGGGATAGTGACATGGAAGAGGAGGAGGTCATGTGAAGAGGAAATGAAAGCATTTGGGCAGAAGTGGAGCCAGATGAAAACGTTAGCAGAGAACCGAATGCAATGAAGACGTGCGGCTGAAGCCCTACATTCCTCTAGGAACTAAACGAAACCATAATAATAATTACAATGAAAGACAGGGTTACTAGAAGAAGGAGACTTTGAAGTGTTAAGGCCTGCTGGTCACACGACTTACGACTGATGAAAAGGTTTCAGGTTTGGTAACAGATTGGTTTCGGTTAACGAACCGTTGAAAGAAACCCAGGGAATATTGGAGAGCTTTTTGGTCTTAGTTTTACTCCCATTGGCAGTCCATAACCCCCAGGTTTTCAATGATTCTCTAACTGACATTAATCCATGGTCAAATTTTTCAGCAAATCAAATCAAATCCCTACACAGCAACTTATGAAAATAGTGAAAGAGTGTAGTGGGTAGCTTTGGAAAATCGAATACTTAAGTCTATGATTCACATAATAATTGATACTAAATAACAAATCAATATACTTGTAACCTGGATGAATAATAATTCTCCCCATGAGACTTGTGTTCACCACCCATTGTTTTGAACGTTGCTGGCCTACAGATCAACTAGATAACACTGTGTCATTTGAAAGGATAGATGGGAATACCATCGCTCATTGGAGAGGCACATATGGCCATTTGAAGAGCTCCAGGTGGAATAAAAAACTCGCGTCATGGGGTTCCAATGCTGGCCTCCAACCAATCAAGCAATATGGTAGAGTAAATTTATCAGACTGTAATAGTTTCTTTTAATCTGATTCTGAAGACAGTGTGCAAAATGCAGTTGTCTGTTTGTCGACCTCAGAAGCATTTACAGCTCACTCCGAGGAAGTATACATTAATTTTATTGAAGTATATAATCATTGGATGCTAATTATAAGAACTTTTTCAATTTTCTAATTAATTTATACTTTTTGTATATGTGTATATGTGTTGTTATTGTTCTCATTCTTTCAACAGTTGAATATCTTCAAGTACAATTCGTTAGAAATGCACATCAATATCCACCTCTTATTGATGGTATCGATTTTGATGAGAGTCGTAACCAGCGTGTTTTAAGGGCGGTAAGTTATGTTGTTGTCTGTTTTGTATCATTATTAAAACTTTTAAAAGACAGAGAAGTAGTGAACGAAGGATATTCACATTTTCAGTAACTTCTTTATCAGGTTCTACAAATATGGTTGGGCACAGTCGATTATTATTACTGTTATTGTTTCCTTTAATTCCTAGAGGAATATAGGGCTTCAGCCGTGCGTCTCCATTGAGTTCGGTTCTCTGCTAGAGTCTTCACCTGGCTCCAAGTCTGCCCATATGTTTTCATCTCCTCTTCACATGACCTCCTCCAAGTCACCCTTGCACTGACGACCAACTCGGTGCTTCCCTTTCGGTTTCCACTCAAGGGCTTGTCTAGTTATGTCACGTGATGGTGTCCTCAGATTATGGCTAGCCAATCCATCTCCATTTCTTCCTGCCTATTTGTTTCACAATCGGTTCCTGCTGTGTTGGTTCGCTCCCAGAGATCCCGATCGCTGATCCTTTCTGGCCGGCCATCTGATCTTGAGTATTGAGCGAAGACAACTGTTAATGAAGGTCAGTAGTTTGTTTGAGATGCTCTTTATGACGCGCAGTGCAAGCCTCTGATCCGTATAGTAGCACTGACTTCCCATTGGAGTTGAAAATCTGGATGTTATTTGTTATGCTGAGTGCTATTGACCTCCACACAGACTTGAGAGTAGTGAAAGCTTGTCTTGCTTTCCCGATTCTTGCTTTGATATCCTCGTCAGTTCCGCCTGTAGTTGAGACGATGCTTCCCAATTAGGTGGGTAAAAGAGGTTGTTTCTTTTAGGTTCCTCCCATTTATGCTGATCGTTGTCTGTTGTTGCTGTTCTTGTCCAGGAATGTTCATCATCTCTGTTTTCTCTATGTTCACCTGAAGTCCTATCTTCTCTGGATGCTTCTTCTGCCAACTTGTTGCTTTTCGCTTGCATATCTTCCAGTTTGTGGGAAATCAGACATATATCACATCGGCGAAGTCCAGATCCCCCAAGTTTTTTGTGTGAGTCCATTTTCGTGGTTGTTAGCACACGTCAGCAGGGCGTATCTGCAACCTTGGATGAATTCATTTCTCCTCTCCAAATGCTACAGTTACACACACGTTACTGCTGAAATATTCAGATTGGCGATCGACCTCCTGTATTAGATGCCTTGTCTGAACACTAAGTAGTAAATAACTGGTGTCATGCAACAAAACAATAAAGTTCTTTTAAATAATATCCGGGGTCATTAACACGTCTTTGTGAGATTATGCATAAAAATAACAATAAACTGAATACCAGATAAGTTAAAGAAAATGACTGTACAGAATTTCTGAATTTATAGTTTCTTTAGCAGGCTAGGGTAGCAGTAGTGTCTATCTAGAGCTGTTACTTTTGCACGCAGAACTCCGGTTATGTCAAGCGAATTGCAATACCTTCTGTTGTTCGGAGTGTTCGGTATACTGAGGCTTTCATTGTATACTAGTCAGTGACTTGTCTGATGTTTTTAGTCCCTTCTCTGATGTAGACTGAATTCTATCAGTTAGGTTTTCAATGTGGCTGCCATTCTATGTAGCTCACCATCACAGTGCACGTCAGTCAGGTTCAAATCTGACTGATAGAATTCAGTCTGCACACTAGTTATTGACTAGTGTTCAATGAAAGTATCCAATACATTCCTACAGGATGTCAGTCGCGAGTCCGAATAGTTCAGTGCTAACGTCTCTGACGGTAGCACTGGATGACGCAGGTTAGATTGTCAGAAGGGGCGTGAGTTCCTTCAAGGTGGTTGCAGATATGCCCTGCTGACTGGTGAGTGGCAACTATCACGAAATCTAAGTCAAGCGAGGTTTCCTGCCGACTGCCTCCAAGCATTTAATACACAGGCTTTTGATATTTTTATTTAGTATTAGATAGATAACAGAAAAAGACTCTTTAATGTTAGGTTTGTAGCCTGTTTGGAGGAGGTAATCTAATACAGAACTGTTGGTGGTTTTAAAAACACCCTTATTCAGCCACACTAGTAGGTGTTTGTAAGCACGAAAAATTAAGTTCCAAGAACAACAGCCAATGTGAATAGCTTCATAGGAGCTGTTCAGTTAATAGGTGCAATAAGAGTTGGTTAGCCTATGTACTTCATCTTTCAGTTTTGCAACTATAGTCAGAAAATATAGAAAATGTGAGTTGCAACTTGTTAGTATTAAAAGTCCTTGGAATTGATCTTCTCAGCTTTTTGGTTATTACTTGGCTTGGTACACCACCTGTGTACTGCAGTTGTATATGCAGAGATTCCTTGTTAGCGGATAAGGAAGAATCCCTTTCTATTCTCTTGGCCATATATTTTGTGATGAATTTTTCAGGGTGGCTTTTTCAGTTAAAGTTTCATATACAATCTTAAGTTCATTTTTGAGCGCATCTTCTGAACAAATGGTTTCATTTCTGTAGCTCAGGGTATTTGCCAAACTTCTTATGTACTTGATAGGAACAAAGCTGTTAAACTATATATATATATATATAAACATATATATATGTACTGTCCTGTCCATGTACTTTTCTTGTGCAAATTAATTTTTTTATACTACATCCGACTTTCTTATGAGTAGGACGTCTAAGAAGTCAATTTTACTTTGAAATTCTTCTTCGGACGTGAATTTTTGATATCTGAATAAACTTCATTGAATTGAGACATTTTTCCGCACCTCTCCAAATAATTTTTACAAAGGATGAGCTTATCATCCATTATTATTATTGCTTCTTTTAATTCCTAGAGGAACATAGGGCTCCAACCACACGCCTTCATTGCGTTTGGTTCTCTGCTAACGTTTTCACCGTCTGGCTCCTCTTCACATGACCCTTTCCTCTTCCATGTCACTCTTGCACTGACGACCAACTCGCCACTTTCCATTCGGGTTACAATCGAGCAATGGCCTGTCGTGTGATGTCACTTGACGGTTTTTTCCTCAGAGTCTGGCCAATCCACTTCCATTTCTCCTCGCATATTCGTTGAAAATTCGGTTTCTGCTGGGTTGGTTCGTTCATTGCCACAGATCCCTGTCACTGATGTTTTCTCTCCAGCCATCTGATCTTGCGTAGTATTGAGTGAAGTCAGCTGTTGATGAAGGTCTTTAGTTTGTTCGAGGTGGCCTTCCTGACGCGCCAAATCTCTGATGCGTATATTAAGTAGCACTGACTTCATATATTGGAGTTGAAAATCCGGATTTTATTTTTCCTGCTATGTGCTGAGTGTTGACCTCCACACAGACTTGAAACAAATGTAAGGTTGCCTTGCTTTCTCGATCCTCGCTTTGATATCCTGATCAGTTCCGTCCGCCTGTAGTTGAAACGATGCTTCGCAGGTAGGCGGCTAGGTGGAGGAGGTTCCTTCTTTCAGATTCCTCCCATTTCTGTTGATTGCTGTCTGTTGTTGTTGCTGTTGTTCAACAATCTTCATCACCTCTGTTTTCTCTATGTTCACGTTGAGGAAGTCCTATTTTGGATGCTTCTTCTGTCGCCAACTTGTTGCTTTTCATCACCTGCATATCTTGCTTCAGTTTGTGGTAAATCAGACAAACATCATCGGTGAAGTCAATATCCTCAACTTCTCTTGTGTGGGTCCATTTTATTCCTGTTTCCTAGCTGTCCGCTGTCTGTCGCATTGGCATCATCCATATATCGCCAATAAAATGAGAATTTTTCGGTTAAACTTTTTAAAAGATCATTTTCTAGTTTACTCAGAAAGGAAATTAGAATAGGTGATACATTCATCGAACGATACATCTCTAGTGCATATGGCTTCCTGACAAAACTATTCCCTTGGCTTCACAACTGCCTACAAACTTTTACTTCATTTTCACATAGATTTTTCCATGTTATTCACTGAGGTGACACCTGACTCTTCGCTTCGCATTCGGGTTCCACTAGAGTGGATTTGTAAGATTATACTACTGTGGCTTGTGCTATTTATAAGACTTATCAGTAGTATATATACATGCAGAGATGTTCATCGGCATAGAAATATCAAATAGCAGGGAGATAGATTAGATGTCAAGGAAAGCAAGTGATACACCGTTGCGGAAACACATGGGAGATGTGAAAGGAACAAAAAGGAACACAATATGAAGGAAGGCAAGAAGTAGCACAACATGAAAGATCGGTGCAAATGGTGCTCTGAAGATAAGATGTGCATAATTTCTCTATATAGAAATGCTAAATTGCAAATAAACATTCCTTTAGCAAGTCTTCATCTTATACCATTACATCAATGATGTTATGGTACTTACTATTACGTTATAACCCCATGTATTTCTTTCACAGTGAATCCTACGAGAATGCGAATTCGCACACACTGAAGTACGTGAGAATACCACTCAACTGTAACAACAACTTCAGTTTTGCTGTATGTTGTTTGACGCTGATTGCTTAATGATTAACTATTCACCTTAAGTTCGAGCCCAAATCCAATATTATCTTGTTTACAACATCACACATCTAAATATATCGCAAAATATCTAACAGGAAATACTTTATCCAGAATAGAATGACGCATACACCTCAGACATTCTGTACTAGTAGCCGAGCTTTGATTATCTTTTCCATCGTCATCTCAAACTGCCACTTAATGGTTCTTTGTATGTCAGAAGCATCAGAATTCCTCGAAAAATAATTCAGCCGTTTTATTTGTATATATTAGTTGAGAATATTTTAAAAGTGATAGCCTCAAGCGACTATTTAATTTATTTTTTTTGACTCCGTAGCCTTATATACTTCAAATCACAGCCTCATCATATGTTATTTCTTTTGTTCAGTGTATGTAATTAACAATAATTTATTATATAATCGATTAATTTCAAGGTGGATCACGAAATGACTTCAGTTAGAGAACCATTGGTAAGCAGGAAGTACTGGAAAGGAGTTTTGTATATGATTACAGCTCTTCGAGATTACGTATCCATGACTTCATCATCAGGACTGGATCGAAATGAGGACCTACAGGTGGTTAAAAGGGGAACTGGCGGGCCATTCAACCACTGGTGTAGTGAGTACTGCTAAGGAGTCCTAAACTAGGATGAGACAACTCTTGAATACTCCATAGTTTCCCATGGGTTTTTAGCCGGTATCCACTTGTTATTTAAGCTGAAATCAGTGGCATCTTTGCCAACCAACACTTGAAAATTATTCTAGTAGTCACAAGTAACTGACCACAGGTGATAGTTACCTGACGTTCTAGTGAAAAGTCAATAATAATAATAATTTGCTTTATTCCAGAAACAGTACTAGTGGTACAGTGTGGAATTTTCAGCACATATCTACAACATTTGCTTCTAATTTTACAAACATTTAAAAGGAATATTTAACAAAAAAAATCTAAAGACACCAACAGCAAAAAAAGACACAGGATAAACACAAAAAAAATTATAAATGCGAAAAAATACCACGAAGTAGAAAGGAAAATAAACATCATATAATAATAACTCAGTATTGGGTAGTGGAAGCTATGATATGTTTATGCATGGTGACAGTAAAGCTATAGTCATACAAGAAGTTATGAAATGATAATTAAGAATGTTTATCGCCAAGATGGTCAGTTAATTTGATTGAAACAACTCTAAACAATCATAAAATAACATTTCAGGTTTGTTTTTTGTTTTCTATTGTCAGGTCTAATGCGGTGTTTGTAGTGGAAGTGTGAGTAATCCTGAATAATACAAAAATTTTTAAGGTGGTGATAATGGCGTTCACAACCAATGATTGTCAGTTTAATATTACGGAAAAGTATAGAAAATAAGAAAAAACAACCGCAAAAACTAATAATTACATGATGGTTAATGACAGGACAATTTTGTAATACTCATAGTGCTAATAGAGTCGGAACCAGTGGATACACAATAGAAGGAATATAGTAAAGTACAAAAAAGGAAGCCAATGTTAGTAATTTAGGTAGCTAAGTATGTTTGAGAAGGAGTTCACTATAGAATAAAAAATAAGAGAGAAATAAAAGAGCCTAAAATTATGTTATTAATAACAAAGCAAGTCATAGGTTTCGCGCTTAACATTGTCTCTGTCGCTTAGAACACGGGCCAAGTATGGTATCGTTGAGTCGTTATAACCACTGGGGTCCACTACGTTCAGATGTAAAGATAAATACTCATCGGTAATATGGACTGGTGGCTGTGGTATGTATTGCGAGCCTGAAAAAATAAGCATTCATGGACTACTGAAATCCATCTCACCGGTTAAATGGTCAATTAACCCACCTTGTAATCCGTCGATCATGGGTTTAGTAATGAATCTTGAAATCAATACAAACTAACAATAAAAAGTTTATGTAGTTGTCACATAACTAAATTTCTAAGCCTTGATAATTTATACACCTATGATAGTAATGATAGTCATTGAGTTATTGTTTATTCGTTTGTTTTATTTTTGAACTATCTAGTGCTATTTAATGAATAAATTTCATCAGACAATTCCATCTTATTGGATTCGTTATTCAGAACAGTAAGCACAGGATTCCTTTGAAAATTTTTCGAGTTATAATTTATACTACTAATGAATAGTATAAAAGTGAACACAAAATAATTTGCGCAACTTAAAGGAGTGTGTACGTGTATTTTGACTGACAACTGCTTATTCTTATAGTCTTATCTGAGGATTATAAGTTATAAATGTCTTTTATATTTCGTACATTTTCATGGACTCTCAGAACTTTTTCTGACTGGAAAGTTGGATTTTATATGAAGGAAGATTTTGCAAAGTATGTAAGAAGACTACTGTTATTGATTATTAAAAAACTTGGTGACTGTGCTGGAATATAACTACATTTTGCATAAAATTTTATTTTGATAATCACACAGTGTTGTTATACAGTAATAATAACTGATGACCACTTTTCGAGCACCAACTATTGCTCATAACCATATCAAATCACTGACACACCGTTCTTGTTACACTTTAACATTATTTATTATCCTCTGATTTGACTGTAATTAATAATATCTTGCATATCTCTGGTATTTGCGTTGAGTCACTTTTGTTGCATGTGTTGGGTGTGTAGACTCGGATTCAGTAATCAACCTTTCTATTTAACCATGTACTTATATTACATTTTATAATTTTGACTCCATCCCAACCTATTGTGTGGTTGTGTGTTAATGCATGCAGTGCAATTGCTGAGCTTTTTTCTAAATTACTTATCTTCACCGGTGGGGTCCATCAATCTAACCTTAGCTGAATTCTTATGTTCTGATAATCTCACTGCTCCTGATCTACTAGTTTGACCTATTTATTTGCAAGCTGCCTTGAGATAGGCTGGGATAGAGTCAAAATTATAAAATGTAATATAAGTAGATGGTTAGATACAGAGTTTGATTACTGAATCCTTGTTCATCGAGTCTACACATCCAACACATGCAACAAAAGTGACTCAACGCAAATACCAGAGATATGCAAGATATTACTACTACCAGTCAAATCAGAGGATAATTATTAAAGTTGAAACGTATTCAATTCACGTCATAACATTCTAACAAGTTACTAACCTATTTTACGCTAAAAACATCTTATTTCCCATCTGATTGTATTTTATTGATAACACTAATAAAATTGCTGAATGTATTCTATCTTATAATGATTTTTATTTAGATGTCTAATCATTTCCACTTATGTATATAAATGAAGCAAGAAAGTTGTGTGAGTAGTGCCTTGATATGGTGATTATGAGCAGCAATGAATTGTGTTCGAAACGTGGTCATCAGTAAATATTACTGTATAACACTGATATGACTTCATCAATATAAAATTTTATATATAATGGACTACTATTATTATTCTCATTTGTTCCGATTGGAATATAGGGCTTCAGCAGTACGTCTGAATTCCACCAGGTCCTTTGAAGTCTGTTTATCTCCATGATCGTCTACAAGCTTCACACAATATCCTTTATGTCACTCTTGAGAACATGCCAAGCTTGTCATTTCCAATTCGGGTTCCACTAGAGGGCCTAGTGCTCTATGTCATTCAACAGCCTCCTAAACTTTTATCTAACCCATCTCCCTTTTTTCGGCAAATTTGCGGGATGATAGGTTTTTGTCCTGTTCTTTGTCTGGAATGTTTCCTCATCGCTTATCATTTCCGCCCTGTCATCTGATCTTGATTACGGAAGAAGAAAGATAGTGAAAATTTGTTGTAGACCGTTAGAAATGCTACTCGTGACGTACTAAGTATCTGAACCATTTAGCCAAGGTCTGTCTTACTTTTATTTTCCTCAGTGGTTTTGACATCTTCATGTATGTCACCCATAGTTAAAACGACGCTGCCTAGTTCAGGTAAGTGAAATTGGTGGCTGTCTTTAGATGTTTTCCATTGGTGTTAATTGATGCTTGTTGTTGTTGGACAGGTATCTTAATGGCCACTGTCTTCTGCATATTCACTTAAATTTCTACCTTGTTTGCGAACCTCTTCTGCCAGCTGCTTATTTTCCATGACATCATCTTTGAGTTTTTGTGGCATCAAAGAGAAACCGTTCGTGAAGTTCACATCTTCTACAGTTCTTTTATCGGTTCAGCATATGCCCGTCTTATCACTTTCTACAGTCTGTTGTATGACTCACTCTTCCACAATCAAGAATATAATCGGTGAGAGTAGGTCTGATTATTCATTGGTTTGTTTGTCAGGACTCCTGAGATTTCTGTAAGCGTAAATGAAATATCCTTTTCCACCGGTTTCCTATGAGACATTGTAGCGATAGTAGTGTAACGACAGAATACAAGGGTCAGGCAACAGATCGTTTATTGACAAAATCAACAGATATTTATAGATTTTTATGTACATTATTATTCGTTATTATTAGCACAGAAACAGTGTCTTCTGATTGGTTGTTTTCTCGTTGAAAGATATTCTAGCATCTCATTGTGGACATTTCTCTGAAGGTCAGACGAATCGTACGAATCGTATCCGCTCACGCAAAGTCTTCTGTGATTGGTTGTTGAGTTCCTCAAGGTTAGGCTTTGTTCTTGATTTTCTCATGATCAAGATTTGGGACGTAAACATTGACGTAAATTACTGTCTGCCAATTTTAGCTAACAGAGACAGCTCTCACCACAGTAATAAGGAGAATTGTTATTCAAAAATACTATAAATGACGGTAACACTTGCCATTTCAGTGTTATTCCTGTTTTCTTCTCATAAATACTTTTAGATTTGTCAATGAAATTATTGAAAAGTGTTTAGCCATTCTATGTATTGGTTGTGACCAGTATAATCATGATCAGAATAATAATGAACAACTTTGCATAATGCCAATTCATTTATTCAGTCTTGTTGATTGTGATGCTAAATGGTGTATCCAATCCACTGTAAGTTAAAAATTTACATTCAGCTCTTAACTGTACGCATCGATAGTTCAGTGATAGAATGTTGGACGTTGACAATCACGTACATGGTCCCATGTTTGATTCCTTGCTAATGAACTCCTCAACCCCACTTAGACGGTAACAAGCCGGGAAAATAGGGGAGGTTGAGCGTGAAGTCCTATGTTCCACCTGGAATGCACCTGGAATTTCCCTATATATGTTTTCAACGGTCAGCATAAATCTTGTTGGACAGTTGACGTTGTGTCTTTTTTGTCACAAAATGACAGAATTCAAATGTCATAGGTCAGTAGGTTCTAGCATGGTGTTCACTTCGTCACACAGATTCCTGATTAGGATGAAGCGTCTCAAACCAGGATAATTCTCTGACTGTTGTCAACTTCTTATGAAATACGCCTAGAAACTAACTTTACTGTTTCGTCATTGTAAATAGTAATCATTCCCAGATAACTTAAAAGAATAGTTATTACTTTGAGTATCGTCTCACATTTTTATTTCTAAGGTTGTAGGTTACTCATCTACTTCATTGTTCCTGTGTTGAATTCCTTTAATCCTGAACTGTGCTAACAATGAACCGCTTCCTAGTAATCTTATTATGGTTGAGAAATTTTTATTGATGTATATACATTTGACGTTACACGACAATTAAGTCAAAACCATAGGACCCCTTTGCAATAACTTCATAAGTTTTAATGTAAGTTATGAGTAACAGTTAAAGTCCGTAACATGTCACCGGTAGGGAGCTTTTCTTGATCAATCCTGAGATTTAGCGTTTTTAAAAACTAAAAGTTTTGGGGATCGATTTAATATCCATTCTTTTAATGAAAGAAAACTCATTGCTTGCAAATGTAATTGATCTTGATGATGATGAAGGTTGTCTGAAAAGGTTACCTTTTCTAGAGCCTTTGATTTGAAGTTTGGTTCACAAGGTAGCATCAGAATCTGCATTCTCATAGTGCTCTGGTAATCAAAATAGTTTCAAACTCTATCGGATCCTTTAAGATTCAGGAGCCGATGTAAATCAAGCCTTTGAATCAGGGTTTTCAAGCTTCACTACTAAGTAGACCTGCATAGCTACGAGTCTGATTGTAAGTGTCAGACGTTGTATTTTGCCCTTTCACTTCTCTGAGGAATATCGCTGTGTGAAGGTAGTTAAAAGGTACATTAAATATACCTGAATTAAATACAATTGCTGTTAAATGGAGGTTCAGCGAAGTGTTACTCTTCTGACATATAAAGTGTACAGAGAAATTAGGTTCATTGTGCATTCAGTGACTGAACAAATGCTTTCTGTATGCAGAGGTCAGATTTCAGTTTTGGGTTGCCATAACCTCTACCGTTTGAAGAAGTTTTGATTCGTACTCCTTTGGCAAGATTTCCGAATACTCTTCACGGGACTCTGAAGTTGGTTTGAGGGTTCGTTAGGTGTTCATAACTGGTCAGGAGTTCCAAAATAGACCTGCAGAGAGATCTTTTTTCTCTTCTGTAAAAGCATGAGATCAAATGTTTGATAAAGCGCTTGGATAGCAAACTCTGAGTAATGCCAACATATTTAGCTCAGCAGAAGCAGATGAATTAATAGATACGTATTGACGAGGCAAATAGTGGTAGCTAATCCTACACGTCCATATCAGTCCCCGGCGTTTTAGAGAGAGAGAGTTAATTGAAGTTTATCTGCGAAGGAGAATTTCCTCAATGACCCTAGTGTCGTTGTCGATGAGTCTCCGTTGAACTACAGGTTCAGACAGCTGTGTTTTTGATTACAGAAAGTGTGTGCCACTTTGGTGATGTGGGCTTCATGAATTTTATGTTGAGACGTGTGGGCTAATTATTTCCATTGAAAACCTATTTTAAAGTATTCAAATCCTCATCCACGGTAACAGGACAGTGACTCATTGACTGGACCACGTTTCGACTATTTTTGTGTGAAGGCACTCAACTGTAGAAATTCGTGAATATTCTGTTCCATATCAGCTTTCTGTGGATCGAATTCTTCAATGTTCCATTGTCAAATCTTGTGAGTCAAACATGCGGGAGGGGCGTTTCTCAATTGGACTCCTTCTCTAGTGTGAACTGGATTGCTAGTTGACATCTGTTGGAGAAATCTAGAATATCTTCTAAATTATTTTCATTACTGGAGATAATAAAAGTGCACATCAAATTAATACCTTTTTGTGAAACCTAAAGTTTTCGATCATTTTCTTTAAATATAAGTAAAAATACATTTTCACATGTTGCACAACTAATCATTGACCTTATTTGTTTCTTTTTTGTCTTTCTTGCAAATTGTTGCTGTCAGCATGGTGCCTATTGCTGTAATGCTTTGATTAGTCAGTTGAAGAGAAACTCTGCACTTGTAAGTCTATTTGTCTGATGGAATTGTATCTTCTGCTTTATTTTCTGGCGTGCTTTCCATTTATATAAGTCGAATTCCCTAAAGACTTTGGGTGTTTTTTACCTAATAATTATAATAACTACAGTAATGGTAATCATAAATGGACGATATCGGGGTATTCAGGTGTCCGACTGTAATATTTCTGGCGTTAGAAATTCAAACGCTACGGAACACAATTCGTTAACCTAAAATGTTATCATAGTGAAATAAATTTTCACCGTGGAACTTTGTACACATATGCACCACTTCAGGTTGCTGACCTTCATAACAGAAAATGGAAAGTAACGGAAAAGAAATGCAAAGGAACCACACCAATTACAAGGAAAGTAATTGATAATAAATGAATCTCGGAGGTCACAAATAGTGTGAATGCGTCAGGGTCGAAAGGAGTTAGAGGTGGTTTAGTCAGCCAAATCCATAAAGTCTTTGACTGTCGGCTTGAGACAGGTAAGGTGGCGCTGGGGTGAGGTCATTGAGACGCTAAAATTCAGTGGTTTGAGACTGTTGGTTCAAAATCGTTCGCAGTGATGCAAATTCACTCAGTTTTTGTGTTATTCTGGATTTATTTAGTTCCCAATATTCTTTACATGGTTATAGTCTCTCCCAGACAGTTCTACTTATTATAGTTTCACTGAGTTGTTTGCTCAACCTTTGTTGCGACCGAAACCGACTCTTGGTGGTCTGAGTGCGGGGCACCAATCTCTGTGTCCTACCGCATGGCTGACTAGACTTCCTTGAGACTAAAACAGTTAGAAAACTCTGCAAAGACTGGAAAAAGAGGATTGTTACGTTCTGCAGTATAGGCGTTGCGTCGTTCCGATTGCACGTGTGCGGCGGTTGATTGATAAACAAAGCTTCAGCGGTTAGCCTTTCTCAATCCACCCAACTATATTACTTTTTAATACTCTCACCCTATCCAACCTTATGGTGCGTGTTTACATGCAAGTGAATGCAGTGCAATGGCTGAGCTTTGTTCAAAAATATATGAAGAACCATAAAAAATCGGAGATAAACAATAAAAATGATGAAAATAGTATTGAATGCAAAGCCTCTGCAGTACAACCATATAAAGAAGGAACGTCGGAGGCCTTACATAGAATTCTCAATGACGCTGGAATTAGGGTGTCGTTTAAACCAAACACCAACTCTCTCAGAGAAAAACTTTGTCAGTTTAAGGACCTAATAGATCCATTTAAGAAAAATAATAATATAATTTACCAAATACAATGTAATGACTGTGAGGTCAATTACACAGACTGCCAAACTAATAGATCGAAGTCAGTTAGATTATTGGAACATAAAAATTTGATTAGACCTACAATGATATACCCTGATAGGTTAAATAACCTAGAAGAAAGCTCAACCAATGCACTGCATTCACTTGCATGTAATCACACACCATAGGGTGGGACAGGGTGAGGTTATTAAAAAGTGATATAGCTGGGTGGACAGATGGAGAGATTAATCACTGGCTGAGTCTTTGTTTATCGACCCGCCACCTCACACGTGCGGTCGGAATGATGCCACGCCTGTACTGGAGATATGGAAAGTGGCAACAAACAACAATGGGGATTTGGAGACAGACAGAAAGAGAGAATACATAAATGTATATTATATTTCAGAAAAATTGTAAAAATATGTGACCGAATTGATATGATTATGAGCAGCAGTAATTTATGCTCAAAACCTTGTTATCTAGCAGTTAGTACTACATCACCATTGTGTGATATTTGGAAATAAACTTATCTAATATATGGAATTACATTCTACCACAGTGCCAAAGTTCCGTATTTGCATTAACAATAATAATTACTTCTGCATAAAGTGCCTGTTATGGAGATACTTAATCAACAAAAATAACAACCACAAACGTTAATCATTATTAATCAAGGTAATTTGAAGGGAGTCACCTCCTTCACTTATCTGGACAGCATCGTTTTAGCCACAGAAGTGCCAGGAGAGGAAAATAAGCACAGACTCTCATCATCTTGAAATCAGTGTAGAGATCCGCTGCATTCCGGATATATAAGGAAAAAGATTCGTGTTTTCAACACTAATGTCAAGCAAGTAAGTTCTTCTGTATGATTCAGAGACTTGACGCGTATCTCACCAAATGTGTTACCAACAGACTACAACAGATGTCGATCAATAACTGCCTTTTCTGCATCGATAATGTAGATAAGATGGTCGATCAGATAGGATAAGCAACACGGAACTTTGACGATGAACCAACCAACCAATCACTTGTCACCCAACAAATACACACCGAAGGAGATGGAGATAAATTGCATACACGTTGAGGAGACCACTGAGTTACATTATGCTTCAGACTGTAGAGTGGAAGTCGAATGAGAAACGACCAGTTGGACTTCGCATCAAGTGTGACATGGACGAGACGAAGGCGAATAGATGTTCATGGGGCCAGCTAAATAGAATTGTAGGGGACAGAATACAATGGAAATTTATTGTTGAAGCCCTGTTAATTTATCACTAGGAATCCAAGGGGGTCACCGCTATCCTCGGTTGCTGCAGATATATTGATGTATAGGTGGGAAAAATTAGCGTTTGAAACGTTTAGCCCCACCCTACTTCGAAGTATGGTGGAGGTATGTAGATGACACATTAACTGTACTTAGAACACAGGATATACATATATAGATTGATTTTTCGAACATATCAACTCAAAGGTGGAGGCAATTCAATTTACTTATGGACTGGAAAGTCAGAAAGGGGAGCTTCCAATGTTAGATTGTATAGTAAAAAAGGAAAGAAGATGGGAAGTGAAACACTAGTGTTTACAGGAAACCTACACATTCAAACCGATGTTTGTATTCTCGATCATCCCATCCTATGTTAGTAAAAATAGGATTGGTGAAATGTTTAAGTGACAGAGCACAAAAACTAAGTAGTACTAAGAAAAATGTAAGACAAGAAGTGAGGCATATAAGAGAAGCTTTGAAACTTAAAAATTACCCCTGATAAATTAATCAGGAAGTATGTAGGGAAATGTAAATATAAAGTAAATAATGGTAGTGATAGTGGTAATAATAATATTAATGACTACATGCATATCAAACATGCACAGGATAATGACAACACCAACAATAGGGTATATGAATCATCAGTAGTACTTTCATACAAAGAAGGAACCTCGGAAACCGCATGCAGAATTCTAACAATGAAGGAGTACAAGTGGCATTCGAACCCACAAACTCAATTAGAAACAAGCTTTTTCGGTTAAGAGATCCTGTGAAGCCAATTAAACAGAACAATTTAAGTTATCCCACACCCTGCTGGAATGACTGTCAGGTCAAATACATTGGTCAAAGTAGTAGGACAGGGTCAGTCAGTCAGGCTAGCGAAGCGCAGAAACCTAGCAAAATCTAGATTAGTTGACTCGAATAAGATAAGAAATCTGGAAAATAGCTATAGCACCACACCACATGCAATTACACACAACCATACAATAGGATGGGATAAGATGACAGTTTTAAAGTCTAATGCAACAAGAGGGTGGAGGTAGAGATTGATAACGGAAGCTTTGTTTATCGGGTCAACTGAGAGAGACTAAGTGTAAGAGGAACAATTGAACACCTCTTCCAGATATCTGGAAAATTCGACTACCCCAACAACGACAAATAGGAGAGGACAAAGAAAACTATTTATCTCAACAACACAATAAGAAGACGTAGTTTATCTGAAACGTGTAATATATTGGCGCAACACATTTCGGACATTCTGATCACACACGTGCTTGTCATACACAGTTTTTATATAATGCAAGAAGGCATGAATAATTACAATACAGGTCAGACTGTATACAGGTCAAGGTCACAAATTATGGGTAGGGAGACAGAAAGGGAACTAATTGCTTTATTTATCTCAAGTTTCGAAGTTGTGTGATTATAATTGATGATATGATTATGAACAACAATAGATTGTGTTCGAAACTTTGTCATCCACTAAATAATACTGTTTCACTCACTGTGTGATACATCTAATAAACAAAGTAATATGGAATTACTCACTACCACAGTGCCCAAGTTTTACACAAGTCTTACTAAAGTTATTTCTATTGTTATTCGTCATTTTATTTCTTTTGCAGTTTGAATTCAGTGTACGCGTATGCTTAATGTACATGAATAAACCTGCTAATTCAGGTGAGTCTTCATGAAAGTGATTCATTTTTCTAATGTATATTGTATGTTAGCTAGATCTGTTTTGTTAATTTTATACACTGTGTTTTCCACCGACCACATATACGCTGTTTGTAGGCTGAATACCGACAGTCTTACAAAAATCTATAATGAATAATCACCATTCATATCACAAATGACCAGATGCGACGCCGAATGACTCAGTGGTGACATTTTTTACTGAACACAATATTCAGCGAAGAAACTCTTCTCAACAACGGATTTATTATCAAGCTCTGCAATCGTATACATATCTGGTATTTTTTTTAAGAAATTATATCCGGTGAGGGAATTGAATTAAAGATGTTAATAGATGAAATAATAATAATAATTCAATATGAAATGAAGTGAAAATGTTAGTAATTATAATTGTAGTTAAATGCCAAGTGGCAAAACAATTAATGTCATATACAGAATAATTCATAGGATGTATAGAAGTTGGAAAGGAGTGTATAATTATAGGATTAGTAGGCTATTATAAAACGTTACATAACATGGTGTGAAATTCGCTAAGATAGAGTTCAATATTGTAAAAAAGATTATTTTGGATTTAGAATGACAAGTGGGACAAGCGGAAACAATTCAAAGTGAGAATAGTGACAGTAACAATAATAATAATAATCGTAGTGATGGGGGATAAATACATAGAATTAGTAAATAGACAAAATAAATAAATAAATGTCTATCCCTCGACGGCCAAGGCAGAAGTAGGCATTGTACATACTGCTTTAGTATTCAAAGGTCTGACTTAAAGTCATGAATTGCCAAGGCCTCAGTTGTTTATAGAAGTCTGTAACGAAGAAAACGCGGCAAGTTAGCATGGATTCTGCATATGACCTTAAAATCATGGTCAGGGTTGGCAGTGACAGGAGTCGGTCAGGTGTTCCAGAATAGAGCTTCGCACACACTTCCTTTCTCCCTTTTAAAACCATGCTGCTGGAATATGCCCTCGTATCCGTGCGGAAAGCGTCCTCTGACTACGGCCAATATATCTTGCTCCAGAAGAGCAGGTGAACTGATAGATGCATATGGAGGCGGCCAGACGTAAGAGCTTATCTTTTATAGAGATGGAGAACAACTTGTGGCTAGTGAAGGTAATTTGTAATTTTGCAGCAAAGACTGTCTTACTGAATAATTTAGAGAGACGTCTTTTTAAGTATTTCTGAAGCTTGACCACCTTTGAATTCCAGATTCACAAATAAGGTTTTCTTTGGAACTGAGTCGGTGACCAGTTTGGACTAGTTATCTTTTGTGCTCTTGTCAATAAATTGGTTCGTGTAACCGTTTTATGTGAGCTTGGCTTTTGGGGAGGCAAATTCTTGGTCAGTGCAATCAGAACTAAAAATGTTTCTTATCCTAAAGCAGAGCGAATGAACTAGGTTCCTTTGCTGAAGCAATGGGTAGTGTGAGCTCAAAACTCTGAGGAGACACCATTTCTTTCCTGGCTGCAGATACACTTTACTGGGGAGTGCTAACAGGCAAGAACCATAGGTCAGCGGGCTTACTGTCAACTGCCTACATGTACCTAGCACAAGTGTATCTGATAGTAGAACTTCTGGGAGTTGATTAATGATCGGTATTTCATTTCTTTGTAACCTTCGTTTCCCCCCATTAATCTTAAATGTCCAATTGGATTACATTTCATTATTATTTGCTCCACTTTTGTGCTCTTTCCAAGTTAATACTAGAGGTAAGTTTATGAATCTTCTCTCTCTTCTACCTAAATGGTTGAAAAATCTCTTGTATATTACGCAACCACCTTCTTCCCAGTAGATCATTGAAGATTGTAGTTGTGAAGGTGGGGTAAGAATCAGTGGGTGGTAAACGAAAACTTGAACCATGCAGGAAGATGCCATTTTTTTCTGGTAAACTCCCTCAAGGATAAATCGAATTCACAATTTTCGTATTACTTCCCGATTAACGATTCGCGGAATCAAGAAAGCATGCATAAATGCATGGTGCTATGTGCTTCTGAGTTATTGTCATACGGAGTTAGAAACCACACTCATATCAACCAGTGGTACTTACTAATCCCACGATAGTGGTATGAACGCTGGGAGGAATTTTCACTCGCTTGAAACTGAATTCATCAGTGATGTATCTGACTTGATTCAGCTCAAGGAGGGGAATCAGCTGAAGCCAACCGAATTCCAGCTAGCTACTAGGGATAACTGCAAACACAGAATCATAACGTATATGATAACTTGTTGAGATTCATATTCCCTTTAACACTTAGACATGTATACTACTTAGTTCTGTAATCTTTATTCTCCATTGCATTGTGAAGTTGACCAGCAGTTTTCTATCGATTTGACCAACAGCCTTCCTTCACTTATTTTCACCTTCTAGTCGTTTATTCTAATATATATTTTGCTGCATCGCTACTGTTTTCTTTATGTTTTAATTTGTACTACTTAATTTAAAGTAAGTAGTATGACTTCGTGTCTCATTAATTATGTGATTACCGTTGTAATATAATGGTACTTTCCATTGAAGTGTATCTCATTTATTGTGTTAACAATCTTATTTTGTGTTTTGTAATCACCATCCGATAATTAAACTGTATCTGTTGTAATTATTTACCTCATGTTAACCCTTTTGTGTCTCGACATTTGTAAGAATTATGTTTGTAAAATCTCAGCGAAATTCAAATGAGTAATTCCAACGTTTCTTGCGTTCGGCTAACTGGTGGTCCAAACTTCTTCAGGGAAATTATTAGAAATTAACATAACAGAGGTTTATATATAAAAAGCTCATCTCTTATTTTTAAACAACTCTGTCCAATCATTTGAGTCAATTGGGGATAAAATAGAAGAAGAAAGCCAACAGAATTGTGTGTACGAGATCACTTGTGGGGCCCGTGACGCCGTATATGTAGGAGAAACTTCCGGATAGGTAAATATAAGAGTAAAAGAGCATAAATAATGTCTAAAGGTGGTTTCATAGACCTCTGCGGACTTAAAGAAGCTAGAAAACAACTCAGCGATTGCAATGCATTCGATAGAAACGGGAAACAAGATCGACTTTGATAGGACTGAGTTTCTACAGAAAGGTTTCGGTTACTATCAAGAAAAACTGACCTCAAAAGGCCCTTCATATATATGGGTGATACCCAACGGTATTAAGAGACATGAAGGTGTGATCTTGTTAGCTGATGCATAGCAGAGCCTGATTAATAAATAAAAAAAGTGGATATCTATCACTAATTAATGATACTTGGTCTAAATTCCCGATTGTCTGTGTCTTCTTATGGAGAGGCTAACAAATGTTTTATAACTGTTCACACATACACACATACATACACACCATTGTATACTGCATATACTTGTATATATATTTCACATTCAGTTATCTACGACCATGAACTTTTAGTCGAACGTAATCTGACGAAAAGTACACTCTGTTTAAAGTGTTTAACAAAAGTAAACTAATATTTGTAAGAAGTCTGAGGTGGAATTTTGGTCGTAGCTCATACAGTTTTGTTTATTACATATGTTGATGCCTGTTTCATGATTCAAAAGATTGGACAAAGTTTTTAAAAATAGGAGATGTCCTTTTTATAAATATAAACTTCTGTTATGTTTATTTCGATTAATTTCCCTGAAGAAGTTCGGACCACCAGTTAGCCGAACGCGGGAAACGTTGGAATGACTCATTTCAATTTCTATGAGATTTTACAAATACAGTTTTACAAATGTCTACTTATCACAGGGTGCCCAATTATTTTGGAACTATTCGGTTAAATGCTGATCACAGTTCATGTGAATTTTTTCTCCTTGCTCCCCACATTCGTGTGTTCTTCATTTTTGAGCTATGCATCATTCTGTAACAGCTCTGATGTTTGACGTTTAGGTGTACCCTGGCTGTTGGGGGTTTTCTTAATCCCGGATAACCCGTCTTTTGACTACCATACCTAAGGCAGTCCAATGTTCTAGATTTAACGCGTAACTTGTGTTGTTTTTCTACAAAATCGTAATTTTCAGTTGACTTGATTCGTTTTGGATTTTTTAGAAGAAATCTACGATACCTCACTCCTTTGATGTAAAAATTAACTTTGGTCTGTGTACTTTGTCTAAACTGAATGTTTAACTTGTCTAAATTTTCAAGCTTTCTGATGAATAAGTGTAACTTATAATCATACGAACTTCATCAGTATTCAACAACAATATCATTATCATTCTATAAACTGTTTCACAAAAACATTTATCCATGTGAGTTAGCAGTCGTAAGAGCGAGTTAATCAGGGCGTGGGTATAAGTCCCTTCAAGTTTTCAGACGTCTGTATCTGAAGAATTTCAATACACACACCAATCACGTTAAACGTGAATTCCCTAAAGTCTGTTAGCTGGTTGGAGGTAATCAACAGGAAGCCTTCTTGTTTGATTAGTGGTAGCTAGTTATAGAATTCAGGACGCGCGTTTTTTTTCCTATTTGGAAGTTGTTAAGTGTAATCACCTGCTAACCACTATCAACCGTACAACATAATGTTAAACTTCAGGCGATCGTCGAGGCGTCAGTGCTAGGAGCTGAGATGTTAACAGACACTACTATCTCCATTTCTACTTAATTCCATTATATACGTACATTAATGGAAATGACTCTGATTGATTTGTTATCACGGAACAGTTTCGTCGACTTAGAGTATGTGGATGACATTGTGGATGACATGTCAACTATATTGACCACTTCGCTTATTTGTGGAGACGCATCAGCCCTGATGGAAGGATTGCTGATGAATTCCCAACATGGATACGAAAGGCTAGAGTGACACTTGACACCCTGAGTCATTTCTGGCCTAGACGTGATATCTGACTGCTCATAAGTTCACTCTGTCCTCCTTTACTGATGCAAGACATAGTCATTGAAAGTGGAAGATGTGAAAAGTTTAGCTAGCTGTCTTTGATTATAGGTGTCTGAGTTCTATCTTCCGAGTATAATGGAATAATACGGTGAATAATATCGAGGTTAGGTGTAGAGTGTTAGCTAAGGAGGGTAAGTCAATCAATAACGTTGTGAAGCTACATCGATTGAAATGGCTAGAACGCGTGTTAAGCATACCCACGCTATCGCTTTCTTCAGCAGGTAATGTTAACTGACATAGAATCAGGCTGGAAAGGAGTTAGAGGTGATCAAATTGAAACCTAACATTAGTCCATGGAGTCTTTAGTAGTTGCTTTGAGCCAAACATGCCGGTATAGATGACCTCTTTGAGTTTCCTAATATGCTGAAGGCTATTAGTGATATGGCTTAAGTTCATTATGAGCTGCGCAGACGCATTTACACTTTATGATCTCCCAGGTCCATTAAGATCTCATGTTTTCCATATTACTAATCTTTATTCCGTATATTCCTACCAGTTACATTTCTTCTGAATAACTTTTTTCTCGGTCTTTGTGTGCTATTTGGAATGCAATAACTTGAACTGCTGCATTCCTCAGTTTAATTCTATGTTGAGTCTTATTCAGTCAGTCAGTTAAAAAATATTAATCAAATAGCGGGAAATTTAAAATGACGCAAACAGTTTGAAATGATACACCTTGAGTTCACAGTCAATGGTACTTAACAACTGATAACAAAATTTAGATGTCATTTCATGATGAAATCCTGAAACCAATGAAATCCTTGCTGCAAACCAATGCTTCAGTATCAACCTGATGCTCACTAGTGACTAACCCTGTTCAGATAGGTAGCTAGTTGCCTGGGTGTGAGGACAAATACTCGCCAGCGATGAAATTCTCCAGTGGTCGCGCCATATCGTGAATTGACCGAAGTTAGAATTCATGGGCTGGTCACTGGATCGAATCCCAGTGGCTTAATGGTCTACGAGCTCGCCTTATAACCAAAAGGTCCTGAGTTCGAGCCCTCGCATTGGCTGTGAGCAGGTGAAGAGTCCCAAACTAGGCTGACGAAACAGGTGGCTGTCCAGTACTCCTTGGTGGTTTTCAATAGTCCTCTAACCAGTGTCAGTTCTTGATGAAATCCTGAAACAGATAGTGAAATAAATCGATCAGTCTGATTCAGAAGGTGCTTTTTCATGTCCTATCTTTTACACGTAATAGAAGTAAGTAATGGTCACTTTTAATCCTTCAAATAATTCACGCTTGTATAAGTTGTATTTTCCAAAAAAAATTTTATAAAAGGCGGCAGAGTAGAGAATAAATAATCTCTCTTGTAATGCTTGTTTTTACCTTTACTCTAGTAACAAGTAAGAATTTACTGGCCAGCAAACAAGGAAACAATCATAAGAATTACTATTCTTACGAAGAATTGGTTTACGCTTCATTTCTCCATTCTATACATCTAATATGTCGTGTTATCTGCTTTTCACATGGACGTAACTTATTCCCAATTGTATTGAAATGTAAAAATACCGCTGCAACAACCACTGCTGCGACAAGCAACAACACTACAGGAACGGTAAACTGTAAGTCTCTAATCCTCTTCCTTTTCCTGTTGTCTCTCTTGTTTTAACAATCTTTCCCTCTACTTAGAAGTGTGTATTTCTGTGTGGGTGCGTTTAAAGGCTTACATATTAACTCTCTTTTTTAGTAGTGTAGGCGGGTGAAACAAAAATGGGAGAATTTAGCAACTATGACAACAAACGAAAGAAATCAATATTTGTTTTACAGGCGGTTGAATTAAGAATAAGGGAGGATAAATTATGTCATAATGTTTTCGTGTCCTTGAATTGGAATAGTTGGTACCTTTGGATTTATCGTCTACAACTATCGTTATTATTTCATTACTATCCCCTTCAGTTTTGAGTGAGATATACGGCTTCAACGGCACAACTCCGTCTAACCCTGTTCCCTGCAATCACCTTTTGCTGGTTCGACAAGTACTTATAAGCTTACATTTTATCCTCAATAGATCCACCAAGCGTCACTGCCTCACTCCCCTTCAGACTCCTCTTGAAATCCTGAGGCGTGATATGGCTCAAAGGTCTTCTAAGCTTTTGTCTGATCTGTCTTCACTTTTTGCTGCAACAGGCTCTTGGTTGGTTTGCTGATACAGTTTACTGTTGCCTTCTTATCCCTTCTGGTCATCTGACCTTGTGTACAGAGTAAAGTGGGAAGCTACTGATGAAACGTTTGCAGTGTAGCGTGTTAGAAATGCTTTAGGTGATGTGCATTTCAAGTCACTGAACTGCATTGAAGTGTAACGACAGAAGTTAAGGGTCAGGCGACTGATTGTTTTCTTTGTTGTTGAGAAAATCAAGAGGTACTTATAGATTTTTAAGTACATTATTGCTGTCGAAGAAGCAAGCTCTTCTGATTGGCTGTTTTCTTGCTGAAGGTTATTCAGCTCTCTTAGTGGCCATTTCTCAGAAAATCAAGCCATATATCTGCGAATCATATTTTCACACGTTAACTCCGCTGTGATTGGCTGGTGATTTTCTCAAGGTTAAGCTTCGTTATTGTTTTTCTCATGACCCTGATTTGGGACGTGAACACTTTTGTCTACATTTCTGGCTTGCCAAATGAAATCAGACGCCAAGCTCTTGAGTGGAAAACGACCATTGGGATGTCCGTGGGTGACATGCAGGAGATCGTGTGAAGAGGAGATCAGAGACTATAGGTACTCGTGAAGCCAGCTAAAGAATACCGCAAACAATAGGAAAAAATGAAGACGTGGAGACGAAGCCTTATGTTCCACTCAGACCCGAAGGAAACATCAATAATAATAATAAAACTCAGGCAAAAAAAAATCCTTCAGATATATGACAAACTTATCCTCTCTGTTAACTAGATGTAATGTCAACTTATGAGGGCCTACAGTATCTAGTAATTTTTTTTAGAACACAGAAAACAGCTGAATAGGTGTATAAAAATCAAGCAAGCTAATCCCTTCAAGATCGACAGTTCTAAGAAGGATACCTAGAGTGCTCTGAATAGGTGAAAACGTTCCACAGTAGAACATCTACTGCATGCTAATTTGCTTCTCATGATTCCTCCATTGATATCCTTCTCCATGAAGTATTATGTCTGGCGAAACCATGTAGCACTGGAAAGCTATTCAGAACTCCTTAGCCTTCAATGGTTCTCTTTTTATATTATTATTATTTTTATTGTTCCCTTGGGTTCCTAGTGGAACATAGGGCTTCAACTACACGTCTCCACTTACTTCTGTCTTCTGCTGTACTTTTCACCTGCATCCATGTTAGTCCATACTGTTTCAGCTCCTCTTCACACCATCTCCTCCATGTCACTCTTGGCCCTCCACTCGCCACTTCCCTTTCGGGTTCCACTCGAGGGCCTGATGCGCGATGTCACCCAGTGGCCTCCTCAACGAGTGTCCAATCCATCTCAACTTTCTCCTGCATATTTGTTGAGCAACTGGTTCTTATTTTGTTTGTTCCCATAGTTTCTTGTTGGTGATTCTTTCCGGCCATCTGGTCTTCAGTATAGAGCGAAGACAGTTGTTGATAAAGGTCTGCAACAGGCTGTTGGAAATATTCTTTGTGACCCGCCAAGTCTCTGATCCGTATAAAAGAACTGACTTGACGTTTGTGTTGAAAATCCGAATTTTGTTGTTGATGCAAGCTGAGTGACGAAGATTTCCAGATTGGTTTCAGGTTGACGAATGTGTTTCTCGCCTTCCCGATTCTCAATTCGACATCCTCGTCCGTTCCTCCTGTGGTTGAGACAATGGTCCCTAGATAAGTGAATGAAGTAACCTCTTTCAAATCCCTCGCGTTGATGGTGATTGGCGGTGGATGTTGCTGTTGTTGTTGGTTGGTTGGTTATTTTCATAACCTCCGTCTTGTCTGTGTTCACCTGGAGTCCTGTCTTCACTGGCTGCTTCTTCGACCAGTTTGTCGGTTTTCGCTTGTAAGTCTTCGATCTTGTGTGACATCAAACATAAATCATCCACACGCGAAATCCCTGTCTTCTAGGTTCTTCACGTCGGTCCAGGATATCCCTGTCTTCTCGTTTTCCACTGTCTGACGCATATCCAGTCCACCACAATTAGGAATATCATTGGTGCAATGGTTCTCTAACTGAAGTTATTTCATGATCAGTCTTGAAACCAGTCTAATCCTTGCAAACCAACACTTGAAGGTTCCCAGTATCATCAGTTAATATATTTCCCAAGTAAACACTTAGATATGTAGCACTAGTAAACGTGCACTTAGTCCATGTCATATAGATACTTATAACCAATAGAAGTGGAATAATGCCTTAATTCATCCCGTGAATGTTTCATACTTGATGAGGAGTGGATCTTATAAATTATCCTAAGGACGTCACTCATTGTAAAGGTATAATTCGCTGCTATATATTCATGTAATAACGTAAAAATAATATAAAATTTGAAAAATTATTTATTTGAATGGCTCCAAAGTTCTTGCTAGTCTAGCTAGCAGTGAATATTACTTAAAAGTCATATTTAGGCAAGAGGCTTCAAAGTCAAAAACATATACGGAATTGCATTTACACGACTTTTTAGGACTAAATATGACGCCTATGATTATTATTATTATTATCATCAGAAATGTTTTGTTTCTACTCGTATTCTAGTGATGACGCTGAGATATATAGATGTATGCAGTATTATAGTCTTCTAGGTTAGAAAATAGTTAGATAAGCCCGTACAACTCATTATTTCGTCAACAGCATAATGCGTGTGATTTTTTTTCCTTCACGTTCCCCAGTGGAATATAGGGCCTCAAGCTAGTGGCTTGAAGTTTCTGTAGCAGTGTTTATTTTTACAGGATGGCGTTGCTAGCCTCACGCCCAACCTTTCCTCTTCACCAGCATTATTTCTGGCTTAGCGAAGTAAAGGAGTGCGTCGGCCAGGGATCGAAACCCGGACCATGTGCATGGTCGGCGAGCGTCCTAGCCGCTATGCCACCAACGCACAATGCGTGTGATTAACTGTATGAATATTTAGAAATCCGTATGGAGATCAACTTCACTCAGCATAAAAAATAAGATCCGGGTTTTCAAATCCAACGTGAAGTCAGTGCTACTTACTATGCATATCAGAGACTTGGCGCCGCGTCGTGAAGGCCAATTCGAACAAAGTACAGACCTTTATCAACAACTGTCTTCGCTCAATACTATTCAAGATCAGATGGACGGCCAGAAAAGATCAGCAACAGGGGTCTCTGACAATGTACGAACCAACCCAGAAAGAACCAAGAGTGCAAGGAATATGCAGGAAGAAATGGAGGTAGATTGGCCATACTCTGAGGAAACCATCGAGTGACATCACACGACAGACCATAGCTCGAGCGGAACCCGAATGGGAAGTGGCGAGTTATTGCGAGGTCAACATGTAGTACGTCATGTGAAGAGGAGATGAAAGTATGTGGGCAAACGTGGAGGCAGGTGAAAACTTTGGGAGAGAACCGAACGCTATGAAGACGTGCGGCTGAAGCCCTATGTTCCTCTAGGAATGAAAAAAAAAATAATAATATAATAAAATTAATCTTTGAATTGACACGATAAATTATCATTTATATGAGTAAATAAGTAGTTTTCAAGTAGTGGTTTGTAGGGGTTTTGTTTGATTGGTTCGAGAATTTCCTCATGAGCTGCTAAAGAGTCCCCGAAATTAGGACGAAGCAACTGTCCAGTACTCCCAGGTTTTATTTCCAATGCTTCTGTTACCTGTGCCAGCTGATGATGATATCGTCCCACCAAACAGGTAATTTGCCTATTAGTTAGCTTACACAGAAGAGTACCGATCTTGTTACACTTGAAGATTTTGTCACTCGAAGGACCATAGAAAATGAAGGGAATCGGATAGAATCCTGCTAAGCTTTAAGGGTTTATAATACTGAGAATTTACAACATTATTATTATTGTATCCTTTAATTCCTAGAGGAACATAGGGCTTCAGCCGTGCGTCTCCATTGCGTTCGGTTCTCTGCTAGAGTCTTCACCTGGCTCCATGTCTGCCTACACGTTTTCATCTCCTCTTCACATGACCTCCTCCAAGTCACCCTTGCACTGACGACCAACTCACCGCTTCCCTTTCAGGTTCCACTCGAGCAATGACTTGTCTAGTGATGTCACTTGATGGTTTGTTTCCTCAGAGTATGGCCAATCCATTTCCATTTCTTCCTGTCTATTTGTTTCACAATCGGTTCCTGGTGGGTTGGTTCGCTCCCAGAGATCCCTCCCTGTTGCTGATCTTTTCTGACCAGCCATCTGATCTTGAGTATTGAGCGAAGACAAGCTGTTGATGAAGGTCTGTAGTTTGTTTGAGATGCTCTTTATGACGCGCAGTGCAAGTCTCTGATCCGTATAGTAGCACTGACTGACTTCACATTGGAGTTGAAAATCCGGATCTTATTTTTGATGCTGAGTGCTGTTGACCTCCACACAGACTTGAGAGTAGTGAAGGCTTGTCTTGCTTTCCCGATTCTTGCTTTGATATCCTCGTCAGTTCCACCTGTAGTTGAAACGATGCTTCCCAGGTAGGTAGAAGAGGTTGTTTCTTTCAGGTTCCTCCCATTTATGCTGATCGTTGTTTGTTGTTGTTGTTCTTGTCCAGGAATCTTCATTACCTCTGTTTTCTCTATGTTCACCTGAAGTCCTATCTTTGATGCTTCTTCTGCTAACTTGTTGCTTTTCACTTGCATATCTTCCAGTTTGTGGGAAATCAGACATATATCATCGGCGAAGTCCAGATCCTACAAGTTTTTTGTGTGAGTCCATTTTATGCCTGTTTCCTCATTTCCCGCTGTTTGTCGCATTATCCAGTCTACTGCAATCAGGAAAATCATTGGCGATAGTAGGCAGCCAGCTTGTCTTACTCCTGTCCTCACTTTGAAGGGTTCTGTAAGTTTCCCGTTGTGGATTACTTGGCATGCAGCATTGTCGTACAGCTGTTGGTTGAGATGCATAATTGTCGGTGGCACCCCGTAGTAGCGAAGTAGTTGCCAAATCACCTCTCGATCGACGCTGTCGAAGGCCTTTTCAATGCTGATGAAGTTGAGATAGAGAGGTGACTCCCATTCCAAGCTTTCTTCAATGATGATCCGTAATGTGGCGATTTGATCAATACATGACTTGTTTCTCCTGAATCCAGTCTGTTTCGGTCGAAGGTTTTCATCCAGGGCATGTTTGATTCTCTCCAGGATAATGCGGCTTAGTATTTTGCTTGGGATGGACAGGAGCATAATTCCGCGCCAGTTCTTGCATTGACTTAGGTTTCCTTTCTTTGGTAGTTTGAATAAGTAGCCTTTCTTCCAATCCTCGGGTACTTTGCCTTCTTTCCACACCTTCTCCAGTAGTGGCTTCATCAAGTCCACTGTTGTCTCTGGGTCCGTTTTCAATGCTTCTGCTGGGATTCCATCTGGTCCTGCTGCTTTTCCAGCTTTTAGCATCTTGATTGCCTTCAGGACTTCTGATTTCGTCGGTGGGTTGGTGTTCACTGATAGCTATGTCTCCATCGTTGGTATTGTTGGGTGCGTTGTAGGTGGTGATCGATTTAGGAGTCTTTTGAAGTGTCCAGCCCAGCGTTTCTTTTGCTCCATTTCTTTGGTGATTGACTTTCCATTGTCATCCTTCACCGGCTTAATTTGTATCAAACTTTTACCCGATAGGTACCTAGTTGTTTGGTAGAGTGTTGCGAGATCTCCTTTGTCTGTAGCTTGTTCTGCTTCCCTTGCCATGGTTTCATAATATTTTCTTTTGTCTTCTCTGGCACTCTTCTTTACTCTTTGGTTCAGTGTTTTGTAGCTTGCATTCAAATCCTGTTTTTGTTGCTCATCGGTGCACTGGAGAATCTTTTGTTTCACCATCCCTCTCTCTTCTATCGGCCTCCAAGTGTCCGTAGTGAGCCACTGTTTGTCTTGTCTCTTCTTTCTGCCTAGAACTTCCATGCAGGTTTGACTCCACACTGTTTTCAAGTTGTTCCAGTGCTTTTCGACGCTGACCTCTTCGCTAGTGTTGATTTGTGTCTCGGCTTTGTCCTTTATGCTTGCAGTGAAAATGTCCTTTGTGTCCTGGTCCTTCAGTTTTTGAGTATTGAACCTGGCTTTTGGTCTATCTGCAGCTCCTGATTCTCTGAAAGCTTTAAATTTGATTTGGATTGTCCCTTGTACGAGGTAGTGGTGTGAGCCAACGTCTGCTCCTCTTCCTACTTTTGTTTCCAATAGGCTACGCCTCCACTTCCTTGAGATTGAGATGAAGTCAATTTGGTTTTCGGTTCGCCCATCTGGTGACACCCATGTAGCCTTGTGGATATCCTTGTGTTTGTATACGCTGCCACCAATCAGTAGTTCATTGAAGGCGCAGACGTCGGCGAAGAGTTCTCCGTTTTCATTCATCTCTCCGAGAGCTTCTCTACCCATGATGAGTTCCCTTCCTGTGTTGTCTGATCCCAGTTTGGCGTTCATGTCTCCCACTAGTATTTTAATGTCGCCGACTGGAGTATTGTCCATTGTTGCCTGTAGTTGTCTGTAGAATTCTTCTTTCTTTCCGAGGTCTGCATTGTTTGTCGGTGCATAGCATTGTATAATTGACACTTTCCTTCCTTTGGAGTTGAATCTGGCGGTTATTATCCTGGGCGAGATCGCCTCCCATTGCATCAGCGCCTCCGTTGCCGTTGGTGACATCATGATAGCAACGCCCTCGGTGTGCATGTGGTTATCCTCTGGGTGACCGGAGTAGATCACTGACTCACCCGTTGACAATTTGGTGAGTCCATTCCCGTTCAATCTGCTTCCACATATCCCCAGTACTCGAATTCCGTATCTTTTCATTTTGTTTGTGATCTGGGCAGCTTTGCCAATCTCTTACATGGTACGGACATTCCATGTCCCCACACAGACTTTTTCTTTTGGCGCAAGGAGATTCATCTTGCTGAAGTTTCCGTAGCAGCTTTGTTTACAGGGTGGGGTTGCTAGCCTCACGCCTAATCTACAACATAATTTGTGACTTTTTCTCAGGACAAACAGGTTCTTAAATAAGACTTCAATTATAAGGATGCTGTTTACGAATTCAGTGGATTATAATTGTGAGATTCTGCTATCAGTGTAAAGCGTCTTAAATTGATTGTGCATACAATGATCTCACTTTTGAGGACGGGAACTTCAACTTCAACGACTGACTGACTAGAATTTCATAAATTTAGAAAGATTTCTATCAGAATAATTTTTAATTTGAACCTGTTAACGAATTTAGCTTATTCTGATTGGATTCTACTAGTCAATCAAGTATGTTCCGTCTGGGAGAAAATTGTAAAGGTAGCACGACTGCCTTATTCTCCTCCGATCACAAGTATCCTAAGGATACAAATTAAATACATTGAAGCTTTTATTCTGAGACGAAATGAAAGATTTCAGTGTGTTTAGTTTTTGTTAAGAATATCAATGTAACATTCGAAACTATTAGAATTCATGAATTTCAGGACAACTGGATTTGTTTTCCGAGTGTTAACCAGTTTGCAGAAGTTTGATTGGTTTCATGTTTCACCATGAAATGGTAACAGTTAGGCAACCACTAGAAACCAGGGAGTACTGGACAGTTGTTTCGTCCTAGTTTAGAACTTTGTATCTGTGTGTACCTACCGGGTTCGGACCCTAGACATTCAGATTACAAGGCGAGATCATTGATGATTCAACCATTGATATGGGATCTTATGACCACCTCGTGAATTCTGTATTTCTTCATCACCCTATATCACTGGTGACAGAGTTGCCGGGAGTTTCGGTGAGGTGCTGTCATCACCTGTGTCCAGCACTTCGGGTTTGAGGACTAAAACTAGCTGATGACATAGAATGACATTTGCACCGAAATTCGCGAATTGATAGAATTAGGAATTCATGGGTTAGCCACGGTCAACAAGCTAGCCACCTAGTTTGAAAGTCAAAACAGATGTCCAGTACTCTATGATTTTCAGTGGTTCTCTAACTGACATCAATCCGTGACCAAACTTTGGAGTTGATTTCTCTTAATTGCCGGTTAGAGATAAAACACTACGAATTAATGACTTCGTCATTCCTTCATGATGAGAGCTTTTAGCATGAGTTATGGAGCTGAACTAATGACAGATGGTGTCTTTCAGTGTGATATTAAAAGGCTTCCTTGGAATTAAAGTCTTACTTTCTTAATGAACCAATCAGTCTTATCAGCTAAGAGACGAAATAAGAAAAATACAGACAATTCATATTATCGTAAAATATTGATTTTTATGTTGATTTATTTTACAGCAGATCAGTTTGTGGTTACAGTGAATGTATTTCTCTGCACAATGTTACAATTCCTGTACAAGAATACATTTACAACAGAAGATATACATCTGTGTAAGTTGAATTTATCTGAAACTTTTTATGAAAACAATAATATGATTAAAATATGTAAAAATATTGAAATAATGGCGAAGATTTGCAGTTCAAGTGGATGATTTTGATTTAGTTGGGATCTGTAAGCTACTTGATTTAGTTGCGAAGCTTTCTTTGGTCTTCTAGATGGCATCCTTAGCTCTGAAGACTGACTGACTGACTGGATTCAACATAGAACTTTGCGCAGATGTGCAGCATTTCGAGTCGCCACACTTCACTTAGCACACAAAGCCAGAGAAGAAAGTAAAAATCAATACAAAACAGAGGTAGTAAACAGAGATATGAGGCAAAAAGAATAGTAATATCGAAGAACAATCTAGTTTTATTAGATCTGATAAATCACAAACAATGGATGCATCTGTACCAGCCATTGAGAAGGATTTTGAGACATATCACCGATTGTCTGCAGCCATTGGTTTTTACCATACCGAGGACCCCAAGTAGTCAGGAAGTCTGCACCTTTCCTAAGTGGCTTAAACTAACTGTTGTGGATTTCATTGAATGATGAGGCTACGTTTTGGTTTGACCGTGAACCACTAGCTCTTTTCCAACCTGATCCTATGCCAGTCAGCTAAGACTGCCCGTCGAAGAAGGTGATCGGTGGCTAGGCATGCATGCGTAACACATGTCCTAACCATCTCATTCGATGTAACTCTACAACCTCGTCTGTTGATTTCCTTTCCTTACCAGGTACTCGACTGATGCCTAACCTCAATATTGCTCACCTCATTATACCATTTAACACACACGTGATATAGAACTCAGGCACTTATTATCAAGACAGCTATCCTTTTCATTTCCTCTACTTTCAATGGCCTGGTATCACAGCTGTGAAGATGTTCTTTAGATGCAGAACGAAAGCTTCACGATTAAATCAACCAGTTCAGAGAACACTTCTGTGTTAAAATATATATTATACAACTCAGTACAAGTAATCCTACTGGAAATGTGTTTCAATACGTTTTCAAATCATAGGAGCAACAAGTAACGACAGCCGTCACTTATTTCACAAGTGATGTCTTCTGTGGTTCCTTGGCTTAGTTTGAAGTGATGAATGCTGGCTTTGAGTCTTGGTGAGGATAACATCACTTATTTGAATCCAGCTACATTCAGCACTGATGAGTTTCAAAATGGTCGACACACGCATCTAAGATTCCAGTGAATTTATCAAATAACAATGTGTCAACTCTGAGGTGTCATTGAGGCATCCTTATTAAGAACTCATACAACGAAATGATGCTTTCAAAAAGGGTGTTCATTTATCTGACAACTAAAGTTATTCTCCTCACTTTAATTTCTGAAAAATGTTCATTAAGAAGTGTGGGGAGAAAAGGAAACATTTGACTCAATCAACAGACTGTGAGCTCTGTTAATGCGTTTAATATATCTGTACATAAGCAAATGTGATCAATAATGTTTGATCATAAGGAGATATAAAATAGTCAGAACACCAAGACTCATTCTCCAACTTACCGCTAAGAAAGACGTGTACATCAAGCTACCATACATGGAGGATCATAACAGCTTGACAACTAGACAAACATTTAACACTGTTGTGGTTAAAAAGACTTTTTATGCATCTAAGGCCATAATAATTAAGAATGTGAAGCCAGTATATCCAACTAGGTCGGTCGGTCGGTTTTCGACATAGAACTTTGCACATATGTGCGGCAGTTCAAGTCGCCACACTCCAAGTAGCACACAAAGGAAGAGAAGAAAGTAGAAGAAATGCATATTACAGACAGCAAACAGAGGTGTGAGACAAAGGAATAGTAATAACGAAGAACAAAACAGTTTCATTGGAAATCCTAAGTCACAAGGAGTGGATGCATCTGCACGAGTCATTGAGAACGATTTTGAGCCATGTCACCAATTGTTTCCAACCATTGGTTTTTACCGTCCCGAGGACCCCAACTAGGAAGTCTACACCTTCCTACTGGCTTAGACTAACTGTTGTAGATTTCATTGACTGGTGCCACGTTTTGCTTTAACAACCACTGGCTCTTTTCCAACCTGGCCCTATATCAGCTAACATTGCCCGTCGAGGAATGCCCTTCGGGCATGCGAATAATGACGCCACATCCCACTATATTAACCAGTGTGAATGTCACACATACATAAGCAGGACTCATCGATCTCTGCAAGTGTGGAATGGCCTCAGAGCGAATTCCTAAATGGTTTCGGAAGCGAATAGAATCCCCAGAACCCAATAATGATGGGAACATACGACCTAGCTCCTCTATTGCGAAACATAATATATAGACGGGATATAAAATTGATGCTTTACACGTCTTTTGAACCTATCTTTAGAACATGTTTGGGGGGAGGGCGTATCCTAAATTTTGTGGAAGCCCTAGCTGGCAATTGGGATGTTTAAACCAATATAATGAGTTCAAAGCAACGATTCGTCATGACATTTAACCTTCCTTGATAAACTTTGTTTTGATACCAGCAAGGGTAAATGTACTGTTACCTCTGTTATTTGGTTTAGTGATCTTCATTGTTATTCTGCCCTTCAATATGTCTTTTTAACTTGACCTAACCTGTCTATTTTTCTCACCTCTTAACTCCTTACTAATTTCATATATACATATATATATATTCCTATGACAAGTCCATGGAGTGTGATCAGATTGTTCGAAATGTGTTGTGCAAATACACTAGACACACGATTTAGATAAATTACGTCTTCTTACTGCTTTGTCTAAATGTTTTATTTGTAATACTGTAACAAACAGAATGAATGAGAAAATGCTAAGAAAGGAAATTTTTCATTAATTCGGATTAAAAACAGCTGTAGTAAATGGAATTGTTGCAAAATAATCTCATCATTAAATCATAGTTTAATTTACAATTAATCTTGTAAAACAGAATCCAATACACATGCTAAGAATGTCTTGACAACATCGTCTATTTAAGAAGTTGCATCAACCTCAAATGGATTGATTGTTCAAGAAATCACAGTATGGATAGAGGACAATTTTTTTCCACTTACGAGATTGATGTCATCTCTCAGGCTCAGGCATAACCTGTCTCTAAGAAAACCGAAGGACTTGTTTGCTGTGTAACATTCTACTCCATTCTACTTTCCGGGTGAGACATCGTCACTGAAAGTGGGACAGGATAACAGTATTTATTCATAAAAGTCTGCTTTCTATCACCCATGCTAAGTGGTGTAGTGTTGCGCAAGCAGGCAAAGTCAATCGGTGAGATTGTGTAGCTGCACCACTTGAGATGACTTGGATGTGCGATACGCATTCTGACTAACTTACAATTAAGTTAGAAGGGAGTCAGAGGTGGTCATGCTTGGACATTTATGAGACACATTTGTGAGATGTAGTCTGCCTGTTTAGGGTGAAGCTAATCACATACTGTAGTCTAGATATATGTGATCTCTAGAAAAAATTCAAGAGGGAACTTAAGGTATACTTCAACTGGAACATAAAGGATTTCAAGCTTTTCTAAAGTTTCAGTAGCGGTGTTGTTGAAAACATTTATTTCCCGATACGAATTTAAAACAAGCAACAGAGGTTAGTAAAGCAGGATTTAATGAATTCATCAAATTTCGGTAGAACTCGTTAGCTAAATATTCTACATACACGGATATATATATATATATATATCAAGTCTTCTTTCGACTACTCGATAAAGCTATCAGGAGAACTTATTATGCTGCAAAACGTGTTTTTCTTAACACCATCAAATAAATGCTTCAACAATCTGGGAAAGATCAGTCGCCAATCCTCGACAGTTTGAGTGTGTTTGTGGAAGCAAATACATAGGTCGTACAGAAAGGCGATTGTCTACTCGCATGATGGAGCATTTGCTGAATGCAAAGTGTCAAAAACTTCAATAACAAAACATCTTGTGGACTATGGACATGATATCGACGCTATCAAGTCATTCACTGTTATCACCAGACAACGAAGCAGGAAGATGCTTGCAATTTGGAGGAGGCTTGTGCAATTCGAGTTTATAAACCAGGTCTCTGTGTACAAAAGGAGATGGTCGTCACTCTGAATCTACCATGATAATACGTTTTACTTATTATTTACTCTTATTATTATTATGGATTTATTTAAAACTATCTTTTATCAGTAACATTATCTTAACTCACTTCAACATTATTCTCATTATTGTTATTATTATTATAACTATTGTTACTGACATTACTTTGTTCACAATTCTTGATATATTAACTGACGGCTAATTTTTTTTCTAAGTGATGTAATTGAAGCGTAATGCAATTTACCTTAATTTTGATCTCTCATACTCCCTCTCCCCTTATCTATTTGAACATGACTTGGAAAACATTCGCACCTGTCTTTCTGCATGACTAATTCAATGTAGTTTATTTGCTTATAAGTCTTATATCTCCCAATGTAATTCCAAAAGTAAATATATATCTGTGTATTTAGAGTATTCAGCTGACGAGTTCTAACGAAAATTTGATGAATTCGTTAAATCCTGCTTTATTAGCGGTATTGTTGTTTTTAGGAGGTGAGTTTGCTAGCCTCATGCCCAAACTTACTTTGTTTCGGGCTTATTAATATCTAGAGGAGGTTCAGAAGTGCCCTGCTTGGAATTTCGATAACCTTCTTAGAGTGTATTGTCATCATTGTGACCTGAAACTAGTGTATAGTGTTCCGAATTATCACACCTCATATTTCCATAGTAAATGTAGTGTAAAATGAAGACAAAAGTGCAGAAATAAGACACCGAAGTGTCCTAAAATATCAGATAGAGTAAAATATAAAAGGGAAATGTGATATTGTGGGAGGGGTAGCGTGGGGGTTAAAAGATAAATTCATGAAAGAATCACAATACACCACAATTTATTCTGACCTGTGTTTTCTACAATTCTCAACTATGAGTCAATGATTTTTCCCATTAAAATAAAAAATAAATTACAAAACACTGATGTCGAGTTAGTGATTCTACATAATTCAGAGACTTGTCTCTTATGTCAAGAAAAATATTTGCAACTGGCTTCATATTCTCACTAACAGCTGCCTTCGATCCATACTGAAGATCGAATGGCTGGCCAGAAAGGATAACGAACATGGATCTGGGGCAGCAAGCCGACCAAGGACCTATAACCCGAGAAATATGCAGAAGGAATTGGAGATAGATCAGATCTACTCCTATTGGAAAGTTGAATGACACTACTATCCAGGTAGGGAGTCAAATGGAGTATGAGCAGGAACAATAATAATAACAATGATAATAATAATAGCAACTTTATTCGGGGCAGTATTTATAAAGTGTACTGGATTTTTAGAGGAGTTTAATACATGATATTTTTCCTTCATACAATATCTTCAAGTGAAATATTAAATAACAGTATCTCCTGTGACACAATTGTCTTTGAGCTGAAGAACAAACCATTCCATTATGATATATCTGCTTTGTCTTGTTCCTTCAAGAAATCCATCCACGATATCGATCTAGTTGAAAGCCAATTGTAAGATGTTTAGAAGTACATTTTGAGACCGAAAGACATCATAAGTGAAGAACAGTTATCTCTCATGTACTGGAAGATATTGCAAACCCACAATCAGGCCATTCTTCAAGTTTAGTAGAAACTTGAGAATCAAAAGCCTGAAAAACATTTTAAATACACACAACAGTAGTCATATTCTAATCGATTAAAACAAAGCGAAATCGGAGAAATGTATGCAATAAAGAGATGGAAGTTTTTCGGTAGTCCAAGTTTTAATCAGGCCGCCAATCATGAGACGACTTGGGTGCGGGTCAGGGGTAACATGGACGAGATCATATGAAGAGCAAATGGAAGCTTATATGCAGTGATGGAGTTAGCTAAGAAAGCCTTCAAAGAACAGAGTGTGATGACGATATTTCACTGAAGTCTTATTTTCTACTCGAACAAACTGACTGACTGACTGAGATTCAACCTAGAACTTTGCAAAAAGGTATACCAATCCAAGCTGCCACACTCTATGCAGCAAACAAAGATAGACAAAAAAGAGAACAAATTAACATTCAGGAATAATAATAGTAACAAGCATAAATGTGAGGGAGAGGGACAGAAGCATAGAAGAAAGATGAAAGTTCAGTGAATATGGGGGATAACGAAGAGTGAATGCATCTGAGCAACCATATCACCAATAGTCTCCGACCACAGGTTCTTAGCATCTTAGGAACCCTATCCAAGAAGTCAACACCCCCTTACATGATTGGCTCAAACCAACAGGTAAAGGCTTCATGGAATAATGTTCTGGTCTTGATTTGACCACGCCTTACTCTTTTCCAGCCTAATCCTATGTCAACAAAAACACTACTCGTAGAGGAAGACGATGGCTTAGCATGTGTCACACATGTTCTCTCCGTCTCAGTCGATCTACCTCAGAACCCAAGAGAATAATTACATCAGTGGTAGTAAATGTGATGTTGGAATGAGATAAAAGATTTATAATTCACTGTTAAGCATTTCAATTACATTTTTAATAATAATTTGCTTTATTCCAAAACAGTACGTGTGATACAGAATGGAATTCTCAGCATTTTTACTACAGTATTGCATCCATTTAAAACATTATCAATAAATAGAATTCTACATAGATTAAGGAAATCTCAGTTCATTATGACAACAACATATTGGCATGTCGGTAGCAAAGGTAAAGGTGAACAGTGTTTGAAGGTGTTAGAAAAGTAGATGCTATCATATTTACTGGCGTAAGTGGAAGAAAGAAACAAAGCAGCACATAACGGGAAGAAATAAAAAAAGAGAGAGAAAAGGAAAAAAAGAAAGAAAATGTTATACCTTTAAATGATATGAGTTGGAAACACGAGATCCAGTTGTTCTACTGACGATTTGATGAATTATAGGTGTCACGCCTGATGCTTTCTTTATCACAGAGAACACGAGCTAAGTAGGGTATGGTTGAGTTTTTGTACTTGCTAGTGTGAGCATATAGTTTTCTATATAGGCTTCTGGTTTTGCCTGATGAGATGCAAGGGGAGATTTGTGAGTGAGGAGGGTGGTGTGAGATAGATAAAATGGATTTGGCCCATTTTTCACATGAGTCCATGTGTCTGTCAACCAGAATATTAACAAGCTGGTTAGGTGGCACATTTTTTACCCTGCTGACAATCTTTAACATCCTGCGTAATGAGGTACAGTCTTTCTTCAGTAGCCCGGGAAAAACTAAGGGGGAACATTAGAGAATAATAGGCAGAATGCGAGAGTTAACGAATTGTAGGAGTAAGGGTTGGGCTATACCAGAATATTTTAACTTCTTGATGTAGAAGGTAAGACAGAATATTTTCTTAGAAATCGCCACGATATGAGACGACCAGGAAAGATTAGCAGATAGAATTATGCCCAGGTATTTAATTTTCGACTTGGTTTCTATTTCAGTGACATTAATGTTTCACATCTCATGAGAGCCAACCAGTTTGTTTTGGTCGTATTTATGCCTAAAAGTGACATTGACTGTTTGGCATTTGGAAGGGTTTAAGGTAAGACCGTTTTTCTTGGACCACTGGCTGATTTCTGACAGAAATCCATTTAGTTTAGAGCAGTCACTTTGACATTTGACAGGCAAAGATACGGTCAGGTCGTCAGCATATTTGACAAAATTGATGTCATTTGAAGATGGTAAGTCATGTAGAAAGAAAGAAAAGTGAAGTGGGGAGAGTACAGCACCTTGGGGGACATCAGCTTCAGTGAGTGCAGCAGAGGAGGATTTATTTTCATGTATTCAACTGTAAAAATACTTTTACCGGAATTCTTTATAACACCTTGTACATTTTTTATTTTTTCTTAGCTCAACATCCGTTTACAGTGATGAAAAATTGTTTAACCAAACTTGCCACATATGAATCAGTTTGTAAGAATTGTTTTGGAAGTATTACTAGCCTAGAAAAGAGTGAAAAGTTACAGAGCTGTAGCATACGACATCAGCAGTCATCGCTGTCATCCTCATTTGATTCTGAAGATCAAATATTTATCCGATTGTTAGTTCAATATCTGTCAGAATGCCTTTCATACACGGTAGGTAGTGTTTTGTGCCAGTCATATGTATAATTTATTTATCTGAAGTGGAGATTTAAATTTCATTGATGCCATTCTATCAGCAGATAAGAAATGCAACACACCAAAGAGTATCATTATTATTATTACTGTTAGTCATTCTTTGAGTTTTAAGTGGAACATATTATTATTATCATTATTGTTTCCTTTAATTCCTACAGGAACATAGGGCTTCAGCCGTGCGTCTCCATTGCGTTCGGTTCTCTGCTACAGTCTTCACCTGGCTCCAAGTCTGCCCACACGTTTTCATCTCCTCTTCACGTGACCTCCTCCAAGTCACCCTCGCACTGATGACCAACTCGCCGCTTCACTTTCAGCCGGGTTCCACTCGAGCAATGGCTTGTCTAGTGATGTCACTTGATGGTTTCCTCAGAGTATGGCCAACCAATCCATCTCCATTTCTTCCTGCTTATTTGTTTCACAATCGGTTCCTGATGCGTTGGTTTGCTCCCAGAGATCTATGTTGCTGTTCTTTGCTGGCCATCTGATCTTGAGTATTGAGCGAAGACAGCTAGCTGTTGATGAAGGTCTGTAGTTTGTTTGAGATGCTCCTTATGACGCGCCAAGTCTCTGATCGTATAGTATCACTGACTGACTCCACATTGGAGTTGAAAATCCGGATCTTGTTTTTCATGCTGAGTGCTAAGTGCTGACCTCCACACAGACTTGAGAGTAGTGAAAGCTTGTTTTGCTTTTCCGATTCTTGCTTTGATATCGGAACATAGGCATTCATGATATGACCGTTAATGCACTTGATAGTTTGGGCTGACAAACTTTCTAATGACTATTATCAGTAACAAGAACACGATACGATACAACCGAACTCTCGACGCAGGAAGGCAGATCGTTTACGTGGAAACCTTTTAATGTCTCGAATCAACAGCGAAAAGGTTTGACAGCAATGGCTTTTATGTTGTATGCTTTACATGACCTAGAGAGATATTAATTGATGTATAATCCCCATCCATGCATTAATGAAAACAAAACACGTAGATAAGCGAAGAGTCTCTTTTCGGCGAATTCATTTTCTTAGCTGTGCAATCGCAAATATATATGTGTTATTTTGTATGTATGTGAACAATAAGTTTATCAAACAAAAATACAATTCACGAAAAATACCCATTTATTCATAAGTAAAAACACAGTTTTTGTTCAGCGAAGAAATTTCTTTTCAGCGACTTCATTTTCATGCTGTACAGTCGTATTTATATTACAGAAAAGGTCATTAAGTGGCACTAAATAATTGCTCAGTCAGTATACATATATGTGATAAGAATAACGATAATTGAAATGTTATAAGGGGTAGATTTGAAGTGGATAAATTACAAAAGTATTAAAGACTGTTTTATAAGTGAATTGAAAAATGTTTTAAAAATTTCAACACTCATGTCAAGCCATCCACCTCTTCTATATGGCTCAAAGACATGATTCGCACTGTCGCGAAAGCCATTTCTGACAGACTGGTGTAGACTTTTATCAACAACTGCCTTTGCTTCGTACTGAAGATCAGATAGACCGCCAGAAAACATAAACTACAAAGAACTCTGGAAAAAACCAACCAGGGACCAGAGGAAAATAGGTCTTCAGCCACACGTCTTCATTGCGTTCGGTTTTCTGCCAACATTTTCATCGCCGGGCTCCACGTCTGCCCACATGCTTTCATCTCCTCTTCACATGACGTCATCCATGTCAACCTAGCACTGACTGCCAAGACGCCACTCCACATTCAGTCGGGTGATGTCACTTGATGGTTTCCTCAGAGTATGGCTAATCCATCTCCATTTCCTCCAGTATATTTGTTGCACAATCGGTTCCTGGTTGATTCGCTCATTGCCAGAGATCCCTGTAGCCCAGTAAATATGTAAGGGGAAATGGAGATGGATTGGATTCACTCTAGGGAGATTGTTAGGTAACAACACATGCTAGGCCTTCGAGTGGATCCAATGGGATACGACAAGTTAGCCATTGGTCAAACGGTGTCATAGAGGCCATTGTGTGGGGAGATGAAGATTTATATGCAGTCGTATTGTCAGCTAAACAGGACTGCAGAAACCAAGATGTAAGGTGAAGCCCTGTGTTCCACTTGGAGCCCAAAAGAATGATAATAATAATAATAGTAAATATAGTCTTTCTCAGTCTGTTTTCTTCCGTTTGGTTAAAGGTATTTTGTTTACAAACATTACATTTAGTGTAAGTTTTATTGTTTTGTTCCATTTTCTCTTCCACAGGATACAAAACTACAGCCAGTTTTTGTCTGTAAACTGGAGGCACTTATTGAAATATTATACAATATATTATCGCATAGAACTGGTCAAATAATGTGTCAAAATTTGATAAGGTATTCAAGTTTAACCACTTTTTTAATTTTCAAGTATATTCACAGATATATTTATAATTTACGATTTTAAGTGAGTGATATAAGAATAGAACTTGTGCACTGTGGTAGAGTATAATTCCATTGTGGGTAAAATTTCTTCAAAAGAAACTCCATAGTAGTTTTGGGTAAATCTGACTGTATCAAGAAAGTCACTGAACATATTAAGGCGGGTCCATATGAAGAAATAAGGAAGTCTGTAGACAATCATTTGGCAGATCACTCTAGCTGTACGAACCAAACACTTTATTGAAGCTTTGAAATGAGTATACTGACTAGTTAATGTGGGTATTCGATAGGTATCCCTTCTCATTATACTCTCCTCCTCCCTAGTCATATGAATGTCTAAGGATGAAGTGCTGTCAGTTCTTTCTTTCTCGATAGTAAAATAATTACATGGCTAACATCATTAAATATAACCAGCTTGTTGTTCATTGTTTCATTCTCGTTCTACATAATTAAGAACACATCATCCATCTAACGACAATGGTCCATCAGTTACGTCTTTCAAGAATCCATTTTCTAGTTTTCCGAAGAAAATAGCAGGTGGAATTAATCCTAGTGGTAACCCCATAGTTGCTAATTAAACAAATATCATACACAAATTGGTGGATGGTGACTAGCAATGGAATCCAGGATGCGCATTCCGCCACATTTGGGACTCGTCAACTGGATGTACTTGCATTCCACAGTGAGTGATGATGTTCCCACCGAGGCTCGAACCCAGTGCTCATAGTTTCAAACGCCAAAGCGTTATCCACTAGACCACTTGGGCCACGAGAGCCACTTCTTGTTCATTGGGTCATATTAATTATTCATTTGAATTTTAGATTTTCCTTTCGATTGATTGGACCAAAGTGTTCGGTCTCAGGTTGACATGTGGGCTTCTTGTGCAGATGTTTCGACGATGTCTGGGCATGTTATGGGTTCGAGCCTCGGTGGGAACACCATCACTCCCTGGGGAATGCAGGTACATCCGGCTTACGAGTCCAAAAAAGGACGAAATGTTCATCCTGGATTCCACCACTACTGCTAGTCACTATCCACCAATTAACTTCTAATGACATGCCCAAACATCTTCGGAGCATCTCAACAAGAAGCCGACATGTCAAACTGAGACCGAGCACTTCGGTCCAATCAATCGACAGGAAAATCTAAAATTGAAATAAATAGTACATGTATATATACGTAGCGCCAGATAAAGCTATCGGAAATAATATTCCTTACTCAATCAGCTTCTGTCTTCTGACTGTGAATTCTGTATAATATTATCAGCAGTTTCTAAAATATCTACAGGATCAATCAATGAGCATTAATCCACGCTACAGTGATATAACCACGCACTTTACCTATTTTTTTCCCTTCACGTTCCCCAGTGGAACACAGGGCTTCAAGCTAGTGGCTTGAAGTTTCTTTAGCGGTGTTTATTTTACAGGGTGGGGTTGTTAGCCTCATGCCCAACCTTTCCTCTTCACCAGCATTATTTCTGGCTTAGCGAGGTCTGGGAGTGCGTTGGTGGCCGGGGATCGAGCCCCGGACCATGTGCATGGTCGGCGGGCGTCCTAACCGCTATACCACCGACGCACGTACTTTACTTATAAGGGTCTAAATTTTGGGGATCAAACTGCTCAGTCTTTCAAACAATTCCTTGTATTTGTAATAGTTTCAGTAAGGATCTTATGCAGGTTTATTCAACATCATTTCCAGTCTTCAGCATTTTAACTCAAATGAATCTTTACTTTTTCTCCAGCGAACCGTTGAACTTGATCGAAAACTTGTTAAATTTTGCACTGAAGCTGTTAAATACGTCAACGAAAACTATTAAAACTTGTAATGCCAATGATCAGTCTTCCCAACATCATCATCGTCTACTGAATGTAGTTATCAAAGTAATTCATTGTGGTCAATATGTGATTCGACGTTCTACAAATTTGCATTTTGATAGTGTGCATCAATTCAATGCCATGTTGGTCAGCGCATGGCATCAAATAGTTGTAAGTCACACCTATAGTGTTCTCTTTGACTTTATTGTCATTTTGTCATTATCATTAACTGACTGACTGACTGAGTTTCAGTGAAGAAATTTGCAAAGGAGTTCAACAGTTCAAGCTGTCACATTCTATGCACAGAGAGAGATAAGAGTGCAAAAAGAAATTGAGAACCGTGGCGAGCAGAAATATGGATTTAACAGAGTTGTTGCATTACAACGAGTCAATGCATCTGCGTCATTGCAAACGGTTTCAAATCATTGGTTTTTAGCACTATGAAGACCCTAACCAGACAATCTATACCTCCCTGAGTGGTCACTTTAAACCACAAGTCGAAGACTTCATGGATTCACCCCTTACTCTTTTCAAAACCAATCCTATATCATCTAACCTTGCTTGGTAGGAATAGCAGTTTTTCGGTTTGCAAAGCACACATTCTAGCCATTTCAATCGGTATAGTTTGAAAGTGTAACTCAGTGGTTTTTAGTATTCATCGCGACACTTGATTTCCATCTCAGATGTTGAACTAATAATTTCCACCTACTCTGTTGTTTCACTGGGTCGAGTATGATCTTAAATCGTTATGTGACAAGACATATCGTGTAGCAGATTGATCGATATGTGCATTATCGATGAATTTAGGAATTGGTACTATTGTGTAGTGATCCCAGTTGATAAATCACACATCTACACATCATAAAGGAGAAGGTATTAAGATAAATGATGAAAATATGAAAATTATCTTATCAAAATGTCTAAAATACTGTAGTATGAAGGTGGAAGTCAGCGGGATGGCGAATAAGTAGAGGTAATTTTGACTCGATAAGATGAGGAATAAGAGGTATCTGTATCATTGTAGATGATTGACAGTCATATCAATCGATCATCAGCTTTACTTTCGATGAGATTTAAAGATAGACAATATAAATTTCACAGCCTAAGTATCTTAGACGAAAGCTTAAGTCATTCATGCAATTATAACAAGTCTGTATATAGCAGCTAGCTTTTGACTTTTATAGCCATACAATAGGGCAGAACGAATTACTGTGGACCATATTTGATTCTTTATCCACACTTAGATATTCTATGAGTGCTGCGTCTTCTACAGCTTCACAGGCTGTAACTATCAAGACGTTTCCATGAAGGGTTTCAAACAGATCTGCCCTTTTTATCATTCTTTGCATTCTGAATGGAACGAAGGCAGGTTCAAGCCTTGAAAGTTCCATTGGTGGTAGTGTTGTTTATTTCCAGGGTGAAGTAGCTATCTTCATACACAACCTTTCCTGTCTTTTGGACTTACTACCTGTTAAGTAAGGTTTAAGAATGTGTTGACCGGGAGTCGAACTACTGACCACTTGCATGACTGGTGAATATTCTATCATTGGACCACTTGGGCTTGACCCTAGCTGTTCATTTATTTATTCGTCTGGAAGAAAACAAAATATATGCTTCAGGAAAAATCTGCAATTTGGACAGTGTTGGTTTTATAGTTCTCAAATGGAAATCACCCGTAATCTGTGCTTTTTCGACTGTGTATCTTTTAATTATTATGTCAAAGGGATTTTAATCACTCAGGGTAAACTTCTTTCAGTGATTCAGGAAAACAATCCTATTTTATACTTTGGTAGATCACTAGATATTAACTGATGTTATGCGGAGTGAATCTCATCAGTTAAGTTTGCAATATGGCCACCAAGTTAGGTGGCTTCCCATCGTCGTGCCGACAAAATCAAGTGATCAGAAGGCGACGATACTATTAGCGTATTCCAAAACGCAGCTGCAAATATTCACATTGTGTAATCTCTGGTATTACGATCTATAGAGATATGTAAAAAAAATCAATGCATATTGGCATTGGAGAGGATCACAAGTGTTCTGCCTGCCTTTTTATTACTTCCCATCTAATTCTACCTGCATTCCAGGGAGTAGTGTTGTCCCCTATTCGGACTCACTTGCCAACTAAACTAATGTAATCTATTGGCTTTATGTAGATTTTGATCACGCACCATCATCAATTCTAGCATCGTTGAAAGCTCAGGAGAGCTAGACAGCTGTCTCATCCTAGTTTTGAACTCTTCATTAACCATGAGAACACTCATAATCTTCCTAGGGATCAAAACTAGCCACATATTATGCAACATATATTTTTTGTGATCATTTATTTTTTGACTGGTTAGAGGATTTCATCATGAGCTGACACCAATTAGAGAACCTGGGAGTACCTGAAAGCTTTTTCATCAGTTTACACCCACACTGCGGGTTTGAACTCAGGGCTTTCTGATTACAAGGCTGGTGAGCTCGTAGACCATTAAGCCACTGGGAGGCGATCCAATGGCCAGTCCATGAATTCTAACTTCTGCTAATTCATTACAAAGAGTTACCACTTCGCAGTGCCTTCTTCTTCGATGAGTTACTGCCTCACCTTCAACCTGCTGCACCCTACTGATTTCCAATTAAACTGTTTTGTTCTCCGTTATTACTATTCCTTTGTCTCACACCTCTGTTTACTGTCTATATTATGCATTTCTTCTACTTTTGTCGAAAACCGACCAACCGACCGACGGTTTCCCACTGGAACCCGAGGTAACTGCCCACCTGAATAAGACCAGTCGCTAGTGAGCATCAGATCAATTTTCAACCAACCAACCAAACAAAATCCTTACAAAACCTTTAGTTGAAAATTTACTTTTTTTAACTCGTAATTTGTCATTCATCTGTTGTAATTTTCCAACTTACCATTTCATTAATCTGTTTGTATTTCTGTGTTTCATTTTAGAATTTGCAGTCAACTTCGAATGTTGAGTATGTTCAGTTTTATTACGATTTTTTAACATTTGAGTTTTTATGCATTTACAAAATTATATGTGCTACTCATATTATTCCACTTGGAGGTTTTAACACTTTAACACCGAGATACTGGCTTCATCCTGTGGTCTAAGTTTCTTTTTTCTATGAATTTCCGTGGTGTTTCAAAAATGTGGCGTAAAAGATGATGTCAGACCGTAGCAACTATTTTTGAGCAACTGTGCTTTTTAACTGGAGCATGGTGACTAGCAGTGGAATCCAAGATGCGCATTTCGTCTTTTGTGTGACTCATCACCAGTATGTACCTGCATTACGCAGTGAGCGATATTGTTTTCACCGAGGCTCGAACTCAGTGCCCATAGTTTCAAACTCTAAAGTGTTATCTAATACACTACCTGGGCCACGAGAGCCACCTCTTTTGCAACGGGTCATATTAATAATTCAATTGAATTTTAGATTTTCCCATCGATTGATTGGACCGAAGTGCTTGCTTTCAGGTTGACATGTCGGCTTCTTGTGCATATGCTTCGACGATGTCCGGGCATGTAATTAGTAGTTGGTGGATCGTGACTAGCAGTAGTGGTGGAACCCAGGATGCGCGTTTCGGTTCAATCAATCGACGGGAAAATCTAAAATTGAATTAAATAGCTGTATGTTTTTATTTGAATGAGTTTAGGTTTTGTTAAGACACCATAGAAAGTGGCTCCAGACATATTAGTGCACACTGAACTTTTCCATGAATCGAAATGAGTTAAACAATCATTAGAAACTGTGGAGTACTGCTGGACAGGTGTTTTATTATAGTTTTAGGCTCTTCAACTGGATGCTGTCACATGCATGACCCACTGGAGTATCAAACCAAAGTCTATAGGAGTGAGTCAGTTCAGATATTCCTCGATCGACAGCCGTTTTGTATTCGTGAACATGGAAATACGACACTTTATGATACTTGACAAGGTGATTCACATAGCCACTGAAATATTCTATTAATTTGAGGTTACACAAAACATTTCGGCGACATGTCAAGGAGCAGGTAGACATGTTTTTTACTCGTTCAGGATCCTCAAATAAACTACTAATCGATAGTGATGTAGTGTTGTTCGATGTGAAGACTTGACTTTTTTTCCTTCACGTTCCCAAGTGGAACATAGGGCTTCAAGCTAGAGGCTTGAAGTTTCTGTAGCAGTGTTTATTTTTACAGGATGGGGTTGCTAGCCTCATGCCCAACCTTTCCTCTTCACCAGCTTTTAGTTCTGGCTTAGCGAGGTAAAGGAGTGCGTCGGCCGGGGATCGAACCCCTGACCATGTGCATGGTCGGCGAGCGTCCTTACCGCTATGCCACCATCGATGTGAAGAATTACATTTTTTCTTCCCTTATTCTTTCCAAAAGTAGTAGTAGATTGAAAGCACGGAATGTACACATTTAATCGTAGGGAATAATAAAAAGACAGTTACAGCGAAGAAAAATTTCTTTTCGACGAAATCATCAACTAGGCACTATATTCGTGTATTCATAATAAATGCATGGGAAGGCTCCAGAATAATTTCCGTTCAAGGGTTAAATTAATAAAATTACAATTAGGAATTAAAATGCCATAATAAACAGGGGGACGGATAAAACCCAAACAAGTAGCATCATAATTACTGTGAAGATTGACATTTTGTTATGCAATTAAGGGTAAGAACTGTAGAAATAACAAAAATAGACAGGATGTTTGGATAATAAATCTAGTGGGATCATAAGTAATGCGGCGAATAATTGTTTATGCAATTAGGAATTAAATATGTAGAAATAATTAAAAAAAATGACAAAATAAACAGGAAGTTCGGATATGAAAATATGGTAGTGTAAATAGGGATTACGAAAACTTAAAAATAACATGAATAAGCAGGAAGTTTTGATAAGAAAGGCAATGGGACAGTCACTATTAAAAGAATTACCTGTTTATGATGGTCATTGCAGGGACAAGGGTTGGACGTATTTTTTTGGATACATAGCGTGGGTTTGAATTTTTGGATGGCTAGTGCCTCGGCTGTGCCCAGATGTCTTAATTCTACTCCTTTTGTTAGGTTTGATCGAATCTTGTATATTATTTTGAAGGATTTTCGAATGGCGCTGAATGTTCTGAATTGACCAGATGTTCTGTCACTGAACTATATACACGTTTTCGTTCTCCTTTTACTAGCCAGGCTGGATAGTGTTCACGAGCGCTTTTTTCAAGTTGGCGCATGGTATAGCCGATGTACTCAGCTCTGCAAGAGCAAGTAAACTGGTATATGCATGCTGAAGTGACCCAATGCGACAACTTGTCTTTCACGTTCTGGCTGATTAGTTTCTTGCAGCAAAACGGTAGTCGTAGGCTCGTGGTGAAGTATGTTATCCTCAGAGGTTTGGAGAGGTGTTTACGAAGGATTACTGATTCATTGTCACCTTTGAATTCAAGATTAAGCATCAGCGTCTTCTTCGGGACCTACTGGACTAGTTTGGAAGTCTTCTTTGATTTTTGATCCTTGCCTATGAACCTATGCAGTTCTTCGTCAAAATTGTGTATGAGTACACGTCGCGATCTAAGCACATAATTGTACGATTAAAACGATATGAAACAGCTAAATATCGATAAATTACACGGAATAGGAATCTCGATATCCAACTGATTTAAGCAGACCATTGTTGTGACTTTTGAGTTATCTATCGGATATACACTGTTCTCAAGTGATGACTTGCAGGTATTTGACTAATTGACCAATCAGCACCAACGGATTGATTGGTGACGAAATATCAGCACGGATCCAAAAAGCTCGGGCTGCTTTCGCTAACTTACACCGTCTCTGGCGTAGGCGTGACATCCGGCTATCAACCAAAGGGACGTGTGTACTGCTCAGCAGTTCGCTCACTCATTTTCCTGTCTACCTTTGTGTGCTATTTGGAATGTGGCACCTAGAACTGCTGCACTTCGGTGCCAAGTTTTATGTTGAATCCAGACAGACAGACTGATTTAAAGACTGATCACGAAACTGTGCTAGTTACAGAACCAATGAAAACCAGGGAATACTAGACAGTTGTTTCTTCATTATTCTGGACTCCTCAGCACTAGACACCTGTAACTCCACCATCTGTCTGGTACTTCGTGATTTTCATCAGTTCTCTAAATGAAGTCAATTCGTGATCAATTTCTATATATGCCACTCTAAAAAAATTTATTTTCATATAACATTTCAATGCTTTCACTTATTCCAATATCTTTTTCTTTTATTCTATTATCTAAATTAGCCCTAAACTAGACGATTCAACATGGGGAGAATTTTTATCAAATTTAAAAGACTGTTTAATTCATTCACTTGGCTATCCAGTTGGAATTGAATCATTGAGCAGTGCAAATTTATTAACACGCTGTATAGACTACTTACAAAAGTATCTTACCAGTCAGTGTAATGTAAGTATAGATGTGCATGTGTGTAGGCGTCTGTGTGAGTGCCTCACATTTTCATATGTTAAGGCTGTGAGTTACTATCTTTCATTGGTGTCATTTATTTGTATAATGTAATGCGCAAAGTTGAACGATAATGATCCATTATAGCGGAAATATTCATTCAGACATCTAGAAAAAACAAGAAATTGAGCAGAGAATATCCTTCTCGATAATTTCCTCTTCTGCCTCTCCAATTATATATATGTATGTTTATATACATGGAATGTTCTAAAATATTCGTCAATAACAATATTGGAGTGGTTTTTAAATAATGTCGATTTATTAAGTGAGATCACAATGGAATTACAGCTCATTAAAGATGCTTAAATTATAATAATCATAAAAATATAATAGCGAATAGAATGTCAACTAAAATTAAGGAAATTTCTACACAACATTGAGGATCATCGAACCTAGATAGCCAAGGTAAGAATACATAAGTTAGGTTTCTTAATGTGGATCCCAACGGCCAGCCTCAGCAATATGTAGTAGACGAACTCTTAAGGCGAAGTTAGGATATGTTGGTATGCAGTAAATGATTTTTAAAGTCTCCTCGTTGACATCAACCTTGTGTTCTGTATCCACAATGTGAGATAGAATAGAGCTATGAATAGATTTTGTTTGTCCTTTACTTAACGACGCAGGATGGTGTTTTGAAATCCGACGGTAAACGTGCCTAATTCTAAGGCCTAAGCAGCTAACTGGCTTGCTAGGAGCAGTCAAATCGGTAGATACACATAAACGAGGCGAAATTAGACAGTTTATCTTTTACTCCTGAATGCAAAATAGGTGTGGTTTTGAAGATACAGCATAATTCAGCAGCATGGAATGCTTTTTTTTAACGCATTCCTATGGCTTTGTGTCAATATTTCGCTGATGTTATCTCCGAGGAAGTGAAGTTGCAAGAATAAGGCCTTTTTAAGAACTGTTGAGCTGCTTTGATTTTAGATTCAGATTCTTATCAATAAACGTTTCTGGATAACCGTTTTCACTCAGCAACTGTTCAATAATATTAAGCTCTTCATTATTACATATATCATAGCAGATCGCTCTTGCTCTATGGACCAAATACTTTATCAAATTGAGTTTGTATTTCAAGGGTACGAAGCTAAAAAAATGAGTATACTGACAGTTAGTTGATGCAGATCTCCCATTTACACTCGTTCTTATTGTAGCGTCCACATTTTTGGTCATAAGGGTGTCTCAGAATGAAATGCTAGTCTTTTTCTTACTCAATGGTGAAATTTATTGCAGGATGAACATCGTCAAATTTGTCCCGGTTGTTCTTCGTTTCATCCACATTTTTCATAATCAAAAATGCGCCATCCATATACCGACAGTAGAATCCAAGTCCACGAATTACATTTTTCAAAGACCCATTCTCCAGTTTCGCAAGGAAAATGTCGGCTAGAATGAGTCCTATTGGTGACCCTATTGCCACACCAAAGATTTCTCTGTATAGATCCTTATATATATAAATATAATTATAGAGCCAGAAAAAAAATTGTCGAAAAGGATATTCTTTGCCCAATAATGATCCAATTGAAAGAGCTCATGGGTGACTATAAATGACCAATCAGAGATTTAGGTGTTGAAACAGTTTGTGTTTTATTAGGATTAGCTTAAGTTTGGATTTAAAAAAATCCCGTTAAAAATTATTGCTTAGGTTTTTGTTTGGAGCTCTGTTCTGGATGAAGTCTTTTCGGTTAATCCTGCATATAATTCATTATGGTAAGCCTAAAGTATACCAACCCATGAGAATGACCCACAGAATGAGCCAGGTGAGACTCCTTATACCAATGTCTTCCGGAAACTGCATTTCAGTACTGTTAGGCTTTTAGGAAGGGCCAATCATCCAACATCTTTTAGAAGGTGAATTAATCGTCTACACGAACAGATGGAATGGGGGAGTTACAGACGGTTGGCGTCATTCCGTTATTCTCAAAACGCTGTAAATTATTTTTCTAATTTCGTTGATTCTTTGGCTGGCATGCATAGCAGCTGTATAGAGCGATTCTGTGAGCATTTATTTTCAGTGATTAATTGGTGATATACAGTTATCTCGACGAATTCATGTAGAAACATTGGTGTAGACATTTATAAAAAGTATAAAAGACCATTATCCTGTATAACAGCTAAACATTGCACACTAGCCTCTTCAGGATCATTTGTGCCTAGTTTTGATTGGATAACTAATCTTTACCTTACCCATGTGGTATTAGAGCCTCGTTAGGCCATAGATGTGTGTGTATGGTACTTTAACTACCAGTGCATCTTGATATATGAGTTGTGACTGATCCACAGTTGATTAGTGGAAGTCTAAACCTCAATGTTGAGTGTTTCAGTCAATGAACCGCATTTTTATCACACCATCATTGTGCACCTTGATTATATCACAACCGGTTTCATTTTTTAAAGCAATAGTTGATTTCCGTCTCATTCGTCAATATTATTGGTTTGGCATAGATCAATGAATATTGGTTGCTTCATAAATTTATTCCCCTATGTGGATTTGAATAAAGCAAGAACAACTGTGGTTTGTGCAGATTAATATGGCACCATTATTGTTTATTTCGTCGACTTCTTATCAGCTGTTTACAGCCTAAATAAATTATTAGGTTTATGTATGGAAAAGTCCTAACATACTTGCAAATTTGATGATATTAGATAGTTGGAGGCAATCAGCAGGAAGCCTTGGAACTAGGTTTCGTGCTAGTTGGCACTCATCAGCAAGGCGTATCTGCAACTTTGAAGGAACTCATGTCCTTTCTGAGATTCGAACCCGCATCAACCAGTGCTGCAGTCAGAGACGTTACCACTGAGCTATTCGGGCTCGCGATTGACCTCCTGTAGGACTGTAGTGGGTATTTTGATTAGACACTAGCAACTAGTGTGGCGTGTCTAGTCCTTTCTTTGGTGCAGATTGAATTCTATCAATAAAAGTACCAACTACAGTCCTACAGGAGGTCAATCGCAAACCCGAATAGTTCAGTGGTAATGTCTCTGACTGCAGCACTGGGTGACGCGGGTTCGAATCTCAGAGTGAACATAAATTCCTACAAGGTTTCAGATACGCCTTGCTGGTTGATGAGTGCCAACTAGTACGAAACCTATGTCCAAAGCTGCTTGCCGATTGCCTTCAACCATCTAATACCAACAAGATAGTGCTTTTATAACCGCATAAAATGGCGGATCTCTTACATGTTCAAAAAAACTGGAGACTAACTGAACAAAACTCAACAAGCACTTGGCACTGAAATATCAACAGGGACCTCGCGTACTGAGTCAATAAATATCAACTGTCCAGTACTCCTAGATTTTCCAATAGTTCTCTAACTAATGTCAGCTCATGATGAAGTCCTGTAACCAATCAAATCCCTACAAACCATTACTTGAAAATCAATGAGATGTTCACTAGCGACTTGTCCTATTCAGGTAGGTAGTCACCTGGGGTTCTAGTGAGAAGTCGTGACCAGTAGGGTGCAGCAGGTCGGGCGTGAGGACAAATATTCGCCGAAGACATTGGCTAGGGGTCGCACTATGTCGTGAATTGGCAGAAGTTGAAATTCATCGACTGGCCATTGGATTGGGTCCCAGTAGTTCAATGGTCTACGAGCTAGCTTGCTAGCCTTGTAACCAGAAGGTCCCGGGTTCGAACCCTGGTGGTGGGTGCATACTGATGAAGAGTCCCTAACTAGGACGAAACAGCTGTTCAGTATTCCCAGGTTTTCCAGTAGTCATCTAACTAATGTCAGCTCATGATGAAATCCTGTAACCAATTAAATAGGCTATTAGTTTTCGTATTTTCTATTGACTACTTTGTTTTGTTTCTTTGAATTTGGTTTGCTTATTCTGAGTGACATTTGCTTACTATCTCTTGTATCAAGATATCTTTTATCAGACCGCATACATTTGGCTACTTGTTAAGTCAACTGGCATTGAATAAATCTAGCCTACTGGGTTTGCATAACTCGCATATTATTGAACTATTAGTCAGACAAGCCTGGAAATCAATTGAATATTTTGAGTGTACTGGTCATACAGAGTTAACTGGGAATTATTCATCCATGCAGAGGACATTTCATCCACCGATATGGTCTATTGATCCAATTGATAAAATAGCTTATAAGGTGAGAAGTAAAGTCTGTATGTGTGTCAGTGCGTGTACGTTGTAATGAATGGATTTCATTTCTATCTGCATGATTTTTCCGGTTTTATTTGTTTTTGTTACAAGCAGTGGAAATTCACACGTAGACAGAAGACAAAAGAAAGCAAATATGCACATTTTAATACACTTCCTCATCATTGGGCTTTCACAGCTATATATGCACAACATCTAAGGAGTAATTGATACTGATAACACTGAGGACAAAGTTGTCTGAAGTTCTATTAAGAAGTCGTGATCGGTGGAGTCCACCAGGACAGGAGTAGGGACAAATACTTGGCTCGCATGACACTGGCTGGTGTATTGGGTTTGGTCCAAGTGGCTGAATGATCTATGAGCTCATAGTGTATGTGAAATATCCAAAGTCTGAACCCCTGTGGGTACATAATTTTGAAAGAGTCCCGAAATTAGGACGAGTTGATCTCCGACGAAATCTCAGCACGAATACAGAGGGCTAGGTTCGCATATGCCAGTTTACGCCGTCTCTGGCGTAGACGTGATATCCGGCTGGCTATTGACCAAAGGGCGTGTGTACTGCTCAACAGTCCACTCCGTCTTCCTTTATGACTGTGAGACCTGGCCATTGAGAGTGGAAGACATGAAGAGGCTAGCTGTCTTTGATCATCAGTCTGTGTTCTATCTCCCGCGTGAAGTGGTACACTAGGGTGAGCAATATTGAGGTTAGGCATCTGTCGAGTGCATGGTAAGGGGATGAAATCAATCGACGAGGCTGTGAAATTACATCGATTGAGATGGTTAGGACATGTGTTACGAATGCCTAGTCATCGCCTTCCTCGACAATGGGCAATGTTAGCTGATATAGAGTCAGGCTGGAAATGAGCTGGCGGCGGTCAAACCAAAACATGGCACCAGTCAATGAAATCTACAACAGTTAGTTTAAGCCAGTCACGTAGGAAGACGTAGACTTCCTGGTTGGGGTCCTCGGAACGGTAAAAACCAATGGTTGGAAACAATTGGTGACATGGCTCAAAATCGTTCTCGATGATGGCGCAGGTGCATCCACTCCTTGTGACTCATGATTTCCAATGAAACTGTTTTGTTCTTCGTTATTACTATTCCTTTGTCTCACACCTCTGTTTACTGTCTCTATTATGCATTTCTCCTACTTTCTTCTCTTGCTTTGTGTGCTACATGGAGTGTGGCAAATTGAACGGCCGCACATATGTGCAAAGTTCTATGTCGAAAACCGACCGACCGGGCGAAACTAGGACGAAGTAGCTGTCCAGTACTTTCTATTGGCTTTCAATCGTTCTCTGACTGATATAAAGTCCATGGTAAAACTTGAAACAAATCGAATCCCTAGTAACATTTCCTTGCTAGATATAATGTGCATATATAATTGTACAAAAATGGTGAGGTAGTTATCGACAATGTGGATATTCTTTCTCCATTCTTTCTTCATTTCTGTACTGTAGAAGAAAAGGAGGAGAGTCCAGTGAAGGTATAAATTTCGATAAGCACTCCTCATTTGCATAGTCTATAAACAAGGTTATTTTAAATCAATTTCTAAGGTTAATTAACATGTATACAAATAAAGGAACATTGCGTGATAACAAATAATTATCAAGTCCATGAAGTGAGTTCGTACGACCGAGAGAAAAAGGGAGTGATAATTTAACAAGGTAATTAGGAATAAAAAGTGATAATTTTAGGTAGATGGTTGGTTGATTGAGCATTAGTGGAATCTTAAATGCTTATTTCTTCCTTTTTGGAAATGTTCAATTCCTGGACGAATGTACCAGCACTGTCAGTTACTTATGGTATGCACACCTTGATTTCTACTGAAAGTCAACATCATCAATGGAATTACATCGTACTGAACTTCAGAAATTGTCAAAGTGTCCCTCCTACTAAGCAGTAACGTAGGTCAACAGTGATCAAGCATTTCGATCACATGTAGCGGGAAGTACAAATTAACATATACCTTTTTGGGGTAGAAATCATAGGAAATAAAACATTCTTAGCTTTATATTATGTTAGTCATATATATATCTTTACTAAAAGTCTTTTTCAAGATTCTTTCCCAGTTGTTACGAAAGAGGGGACACAACACGCAAATGACAATAATTAATAATAATAAAACCAGATGAAATAGATTAAGAATAGACATTTGGAACCTACAGAAATTGTTGTATACCTTAGGATAGCTACCACTCTGATATGTTCATGAATAAATTAATCTAATATTCTTGTTAATTTATGTACATATTGCAAGTCATACTGTAAGACGGGAATAGTCAGTCACAGTCTGTTACTCTAATGTGGCACGAAATTACACACTTTTTATTATTGCATAGTTCTGTTGTTCCCTTCTACCTGAAAAATTTTGTTTCCATAGATAGTATGGTTATAAAGATTATCTGTTTTCATTCTTAAGTGTTCCGAGTGTAATAAAAATAGAACTTAGGCGACGTGTAAGGGAATAGCTTCACTGAAAGTTCAAAGTTGAACGTGGACCTTCGAGTTTTGATCTCTAAAGTATCATCAGTGGCAGTAAATTTTGTAAGGAGTTGGATAACCAGCCTCTTGGCTAACTTCACCTCTCATCAGGCTAACCGAGGCTTAGGAATCAGTTGGCCAGAAGTCAAACTCAGACCACTTGTGCAGTTGGCAAGCATTCACCACTGAACTACTAACGGATGAGTTGTGCACACCTTTAACAAGTTGATGCCATCTAAACCTTAAAAGCGTAGAAGTAACATTATTAATAGGCGTAGTTTTCATGTGAGAGGTTTCAGGAATATACGTGGTCAGCGAGTTTCATTTATAAAATGTTCACTAAAGAAATGTTGGGAAAACCATTTTGATTTTTATGAAAAATGACTCTGAGCAGAATACTGTCCATATTTAAGCTTTACTCTCGGTTGAGGTAATTTAGCTATCTCTGATTGTTAAATTTTCCACCTCATTAACGTTTAGTCAGTAAATTGAAGATTCCATTACGCTTAGGTGACTAAAAATTGTTACCTAATCACTTTTATAAGGTGGGGCAATCAGGCAATAGCTATTTAATAGAAAGATCATACTGTAAACGGATCCAGAGACTGTAGCGGATTCGCTCACACCACTATTGCAGAAAGTTTACGAATTGAGGAAGGATACTTACTGATTTTCCGCCATTTCAAATTACAAAGGAATAGCGACTTTAGTATCTGCACGAATTGACAAAGAATCATGCTCTTGTCCGCAGCAGTGACTGTGAAGTGATTTGTAAACTGTTCCCGTACTACAGAAAACCCCAAATCTATATCAGCCTCATTCGGTAGCTTTATAGCAATACCACATTTTGAGTGATCCAAAACGGAATACTCAGTAAAGCTTTTGGGGTAAAAACTGGAGTAAAACAAGGCTGTTGGCTACTGTTACCGATGATGTTCCTAATTGTGGTGAAGTTGATTATGCTGGAGACTGTGGGGTACGAGAAGACAGAAGTGAGATGAGAAGACTCTAGGAGATCTGGACTTAGCGGACAATGTATGTCTAGTGACACATAAATTTGAAGACTTACAGGTGAAAACCGACCAGTTGACAGAAGAAGCAACCAGCGAAGATGAGACTACAGGTGAACATACAGAAAACAGAGGTAATGAAGACAACCAACTAACAATAAATAGCACCGATCAGTTCCGACGGAAGAAGTTTGAGAGGAGTCACTTCTTTCACTTAGTGAGGTAGAATCGTCTCAACTACGGGCGGTTGAAACAATAAGGATGTCATAACTAGAATCGGAAAGGCAAGGCTAACCTTCATCAATTTGAAATCAATTTTGAAATCTTCTGCGCTTAGCATCAAGAATAAGGTCCCAATTTTCAGCACCAATGTAAATTCGATTCAACTATGTGTATAAGAAACCTGGGTCATTACGAAAAGCATTTAAGAATGCATTTATTAATAGGTGCCCACTTCGCTGGCTCCATACTGAAGGTAAAATGGCCAGAAAGAATTAGTAACACGAATTTCTGAGAGAGAACAAGCCAAGAATATATTCCTCAACACATATGGCGAAGAAAATGGAGATGGATCGGACATACGCTGAGTGGACAGTTGGCTGGCATCGTGCACAAGGCGAAATAACAAGTCAGGAGCCACTTCAAAGGTGATACGAAGGGGATCGTTTAAAAAGGAAATTATGGCCTATAGACAATCTTGGAACCAGAGAACAGAGCGAAATGAAGACGTGCTGGTGGAACCCTATGTTCCGCTCAGGACTCAAGAGGATAATACTTCAATAATAATAATAATCTTTATTCCAAAAACAGTACTTATAATACATAATGGAATTCTCAGCATTTTCTTCACAATATCACATCTGATTTACTCAAAATATAAATGAAATCAAAGATTAAAACAAAATTAACCAGCGGAGTTTGTCCACAATTACTATATAAATTCAAAAATATTCGAAGTACGAATTGAGAATATTAAATATTATAATAATATTGATAATAATAACAGTGAGTTTGTTTCAAACAGTTTTGGCGATTCATTTTGAAAATTTTAGCATGTTATAGATTATTGAATCTAATATTCTGTTGATATAGAACGTCGAGGGGAAATACAAAATTAACAGTTATAATACAGCTTAAATGATGTTCACACTTATGAAAAAAATAAACAAATAAAAAACAAAAAATTGAGAGGATCATAAATATAAAAAGTACAATAACAACTAAGGTTGATGTTCTAAGGGTGAAGGAAATGGTTTATTTAGTAATGCAAAGAAGGTTAGTTAGTTCATGTCTAACACTATTTTCACCAAATAAAGTAAGTGCCAAATATGGTATAGTGGAATTTCTATACTTAGACGTACGTGCATGAATTTTTCAGAAAAGACTTCATGTTTTACCTGAGGAGACACAAGGTTGGAGCTACGGGTAAAGTGGATGCTCACAGTCTGACAAAATTCCTTTAACGAATTTGTTGCATGACATCAAGTGCCTATCAGTGAAAATGTCAACGATATGGCCCAATGGGATACCACTTGCCCTACTGACTGACAGTCTTCAGAGTTCTACGAATTATGACATAGTCTTTTTTAAGCAATCCAGGAAAGAATAAGGCTGAACAGTAAAGAAGAATGCGTAAGATGCACGAGTTGAAAAACTGTAAGAGAAGGGGTTGGGTTATGCCTGAGTGCCTTAACTTCTTAATGTAAAAATTCAGACGAAATATTTTTTTCTTTAATTAAGAGTAACTTTTCCATAGTTTTTAAAAAAGGAGAGGTAACAGCAATAGGTCTAAATTTAAAATATGTTCCAGTAGACGACTTAGGTATAGGTGCAATTTTAATGTCCTTCCAAATGGCTGGCACGACATTTATGGAAAAAGATTTATTAAAAATGTCTGTGAGAGGATAACATAGGATATATGCACACTTTTTAAGAATAAGGCTAGGCAAACCATCCGGACCTAGGCTACAAGAAGGGTTCAGCGACTGGAGACATTTAAGAACGCCATTTGTATTGAAACCAGGGAATAATAAATGTTATTATTTCCTCGATCTCCGCGTGCAACATGAGGTTTTAACAGTACATTTCTATTTCACTATGTTCTCTTCAGTTAATTTTAGCTGACTTCACGACTTTCTATTAGCTTTCATTCCCTGCATACACGTTTTTCACCATGTTCACCTCAATATGACACTCAAATCATCTTTTCTGATACAAGTTCCATTTGAGGACATGCCTGGCATTCGATGTCATTCACTGTATGTCCAATACATCTATCTCCATTTCTCTATGCATAATTTTGGGCTGCTCATAGGTAGTGCTCATATGCATGCACACATATTTATATTAAGTATGTGTTTTTTTCTAAAAATTCCTTACTAGCCTTTTATCAATTTGGTTCGAGTGACAACATCATATGAATTTATACAAACTTTAATGACAACCGCTCAGTTGATTACAAATAAAGAAAGTTATAACAGCGTCACCGATATACCAACAAACATCTCTGTAAGTATTTGATGAATATGCATATTTATGTACGGTTTGCATCTCTTTCTGTGTTGTTAATATTTTTATTAGGAGTTCGATTGATGTTGACTAGCAGGGGAGTGCAAGATGCATTTTCTTTCGTCCCACTTGGGGACTCCTCAACTGGAAAACACCTGAGACTCGAACCTGGTCACTCATTGTTTCGAAAACCAAATTTATTGTTTTCATTAGGCTAGGTGATCCAAATAAGATCCGTCAGTAGTCCGTATTAGGAACTGATCACTTTGGTCTCACATAGACAAGTCAGTGGGAATTTCACTCTAAAAAAGGTATACAATCTCATTTATATACACAGGTAATGTTATTAGTTAGTTAAACATAATAGCAAAGGGAAGGATATTGGAGGTGATAATAATTGCCAACTTGATATGAAAGTTTGAAGGTGTGAATATAGTAGAAGATCTTGACATGTGCAATGAATTAGCGCAGCTATGTGATCAAAAGAAGCCAGTTCAACATCTACACTTATTACGGATCTAGTTCTCTTTGATTCTTCAGTTTTCGTTTGTTTGGTTTTTTCATTCCCTTCACTATTTTCCTCATCATCAGTTATAAGAACAATTATTTCAATTTGTTTCCACCCTAATCCCGTACACATCTGACTGTATTTACAATTATTTTACCTATTATGTAACTTTTTTCTAGTTCTGTGTAATTCTGTTTCGAAGGCCGTTGTAATCCATATTCACACCTTCGCACACTCACACCAAAGAGCCAACATAGGTTAAGCTGGAAAATGAAATTAGGATTAGTAATAAGTGATATCTGACACTTGTTGCACAAGAAGTGACTCTGGTGGTGCAAGAGGACTGGCATACCATCACTGACTGGGGAATTCAGGCGCATCCAGATGATGCGTCCCAAATAAGAGGAAATGGACATTTTGGATTACACTGCTAGTCGCCGTCCACTAAATCATGTGAACTTTTTTCTAAAAGAAAACGCGATTTTACAGGTGCTTTTGGGGATAAAATTGCCGAAAGGATATCTCTGATGGGCTAATAGGCATTTTCCACAACTTGGAAAATAAATGTTAAACGGAAATTTCATTCTAATTTGTGTTTTATACTGTTCAAGTTCTTTTGTGTATTTCGATAGTGTTATTATAGCGGACGGAGATTATCTGAAAAAACAGTGTGATGTATTTGTGCCATACATTTCAAACAACAATCTGATCACACATTTACTCATTTGTGGACACACATACATAGGGTGGAGTAATCACGCTTTTCATGTGCGGGTGGGAAAGCGAGGATATTCCGAAGTCGTTAGAAAGACAGATGACCTTTTGAAAGTCAATAGACGCAGGTGGTAGACTACCAACTTCATCTTTCGCCAAACATCTAATCGACATGAACCGTAAGACTGATGTTAACACAACTTTTAAGGTCATTTATAAAAATGGTGGAGAGGGCGGTTATTGAAATACGCTGAGGCTATAGCTATTCATAAACTCAAGCCCCCACCATAGCGCCTGTGTATTCAAAAACAACCTGTTATTACTCTTAACCTACCGTAGTAATCCTCATCTGACGGGATAACCAAACGTAGTGTTAATTATTTTTATTATTCTTAAATCTTCAAGTAGTGGTTTTGTAGGGATTTTGTTTGATTGGTTGGAGGATTCCATCATAAGTGAACATCAATTAGAAAACCATTGGAAAACCCGGGAGTACTGGACAGCTATTTCGTCAGCCTAGTTTGGGGCCGTTCATCAGTACGCACCCTCCGAGGTTCCAACCCAGGATCTTCTAGTTGCAAGGCGATGTCAGCTCATGATTAAATCCTCCAACCGATCAAACAAAATCCATACAAAAAACAATACTTGAAAATTAATCTGATACTCACTAGCCACTGGATCTATTCAGGAAGTTACCTGGCGTTGTAACAGGAAGCCGTGACCAGTAGGGCACAGCATATTGAAGGTGGTGAGGAAAGTTATTCATCGAAGAAAACATTGCTAAATGATCACGCTATGTGGTGAATCGGCAGAAGTTAGAATTTATGGACTGGCCATTGAAACGGGTTCCAGTGGCCTAATGCTATACGAGCTAGCTCGCCTTGTAATCGGAAGGTCATGAGCTTGAGCCCCGCAGTACTGGCACGAACTGATGAAGAGTCCCGAAGCTAGGACGAAATAGCTGTCCAGTACTCCATGCAGGTTCCCCAAAGGTTCTCTAACTGATGTCAGCTCATGTTCAAATCTTGTAACCTATTCTTAAATTCTTCTGGTCAGTTTATGTACTTCAGTTGCCCTTTACCCCCCCTTTTTTTTCACATAAATTGACTTGAATGACAAATAAATGTGTGAAGGATCAGCTTGTTGTTCGAAAAATGTACTGCGCAAATTATTATTATTATTGTATCCTTTAATTCCTAGAGAAACATAGGGCTTCAGCCGTGCGTCTCCATTGAGTTTGATTCACTGCTAGAGTCTTCACCTGGCTCCAAGTCTGCCCACACGTTTTCATCTCCTCTTCACATGACCTCCTCCAAGTCATCCTTGCACTGATGACCAGCTCGCCGCTTCCCTTTCGGGTTCCACTCGAGCAATGGCTTGTCCAGTGATGTCACTTGATGGTTTCCTCAGAGTATGGCCAGCCAATCCATCTCCATTTCTTCCTGCTTATTTGTTTCACAATCGGTTCCTGCTGTGTTGGTTCGCTCCCAGAGATCTGTGTTGCTGATCTTTTCTGGCCGGCCAACTGATCTTGAGTAGTATTGAGCAAAGACAACTGTTAATGAAGGTCTGTAGTTTGTTTGAGATGCTCTTTATGACGCGCAGTGCAAGTCACTGATCCGTATAGTAGCACTGACTTTACACTGGAATTGCAAATCCGGATCTCATTTTTGACGCTGAATGCTGTTGACCTCCACACAGACTTGAGAGTAGTGAAGGCTTGTCTTGCTTTCCCGGTCCTCGTTGCTTTGATATCCTCGTCAGTTCCGCCTGTAGTTGAAACGATGCTTCCGAGTTAGGTGGGTAAAGGAGGTTGTTCCTTTCAGGTTCCTCCCATTTCGCGAATACATCACACTAAAACTACCCAAATCTATATAGAAGGGACTAAGTGTTTCAAATCTTTTGTGTAAATGAACGTTTCTTTAAAATAAAATAAGTTGCGTAATTCTTTTTGAAATTTTGAAATTCTCTTTCTTTATATTTCAATATGAATTATTGTAATAGGTTATGAAAAATTTCTTTTTGGTGATTTTTATTGTCAAACCTTATTTATTTATGATTATTCAATTGCTGTACTCAGCATAATGAATGAGTGAATTATTTCCAAGACATTTTTCTGATTGATTGTCTCTGAATTTAACAACACAAATAAATGGAAAATAAAATTTAATTTAATTTGCTTATTTTAAGTTGAATTCCATCAAAAGCAGATGTCGCTGAAGCGATTGTTGAAAACAAGAAAACATCAAAAATATATTAAATAACTTTTTTGTCCTAGCGTGGAACACTCCAACAGAGTTCACCCATCACCCTGGCATGGGTCGACCTAAGACCTTCCTTGAGTTCTAGGTGGTGCTATGGACTTACACACAGTGTCCATCTAAGCAGGTTCCAGATTTGGTTGGTAGTGGTAGTATATCGCGAATCAGCAGGAGTAAGAATTCATGATCTCCTTATCCTAACAACATACGCGAACTATAATTTACTGGTCTGATATACCTGAAGTTTTTTCGCGTTAAACCACGGATAGATATCAATGAGAGAACCATTGAAAGCCAGCTTTGAGCACTAGATGGCTGTTTCATCCTAGTTTGGTAATCATTGGCACTACGCACCCACTTTGCGGGATTTGAACCCAGAACCTTCCGCGTCGGTGACACAGTGGCTAGGATTCTCGCCGACCAAGCACATGGTCCGAGGTTCGATCTCCCACCGATGCACACCTGACATCTATGGTCGGCCTGCTAAATTTGGGCTGCCGATGTCACATGCTGAAAATTTCATACTTGTACCAAAATACTGTGTGGAATCAAGCTATAGTAAAATATTTAAAAAAAATATAAATAAATGCGAGGCAAGCTCGAATACTATTCAGCCACTGGGACCCGATTCCATAGCCAGCTATACCATGAATTCTAACTTCTGCTTATTAGTGGTTTTAGCGCAACCACCCTTCTCACCCCTGACTGAATGAACTGCAAAGGTTACGATTTCTCACTGGAACTTCAAGCAACTTCGTCCTGTACCGAGTCACTAGTGAGCATCAGATTAGTGCTAAGGAATTAGTTTCACTTCAAAAGAGCAGAAGATATCTGGAGACCGATTAATTAAATTCAGAAAAGGTAACCGAAAATCACAAGTACAAAGAAATAATGTAGTCCAAAAAGACTAAGTTTGAAATTACTGACTATGTTGTAGTCCCACACACACACACACACACACACACACACACACACACACACACACACAAGAGGCTTGCGTATTCTATTTTGTTTCACTTAACAGAACTCAGTAGGGCGGACTACTGAAAAGTCCTCATGATCTTCAAATGGTTGTTTAATTTGAGTATCCCATCTACGTTAATATTTTGATTCTTGGTGTGCACATCTTGACAACGTCTTAAAATTAGCACTGGGACATGTTAAAAAGACATGTGTATTAAAAGTCCTCATCTCTTTACACGAAGCAAAGTTGAGTGAATGAGCTGTTGAACAATGCAAGCACTCTTGATGTAGTTGTTTCCTAAGAGCTAGACAGTTTTTTTGTGAAGATTTCGTCGCCGCACTAGGCAACATCCTCATTACATAATTCAATTTGAAATGAACTTTTAAATCTCCCCACGAGGATATTAGTCACCTGTCTTAGTAAACTTGAGCGTTCAATGCTATGCTTTGATGTCAGCTAACAGCAAAATTCAGGGGAAACAAGTTCCTTCCTTACTGGAACCTGTTGGTTAAATGAACTTATATGCCACTCACTGGGCGTTAAGTTCGAGTCCTAGGGTGGAAAAATCATCATTCGTGGGAGATGCAAATTAATCCGGCTGATGAGTCCTGAATACAACGAGACCAGAGTCTTTGATTCAATCGTTAGCTACCATCAGTTAAATAAAACAGAATACTTCGTGCATTTAGTCAGTGTAAACTCATATACAAGCAAAAATAAAAGTCTAATGAAAGAAAGCAGTCAGTGTGATACAGATATAATTAGAATTCCATAATTATGTATCACTACTGTTAATTCACTCGTTATGCACAGTAGTAATACTGAATATATCTCAAAAGCCAGCTATGCTTAGCCCGCATCCCCCCAATTTTTATGTGTTACTCTTGATTTTCACTTGAATAAAATAAACTAGTGAGTCGGCGCTTAAACGATAGAATGCTCGCTAGCCTCTTACTCGAGTTCAATTCCCATCCGCCGAACTCATATACCTCTCCGAGTTTACTAGGCTGTGGTAAGTCCAGCAGAAAGCGGAGGGTTGAGTGTGAAGCCAACAGCTGCACTCATCTGCACAAATCAAATAAGAAGTAGTTTGCAGGGATTCTATATGTTACGGATTAGGCCACGGATTGATATTAGTTACAGAATCATTGAGAACTGATATCTAACTGATATCAATCCATGCTGTAACCTGAAAAAAAATAAAATCCCTGCAAAATATTGATTTGATTTTTGGTCACAATGTCCAGTGAAGCTGTTTCAGTATCCCAACTAAGCCTTAAACAGCTACTCAGTGTTCCTCGATTTTACTGAAATAAGTTCTTGGCGAAATCCTCCCTGAAGACAATCAAATCCTCAGTAATCCACGAGTCAGATTGGTAACTTGATGCAGTTAAGTGCATGAAACTGCTCAATAAAACATTCACTATAGCTCATCAGTACAGAGAAAAAGTCTGAAGGCGGAGAAGTTTGACAGAAAAGGTTAATCTTCATCTAAGCTGCATACTCGAACACTTTTATATGCTACGATGTTGTAATTTTCAGGGTTACCACATCAGTTTACAACTAGCATTCCAATCCAGATTTCATTTTTTTCTCAAATTTTTCTTCGAATTATTGATTTCTCAAGCCTTAACATTAATTCCAATCATCAAATATGTATTTGTGTTGTCAAGAAGATTTTTGCGCTTATGCACGCGTTTTTTATTCCTTCACGTTCCCCACTGCAACATAGGGCTTCAAGCTAGAGGCTTGAAATTTCTGTAGCAGTTTTTATTTTTGCAGGATGGGGTTGCTAGCCCCATGCCCAACCTTTCATTTTCACCAGCTTTAGTTCTAGCCTAACGAGGTAAAGGAGTGCGCCGGCCGGGGATCGAACCATGGACCATGTGCATGGTCGGCAGGCATCCTAACCGCTATGCCACCGACGCACGCGTGTGGTAATTTAATTATTCCTTGCCGACTACTTTACTGACGTCGAATGCTTACTGAGATGCTTGAAATTGAAGGAGCATTAGTAGTGGGAGAAAACAAAGCCATGAGAATAACCGCTTGAGTCCGGTTATACAAGGTTTATTTGAAGTGTGTATTGTGTATTCGCATCCGTATAAGAGTCTTCCTGACGTCCACGAAGCACCATTTATTGTGTGCGCAACCCTCATTCTATAGCGGAGAGGCAGTATAGCTGGTTTGCTGGTTATTTGAGGGAAACACCTTACTTCAGTTACACGCCTATTTACCAGCATTACTACTTCGTCTACAAACCTACAATACAGTGACAACGACTTCAAATACAATTATGGCCGATTTGCTCCAACCTCTATTCAGGTGATCTTTCTGGAATAGTATGACCTGCAGAAACATTATTTCAAGCCTATATAGCTGATAAGGTCATCACGATATACAGGCCCTACCTTCGTCTTAAGGTATCAGCTATCCGTTGATCGTGATTTTTAACATCTTTTCCAGTTATCAGATATGTATATCATATAAATCTAACATTGTAATGATGTTATTTCGCTAGTTTCTTTCGTTTTTCATTCGTTAACTTTCCGAATAGGACATAAAAGGTTCATTCTTGGGCAGAGTGCAGCTGCTGGCTTCACACTCAACCCTCCGCTTTCTACTACGCTTACCAGAGCCTAGTAAACTAGGAGAGGTATGTGAGTTCGGCGGATGGGAATTGAACTCGGATCTTCCGAGAAAGAGGCTAGCGAGCCTTCTATCGTTTAAGCACCGACTCACTAGTGTCTTTTATTCAAATGAAAATCAAGAGTATAGCAAACGTTCTTGTGACACATAGAAATTGGGGGAATGCGAGTTAAGCATTGCTGACTTTTGAGAGATATAATTATGGAATTCCATTTATATCTTTATCACACTGACTGCTTTTCTTTCATTAGACTTTTATTTTTGCTTGTATATGAGTTTACACTGAGTAAATGCACGAAGTATTCTGTTATATTTAACTGATGATAGATAACGATTGAATCAAAGACTCTGGTCTTACTGTATTCAAGACTCATCAGCCGGATTAATTTGCATCTCCCACGAATGATGGTTTTTCCACCCTGAGACTCAAACCTAACGCCCAGTGGGTGGCATATAAGTTCATCTAACCAACAGCTCCCAATAAGGAAGAAACGTGCTTCCCCTGAATTTCGCTGTTAGCTGGCATCAAAGCATAGCATTGAACGCTCATGGTTACTAAGACAGTTGACTAATAAACTCGTGGGGAAATTTAAAAGTTGACTTTAAATTGAAGTTTGCACTGAGGATATTGCCTAGTATGGCGATGAAAGCTTCACAAATAAGCTATCCAACTCACAGGACACAACTACAGCAAGAGTGTTTGCACTGTTCAGCAGCCCATTCACTCAACTTTGCTGCGTATAAAGGAATGAGGACTTTTAATACACATGTCTTTTTAACTTGTCCGGGTGCTAATTTAAAGACGTTGTCAAGATGTGCACAGCACTAGTCAAACTGTTAACATAGATGGGATACTCAAATTAAACTACCATTTGAAGATCATGAGGACTTTTCAGTAGTCTGCCCTACTCAATTGTGTTAAATGAAACAGAGTAGAATACACAACCTACTTGTGTTTGTATGAGTCTGTGTGGGACTGCAACATAGTCAGTAATTTCAAACTTAGTCTTTATGGACTACATTATTTCTTTGCGCTTGTTATTTTAGATTAACTTTTCTGGAGTAAATTAATCGGTTTCCAGCCATCTTCTAGGTTTTTGAAGTGACAGTTCAACGGTGCTTTGACTTTTAATTGGGAGGTGGGTACGTTTTCTGTAGTAGCTACTATTTAGCAGGGATTACTGGTCTGTAGTTTCATCATAGTTTGAGACACTTTGGCGGTAGGCATCCATTGAGGGGCTGAACACAGGACCTTCTAGTTACAAGGCGAGCTCGTCGAGCATTCAGTCACTGTGTTGCTATTTGAGAGGTAGAGTGCTCATTAACCACACCTCTCATGGTTCAATGTTCGATCCCTGACTGACGCATTCCTTAACCTCAGTTAGCTGCTAGGAAGCCGGGGAAAGATGGAAGGTTGGGTGTGAGGATAGAAATCCCACCTCTTAAAAAAGAATAAAATCATTGCCGCTGAAACTTCAAAGCTGAAAGCTTGAAGCCTTGTGTTTTACTTCAAATGTAAGGGTATAAAATAAATGATAATAATAATCAAATACTATTGAAATATATATAGTAGCAATCTCATTATCACATATTGATTTTTCTTTCACAGGGATTTCTTGACCGTGTCGTTTTCATAAATAATGTGCCTAAACTTCAATCACTATTTAATCCAGAACAGTGTCAGTTATTCGGCCTAAGGTTAGTTTATTCATCATTCATTCAACTTGTTCACTATATTCCACTGATCCTCTTTTTAATCTCCTTGTAATTTATGCACCTGCCGCTAAGCTGATACTTGCTGCTATTTGCTACTGATTGATTCAGATAAGTAGTTGTATACTACTCAAATCAACTGTATAGAAGGTAAATTGTGGATTTGATTTAGGTCATAATTAGTTCGCCTAAGTAACTAAGTAGCTAGCCAGAGTAGTTTTGAGTAGTTTCAACTGGTTTGGCACTGTAATCTGAGTCAGGCTGCGTACACACCACTGATAAGCTGGGCCTCCGAATGAGCGAAACGACCTACCGGTGTTTCATTAGATCATTTCGATCTGGCTCTGTGGTAAGTACTACTTGGTTGATGTTAGTGATATCCAACTACTGATATCAGTCGATCAGTAGTATTTAGTGTATACGTACATGTACTTCTTGTTTTTATTTGTCTTGTAATTTATGTGTTTGAAAATAAGCTGTTAATCCCTAATTTTTCCAAGTTCAAATTTATCATCCGTGGATGGCACTATTTCTTGTAGGTTTATGTATTAAATGGTTAATTTAGACCCAGAAAAAATCAACAACAAGAAACTCTGGCTGGGAACAAACTGACCAAGAGCCGATTGTTCAAAAAATATGTAGGAGAAAATGGAGATGGATCGGGGATACGCTGAGCAGGCCATCGAACGACATCGCGCTCTATACAGGCCATCGCTCGAGTGGAATCCTGATTGAAAGTTACTGAGTGGATCGTCGGTGAGAGGGTGACATAGAGGAGATCTTTCGGGGAGGAGGAGATGAGATTTAATGGGGGCAGTCGTGAACCCAGATAAAGAGGACAGCAGAAAATGGAACAAAATGGAGATGTTGTTGTTGTTGAAGCCCCATGTTCCACTGGGAACCTAAGGGAATAATAACGATAATAATAGAATAATGGTTCTGTATAGTGTTCAAAGCGGTTCTTGAGACAATGGACAGTTTATCATTCAGTTTTCATCTTGTGATGAAGATTGCATAAAGAAATCACTGGTAAACGAATGAGTGTCAGACGCTCATGTACTTTGTGTTTAGCGTCGACAACTGTTTAATTTTCTAACGTGCAAGAGTTCCTGTACGCGTGTTAGCTCATTTAGAGTCTCTTACTTCTGAGTATGGAGAATAGGATAGAAACAATAAATCTATAGACAAGGAGGATGTATAGAAGCGAGAATGAATAATTCGATTGGGATAGCTGGCGTTACGTCTAAATCAGAATTATACTTTTTTGGCGTGTTTGGAGAACTTTTCAATATCATGCTGGCTATTGTGACTATCACGAAATATATACTCATTAGTTCATAAGGAAAAACACAATTTCGGTCCTGTGAAGAACTTTCTCTTTTCAACGACTTCATTTTCAAGCTATCTGTGCAGTTGTATTTATACTACGGAAAAGGAAGGCATTAAGTGGCACTAGAAATTGATCAGTCAATATAGCACATGAGATAATAAGAATAAAGATAATTAAAATGATGTATTAAGAGGGAGGGGGAGAGTTGAAGTGGGTGAATTACAAAACTTTCAAAGGTCATTAAACAAGTGAACTGGCATAAAGATTTTAAAATTGTCAGTCAAGTGTTGTCTAAAAATTTAACAGTGCAATGATGATAACAATAAAGACAGCGAAGATGAAGTGAAGTGGAATGAATTCAAGTGGTAAAATTGAATAAAATAAAAGAACAAAACTGTGACAAAGGTAAAGAAAGGGGTTTAGCAAAACGTTTTTGAAACATAATTTAGGTTTCACTCTATGTATAGCTAGAGCTCCGGTTATGTATAAGTGGAGAAAACTTAAGCTTTTGGAGTGATTGGATTAGGTCCTGTAAATTACTTTGGAGGATAAATCACGTGGGGCTGAATGACCTGTCTCAAGAACGTCATTCTGTGTTCACCTCTCATTAACCAAACCGTGTAGTGTTCAGCTACGTGTTTATGGAGAACACGCTTACAACGTCCAATGTAATCGGCTCCACACGAGCATGTGAACGAGTGTGTGCATATAGAGGTGGCCATAAGCGGTAGTTTATCCTTGACACATTGTCAAATCATATTTCGGCTGGTAAATGCTAAATGTGTAAGTCAGCTGCATAAAAAGAGAGTTGAATACATTTAGATAAGCGGCTTTTAATCACTTCAGCAACAGTGTCACCTTTGAATGCCGAACTCATAAACAGTGTCTTCTCTAGCACTGTGATTTGGCTGAGGACAATTTCTTTCTTGACGTTTCTGTCAATAAACCTTCTAGGATATCCAATATTTAAGAGGGTTGTATGAAGTTTTTCTAGTTCCATGTCCACCATGTCAATAGATGAAATTTTCCGAATTCTGCACCATAAAGAACGCATAAGATTTTTGTGACTATTACTGGTATGTATAGAAGCAAAACAGTTTAACTGATGTTTGTATCCGTTTTTAAACTGATTAGTCATTCACAAGCTTAATCAACATTTATGAAGTCAGTTCATTGAGTAGAAAAGAAATTCTGGTAGCGAAGTAGGGAGAGTGAACTATTCATAGCCATGTGAGGAACCCCTTTTATTCATATCAGTAAAAAATTTGAGCATTGTGGATTAGATCAAATAAAGTATAATTATATTTCAATAGTTTACACACAATGATAAGTTTTGTTATTGGTAATATTTCGAGCAAAATATCTTTTGACAAAAACCTACTCACAGGTTACAAAATCATCCTGAAACAGTTTACAAATGTGTGTAAAGAGGTAACAGTTGAGAAAATAGACTTAGGTCAAGTTAAAAGGACATACTGAAGGTCAAAATGACAATGAAGACCATTTAACTAAATAGCAGAGGTAATAGTATATCTACTATGGTATGAAAACAAAATTTGATAGTGTGGAAAATTCCCATATAATGAATTAAAAGTCAATCTGAACAAAGAATATTCTTTTCAATAATTTCTCCTCTTCAGGTTCTTACAATTATAAAATATAATATTTGTTGTCGTTACAATAAAGGCCAGTTATGCGGCAGGTACATTTTTAACGTAGAATAACAGATTAGTAATAAGAAGACGTAATTTGTCTGAATCGTGTAATGTATTTGCGCAACACATTTCCAACAATCTGATCACACTCCACGTACTTGTCATAGGAATATACATGAAATTAATAAAGAGGTAACAGTTGAGAAAATAGACTTAAGTCAAGTTAATAGGACATATTCAAGGTCAAAGTAACAATGAAGACCACTAAACCAAATAACAGAGGTAATAGTACATCTGCTATGGTGTCAAAACAAAGTTTACCAAGGAAGGTTTAATGTGATGACAAATTGCTTTTGAACGCATAAAGGTGGCTTAAACTTTCTAATTGCTAGGGCTTCCACAAACTTTAGGATACGCCCCAAACACGTTTTATAGATAGGTTTAAAAGATCTGTTAACGTCAATTTTATGTCCTGTTTCTATAATATGTTTTGCAATAGAGGAGCTAGGTCTCCTGTTCTCACCATTAATGGGTTCTGAAGATTCCATTTGTTTCTGGAGCCATTTAAGAATATGCTCTGAAGCCCTTACTTGCAGAGATCGATGAGTCCTCCCTATGTATGTGTGTCCACACGTACATTCAAATTGGTAAATACAGTGGGATGTGACGTCATTTTTCTCATGTTCGAAGGGCTTAGATAGATATATTGGCCTTACATTCTCTATTATTATGATATTGGCTGCATAACAAGTCTTTTTGACAGCAGCGTTCAGTCTTTGTCTAGTTATCAAGCTGCTTTGATGCCCCATATAGGGTAGCTTGATGTATACGTCTTTCTTAGGGGCGAGTTGGAGAGTGGGTCTTGGTGTTCTGACTACTTTATATCTCCTGATGAGCCTTAGTAAGGTGCCTCTTCAGTAGAATCCAACGAATATGCACTGAAGACACACTTGATGCGGAAGAAGGAAAATTGACACAAACTCTGGTTGAAAACAATTATCCAGACAAGTTCATCAGGAGATATAAAGTAGTCAGAACACCAAGACCCATTCTCCAACTCGCCCCTAAGAAAGACGTATACATCAAGCTACCCTATATGGGGCATCAAAGCAGCTTGATAACTAGACAAAGACTGAACGCTGCTGTCAAAAAGACTTGTTATGCAGCCAATATCATAATAATAGAGAATGTAAGGCCAATATATCTATCTAAGCCCTTCGAATATGAGAAAAATGACGTCACATCCCACTGTATTTACCAATTTGAATGTACGTGTGGACACACATACATAGGGAGGACTCATCGATCTCTGCAAGTAAGGGCTTCAGAGCATATTCTTAAATGGCTCCAGAAACAAATGGAATCTTCAGAACCCATTAATGGTGAGAACAGGAGACCTAGCTCCTCTATTGCAAAACATATTATAGAAACAGGACATAAAATTGACGTTAACAGATCTTTTAAACCTATCTATAAAACGTGTTTGGGGCGTATCCTAAAGTTTGTGGAAGCCCTAGCAATTAGAAAGTTTAAGCCACCTTTATGCGTTCAAAAGCAATTTGTCATCACATTAAACCTTCCTTGGTAAACTTTGTTTTGACACCATAGCAGATGTACTATTACCTCTGTTATTTGGTTTAGTGGTCTTCATTGTTACTTTGACCTTGAATATGTCCTATTAACTTGACTTAAGTCTATTTTCTCAACTGTTACCTCTTTATTAATTTCATGTATATTCCTATGACAAGTACGTGGAGTGTGATCAGATTGTTGGAAATGTGTTGCGCAAATACATTACACGATTCAGACAAATTACGTCTTCTTATTGCTTTATCTAAACAGATTAGTAGTTAAGGGGTGTTAAAATAAATAGTCGTATTTGTGTGACAAACGTGCTAGGCTGAATTCGGTTACAAAATGTTGTAAAACGGGAGACAATGGTGGTGATTAATCATAATAGATTTGTAGAGTGTGGGGTAGGAAAATTGACAAGTCAGTTCAAGGTTATAAAAGGTGTCAGGTGAGTGGCTAGTACAAAGTGGTCTGTGTTAAACAGGAGATAGTGAGACTGCAATGGGAGGTTCATAATGAGATAACGAATATGTGAAATGAAACAGGTGGAGGCATATATTGAGAAAAGAGATAATATCACTAATAATAAGTCCGGATAGTATAAACGAAAAAAAATTCGATAGTATTGAGCGAATGTTTGCATGAAGGGCGTAAATTATGACGAATAATAATAATATTAATAATAACAATAATAATTGTAATAATAAGCAAAGGAAAAAAAAAGCCAAGAGGGTTAAGGGGAAGGAGCACTCTTGGTGAGAAGAATCATCAATCCAAGTTTGTCCACGGTAGGAACAGCGTCTGGACGTGTTCTTTTTGGATACAAAGTTCCGGTTTAGTCGATCTTATTGTAACAGCTTCAGTTATGTGTAGAAGACGTAAGCGAACTGTACGTGATAACGACTTCGGAATTCTCTATATAACCCTGAAAGCTGTGTTGACATCGATATGATGTCCAGTATCTACCAAGTGTGACAGGATCGAGCTTTTTATGCACTTAATTTCCCCCCTGCTGAACCAAGCTGCTAAATGTTCTCGAACCCGTAGACGAACCTGCCTAATCGTGCGCCCTATATAACTTGAACCACAGGAACAGTTGAAATGGTATATGCATGAAGAAGAGCTAAGCTTAGGTAAGACATCTTGGAGTTGCTGGGTGAACATTGGACGGCTACTGAAGGATAGACACAGACGTGCAGAGTAGAAAGTTTTCTTGATCGCCCTGGTTAAACGTTGCGATAGAATCTCTGCAGGTGTAACCTATGTTTGCTTTAATGAACTTCTCTGGATATCCGTTCTTGCTTAGAATGTCTCAGATGACCTGGAGTTCTTTCTCTACACAGTCTTCGGAACAAATCGACCTTGCTCTAAATGCTAAGCATCTGATCAGATAACGTTTGTATTTCATCGGTACAAAGCTAAGGAAGTGTGTATACTGAGCTTTGGTCTCTAGCTTTCTAAATATGGTTCTTTTGACGGAACCATCCTCTCTTCTCGTTAGTATGACGTCGAGGAAGTGTAGAGAGTCGTTGCATTCTCCTTCGTAGGTGAAATGGACCGCTGGGTGAGCATTATTGAAGTTGCTCAGAATCAAATCACTACTTAACCCTTCATCGTACACTACAAAAGTGTCATCCATGTAACGACAATACATTTCCATATTTGCCATTTCCTCTTTAAACGGACTATTTTCTAGTTTTGCTAGAAATATCTATTCGTGAAAATAGGTCCCAGTGGGGATCCATGGCTACTCCATCAATCTGTCTGTATATTTCATTATTAAACAAGAACTGAACATTTGCTGTACACTTAGCAAGTAGTTGTTTCAGATTACTAATGGGAATATCAGTGCACAATTTCTTTTCTATAATCTGTTCGCAGATATAGTCAATGGCTTCCACCAGAGGCACATTAGTGAATAGAGATGAGACATCAAGTGATGCCATGTATTTGCCAGTTGTGTTCAAGTTTTTGATCTTATCAATAAATTGAAAGGTATCCTTGACGCTATGCTTTACTAACTCGTCATGCAAGGGTTGAATTAGCTGTACCAGCCACTTCGCTGTCTCGTGATAGGGTGAATGAGACATGTCTAATATGGGGCGTAGGGGTGAGAAAAAAAACTATTTAGGTCAAGTTAAAAGGACATATTCAAGGTGAAAATAACATTGAAGACCACAGGACCATAGCAGAGGTAATAGTACATCTACCCTGACTAGGTATCAAAACAAAATTTACCAAAGAAGGTTTAATGTGATGACGAATTGTTTTTGAACGCATAAAGGTGGTTTAAACTTTCTAATTGCTAGGGCTTCCACAAACTTTAGGATACGCCCCAAACACGTTTTATAGATAGGTTTATGTCCTGTTTCTATAATATGTTTTGCAATAGAGGAGCTAGGTCTCCTGTTCTCACCATTAATGGGTTCTGTAGATTCCATTTGTTTCTGGAGCCATTTAGGAATATGCTCTGAAGCCCCTACTTGCAGAGATCGATGAGTCCTACCTATGTATGTGTGTCCACACATACATTCGAATTGGTGAACCTATCTATACAACTTGTTTGGGGCGTATCCTTAAGTTTGTGGAAGCCCTAGCTGGTAATTAGAAAGTTTAAGCCACCTTTATACGTTCAAAAACAATTCATCATCACACTAAGCCTTCCTTGGTAAACTTTGTTTTGATACCAGGTAGGGTAGATGTACTATTACCTCTCCTATTTGGTTTAGTGGTCTTCATTGTTATATTGACCTTGAATATGTCCTTTTAACTTGACCTAAGTAGTCTATTTTTTCACCTCTTACCTCTCTATTAATTTCATGTATATTCCTATGACGAGTACGTGGAGTGTGATCAGATTGTTGGAAATGTGTTGCGCAAATACAGCATTACACGATTGAGACAAATTACGTCTTCTTATTGCTTCATCTAAATTCATAAAAAGAACTAATTGTTTTAAATATGTGTAAATTTAATATTCAATATTTTGGATTCTACTTAGCGAAAATATTCATTTATACATCTAGAAAACGCAAGAAACTTAGTATAGAATATTCTTTTCGATAATATCCTCTTCTGGCTCTACAACCCCAGGTAACTACCTACCTACCTGAATAGGGCCAGTCACTAGTGTGAGGACAAATAATCTCCGAAGACATTGGCTAGTGAACGTGCCACCTCATGAATTAGCAGAAGTTTGAATTCATGGACTGGCAAGTGGATCGGGTCCCAGTGGCTTAATGGTAGCTAGCCTTGCAACTAGAAGGCCTTGGGTTCGAAACCCTGAGGTGGGTGTTTACTGATGAAGCGTCCCAAACTAGGCTGACGAAACAGCTGTGCAATGCTCCTTGGTGGTTTCCAATGGTTCTCTAACTGATGTCAGCTCATGATGAAATCCTGTTACCAATCAATCAATTGCCTACAAACGAATACTTGAAAATTCAGGAAGATTACAACCTTGATGATCAAATTAGGGACATTGTCTGAACCAACTTCTTTTGGGTGCATTAGTTAGGTTTCTTGGTGTAAATTTTAAAAGCCACCCTTGCAATATATAGTAGGCGAACTCTTAGGGTAAAATTCAGATAAGCTGGTATGTGGTAGATGACTTTTTAAACTTTGTTCACATCAATGTTGTGTTCCGTAGCCACAAGATGAGATAAAATAGCACTATGAACGTATTTTGTTTGTCCTTTTCTTAACCACGCAGGTTGATTTTCGGAAATTCGATGAGAAACACGCCTAATTGCATGGCCTATGTAACTGGCTCCACAGGAGCAGTCAAATTTGTAGAAAAACGTAGACGAGGCGAACTTAGGCAGTTTATCTCTTACTCCTGAACACAAAATACGCATGGTTCTTAAGACACAGCATAATTCAGAAGCACTGAATGCTCTATATACCACCGTATTCCTTAGGCGTTTTCTTATTGTATCTAACTGATGTTATCTCCGAGAAACTGAATTTGTAAGAATAAATAAGGCCTTCCTTTTTCGGAACTGTTGGCACTTTGGCCTACCTTGACTACTGATTCATATTCTTATCAATAGATTCCTATACACCACAGAGGTTAAAGTTTGTAAAGTTATATTTCCGGCAAGAATTTTTAACAAACTCATCTATATTCATGTTCTCATCTGGTTTTTCTGTTAATTCACAGACTACTCTCCTGTATAATATCTTGTTTGGATTCCCTCCTATGGTTTGAAGCCCACTGTAATTTATCCAATTTCTTGCTAAGTTATCAAAGTGAGAAAAGAGCTTCAGATACAAGTTCAAATGTTGTTTTTGATGCATTGACAATTGAACGAAATTACTTATTAGTGAAAATATTCTTCATCGGTGGACCAAATGAACGTGAACTACCACCAAGAGTACTTTGTCAGGTGAGTTGATGATTTCTGGGATATTCAGCCGAAGGTCTAGTTTGGAATTATTGCTAGCCATTCAAGATTTTTAGCTATCTAGTCCACCTCTCTGATATCAGTACTGTTTAAAAAAGATTGTTAGAAGTAGGTTGTTAGCCTTCATTATGGGTGAAATGGCTTTCTGTATGACTTTGAGAATGTTGACAAGCGTCTCAAAGATGATGCCTCGGGTTGTTATTTTCTGCTTTCACGGTTTTTGCTATTGATGAGTTGGATGGGTCTTAACAACCACTGATTATTGCCAGATGAAGTTGTTGTTTCCACCTCACGTGAATTATATGGCTATCAAGATACAAGGTCCTTAGCTCGTCTTATTTCCCATCTGATTGTATTTTATTGATAACATAAGTATTATTTCCGAATGTACTTTATCTTATAGTGATTTTTATTCAGATGTCTAATCAATTTCACTCATGTATATAAATGAAGCAAGAAAATTGTTTGAGTGAGTGACTTGATATGATTACGAGCAGTAATAATTTGTGCTGTAAACGTGGTCATCAGTTAGTATTACCGTATAACACTGTGTGGTGTTATCAAAATAAAATTGTATCTATAATTGAGTTATACTCTACCACAGTTCCCAAGTTTTATACTTATATCAATAGTTCTTGTCCAGTCTACATAATTATATTGATTAGTCATTTTCTCACACTTATTACGTCATACCAGCTTCTGTCTCTTTTCTAACTCCCAATTAGTTACCCTTTGTAGACTATATCTTACGTTAAGTAATACGCTTCAGAGGACAAATTCTACCAGTAACTGATGGGTTTTATGAACTCTTTGTTAAAGACTGTTCGAAAAGAACTGCTGGCTATGCCAGATAATAAGCTATTCATACTGGGGTTACAGGTTGCAGAGCTTTATCAACAACTGTCTTCGTTCTATACTGAAGATCAGATGGCCGGAAAGAATCACCAACAAGAAACTATGGGAACAAACAAAACAAGAACCAATCGTCCAACAAATATGCAGGAGAAATTGGAGATGGATTGGACACTCACTGAGTAGGCCGCTGGGTGACATCGCACGTCAGGCCAGTGTTCGAGTGGAGCCCGAAAGGGAAGCGGCGATTGAGCGTCCAAGGATGACATGGAGGAGATCGTGTGAAGACGAGTTGAAACAGTATGGATTAACATGGATGCAAGTGAAAAGTACAGCAGAAGACAGAAGCAAGTGGGGGCGTGCAGTTGAAGCCCTATGTTCCACTAGGAACCCAAGGGAACAATGATAAAATAATAATAATGATGAATTGTGCTCGAAACGTGATCATCAGTAAATATTACTGTATAACACTGTGAGACTTTATCAAAACAAATTTTACCTGTAATGTAATTATATGCTTTCTTCGCCTGACCTTTCAGCAGCGTTCCAAGTAACAGCCTCTTGTTGCTAATGCAGTGTTGAACTTTGAGAATACGTGATAATAATATTCCTTTGGAACACATTGTCTGCATCATACCACCACAGCTTCACTTCACTGATATTCTGCTTTCATTTTACGTTTCTTTTTGTTATTTCTACTCTACAGCATACAAATCGTTTATATCCTTATCCTATTCTTCGAAATAAACCAGCCTACAATGATCATGTCTTTCATGATAGTTATTCTGTCAATAATAAAACCGTAAAAAAGTGTGAACAATCTCCCTGTAAGAATTGGTATACTGAATTATTTAAAGTACCACTACCACTGTTAATATGTGATTTACTGCCCTCCGACCAGTTGATGCTAAAGGATACAATTACATCGTATGAAACTGCTGTAGAATGGATGAACAAATGTCACAATATCTTCAAAACTTCTAAAACTACTGTCAGTCGTGATCAGAAGAATATTCAAGAGAAAACTAAAGGTAAGTGGTTATAAATTATTTAAGAACACAATATTCAGCGAAGAAACTCTTTTCAACGAATTTATTATCAAGCTGTACATTCGTATATATATATATGGTTTTTATAAAAATTATATCCGTTATCTGCGATAAAAATGTAATTTTTGATGATGTCTTGTTTGCTTTCAACAACTACCATCCTTCTTTACAGTTCACCGTTGAAAAGGAGTCCAAACTAAGCATTCCCTTTCTTGATGTGTGCCTTAGTACACCTAATGACGGATCTCGCAAAAGATCTATCCACCGGAAACGTATATGGAACGGACAACTAAATAATTTTTATAGTTGGATGGCTATCTCCAGGAAAAGGAACTTAATTCATTCGCTCTGCTCTAGGATAAGGAACATTTGTAGTTCTGATTGCATTGACTCAGTACTTGACTTCTTAAACGCCAGGGCTCACAAAAAACGGTTACCCTAACCGATTTATTGACAGCAACATGAAAGATAAGCAGTCTAAATTGGTCACCGACACAGTTCCAAAGAAAAACTTTTTGATGAACTTGGAATTCAAAGTTGATCGAACCTCAGATATGCTGAAAAACAGTCTCTCTAAATCAGTCAGTAAGACATTCTTTACAGTAAAATTACAAACGACGTTCACCAGCCGCAAGTTGTTCTCCATCTCTGTAAAGGATAAGCTCCCCCGTCTGGCCACCTCCATGTACACCTATTAGTTCACCTTCTCTAGTGGAGCAAGATACATCGGCCGTAGTCAGAGGACGCTTTCCACACGGATATGAGAGCATATTCCAGCAGCATGGTTTTACAAGGGAGTAAGGAAGTGTGTGCGAAGCTTTATTCTGGAAAACCTGATCCTGTCACTGCCAACCCTGACCATGATTTTAAGATAATATGCAGAATCCATGCTGACTTTCCACGTTCTTTTCGTTACAGACTTCTAAAGACAGCGGAGGCCTTGGCAATTCATGACTTTAAGCCAGACCTTTGTGTACAAAAGAAGTATGTACAATCACTACTTCTGCCTTGGCCGTAGAGGGATAGACATTCATTTATTTTGTTTATTTAGTTATTCTATGTACTTTTCCCTTATTACTACGATTATTATTATTATCATTATTATAATTACTATTCTTACTCTGAATCTTTTCCACTTGACCCACTTGACATTTTAAACCCCAAATTATTAGTTTTTATTTTTACAATACTGAATTCTATCTTATCAAATTTCACACCGTTTTATGTGACATTTTATATTCGCCTACTAATTTTATAATTGTGTACCCCTTTCCAAAATCTATACATCTTATGTATTATGCTATATATGACATTAATTATTTTACCACTTGACATTTAACTATGATTATATTCAAAAATATTTAATTGCATTTCATACCATTATTATTATTTCATGAATTCACACCTTTGACCTAATTCCCTCACCGGATATAATTTCATAATAAAAGAAACCATATATATGTACGATTGTACAGCTTGATAATAAATTCGTTGAAAAGAGTTTCTTCACTGAATATTGTGTTCTTAATGCTACAATGGGAAATTATTAAATTGTAAATTATTTGGTTGTTTTTTCTTGCTTATTGAAAACGTCATTCACTTTCAAGTACGCTCTTTGACACGTGTCATGAGGTGGATGTTGCAAGATAGTTTCAAATTATCAATAGGCAGAAGAGTTTCATTTTCCTTAAGTTTACCGAAGCAGTCTCCATCAAGTGCTTGAAACCCGATTTTTGTGTTCAGAAAGAAACTATTATCAGTCTTTCCATGCCCTGCTGCCTGGTAACTGGATGTTTTCACCCTCTCTTTCATCTGATTACGTAATGTCGAAAGTTTCCATTGTGTATGATCATTATTGTTTGGGATAAAGTGTTTATTATTAATATATATATTATTATTGTATGCATATATTGACTGATTTTTGTTGAAAAGTGAATCTACAAGTATGTTAAAATTGTTTCTGTAGATATACTTATTAATGACTTTGAGCTGTAAGCAGCTGAGCTGATGAGAAGCCAACAAAATGATTGAGGGTACCATTTGATTCTGCGAAAACTGTTCTTCTTGCTTTATTCAAATTTCAAAAAATTTTTGATGTAACTCATAAAATCTTGTGAAAGGGAAAAGGTCATCTATTTTTAAATAAGTTTTGCATTTCCCAAAGATTGATTTTATTGATATGTTGGTTCCCAGTACGGATAATTCGACATTGTTCAAGGAAATAATACGAAGTTATTCTGATTGGTGGTGAGTGTAGCAGCGGAACACAGATTTTTGAGCATTTTGTCTGGTTTTGGGAACTCGTCAGGTGGACATACTTGCATTCTCAGTGCTTGATGGGACATATTAACATAGATCGCGTATTTCTGTCCAATAAATAATTATTCTTTCTCCAGCCTTTAGTGACTCACGAGCTAAATGGACGAAGTTTTGTTGTTTTAAGCTAAAGGTGAGGAGTTCGAGTCTAAGGGGGAGTGTCATCACCTATTGAGGGATGAGGAGTCTAAAAATGGAAGGAAATTCTCATCCTGGATTCGACTGCTAGGCGTCATTTGATGCTGGACTAATGAGGAGTAAAGATGTTGAGTGTGTTAACTATTTTACTTGTTCGGGAGGTTGCGCTAACCAGAATGGACTGATTATTGATGGGATTTCATAGTAGGTGAAAACCGTCAGTCTGCATCATTTTTAATGTGGTCAGAATACACTGGTAATCGTCAAAATCTGTTGATGCGACTGGAATGCCAGATTAAGTTAAAATGCTGTTAAATTACGCAGATCCTTTAGGTCAGACAGATAGAACTGTAGAAATATAGAAAGTCATGCGGTATGCATAACAATGCATACACGTTGTTTAAAATATTCCTTTTATAACTTAACCAAAAAGCATAAGATGATATGGCAATCTAATCTGAATGCAGACCGTCAGCTGTCACTGAAATACAGAATCTTGCTTAGGATTGGCAAGTCTTAAACAGGTCGAAATACACATTCTGACTCATTGGGTTATTGAATGAGAGACACCAAATCATATTTACAGCCATCATATTAAGATGTCTGTCTGTCTGTCAGCAGTGTTCGATCAGTTGAATTGACCCAACAACCAGAAATTATACCAGCTGAATGATGACCAGAAGTTCAGTTCACACATACATCAAATTATTTTAGATGACCATTATAATGTCCTCCTTGCCACATTATCTGCTCGATGCCACCCTCGCACCAACGGCCCACTCCTTGCTACCCATTAGGGTTTTACCTAAAGCAATGGCCTGCGTTAGGGGGGGCGGTTATCACTCAATTGCTTCCACAACGTATGCCCAATCCATCTCCATTTCCTACTACATATTTGTTGAGCAATTGGCTCTTGACTGTTGCTTTGTTCCCCTGAAAAGTCTCTTGTTTCCAATTCTTTCTTGCCCACCGGCCATTCGATCTTCAGTATGGATCCAAAGAAGTGGGCAGGTGTTGATAAAAGTCTATAACTTGTTTTTAATGCTTTCCGTGACACGCTGGCCAACTTTCTGACCTGTACAGTAGGACTGACTGACTTCACACTTTTGTCGAAAATCCGAATCTTGTTCTTTATGTTGGCTGAGTCACGGCAGAAGATTTCCAAACTGGTTTCAGGTTGATGAAGGCGTACCTTGCCTTTTCGATTCTGGCTGGCTGGCTTTGAAATTTTCACACGTTCTAACCATCTGTGGTTGAAACCGTGTTTCCTAGCCAGAAACATGTAGCCAGGGAGTGACCTCATTCAAATCTCTTCCGTTGATGGTGACTTATGCATGTGGTTGTTGCTGTTGATGGTAGTTGGTTATCTTCATCACCTGCGTCTTCTCTATGCCCACCTGGAATCCGGTGTTCGCTGCCAGCGTCTCCAACCACTTTGTTGGTTTTTGCTTGCAAGTCTTTGAGTGTTTGTGACATTAGACATAAATGATCCACACGTAAAATCCAGATCTTCTGGAGTCTTCTTATCGGTCCAGCTTATTCCTGTCTTCTCACTCCCATGCACAGTCTGACGCATAATCCAGTCAGTCCACGACAATTAATCATATCATCGTCTGTGATAATAGGCAGCCTTGTCATACTCCATTTTTCACTTCAAACGCCTCACTGAAACCTGACACGTGGCATTGCAGTAGTAATGTTTTTTTGTGTGACTGATAAATACTATTAAGAAAAAACATACGTTGAACTCTTCATCAATGCGCACTCACGACCCCATCGCTTTGGGTCGAGCCCAGGACTATGAAGTGACGAGGTGAGCACATTGACCAGTAAGCCACTGTGGCAGAATCCAATGACCCAACAATTTCCACTTCCGTCGATTCTAATTTTTAACGACACCACCGGCCAATATCATCAGAGAGTATTTGTTCTTACAACTCTTACCTGTTGTACCCCGGGTGACTTCATCCGGTAGGTCAGTCATCTGTGAGCGTCAGATCAATTTCCAAATGTTTGTTTGTAGAAATTTGATTTGCTCTCATTCCTCGATCAAATTTGAAAACAATCAAATACGTATATTTTTTTCTAATGTCATTACTATTACTCATAACCAAATAAGTAATGTTTATCATTTCTTTCATATCAAAGATGTAGGTGATTATCTGAATCAATGTCTGCTAGCGATGAGTTATTTACCTGAGTCGAATACCAATCTTCAACCGCTACCAAAAGGTTAGTAATTTGTTGATCTGTTTATTCAAGAACAGTTTTTTAAAGCACCTTTTCCTACCGAATTCCATTTTATAATGTTGTGTGGTTATGTTTTTCATACTGTTAATTTTCTTACTGTATCAAAGCAGGTGAAATTTTCACTTATCGAAATCATTATTTCAGTTTTCTGTTGACTGATCCTACTGTTGTTATTATTATCATTTATTATTCGCTTGGGTTCCAAGTGGAACATAGGGCTGGCTTCAACAACACATCTCCACTTTCTTCTATTTTCTTCTGTCCTCTTCATCTGGCCGCACGATTGACCATAATCTCTCATCTCCTCCATGTCATCCTCACACCGGTGACCCACCCCCCGCTTCTCACTGGGATTCCACCTTACGCAGTGGTCCGCATTGACAGCGATCTCATTTGACGACCTGGTAAATGTATCCCTGATTAATCCATCTCCTCTTTCTCCTGCATATTTGTTGAGCTATCGACTCTCGCCTGTTGGTTTGTTGTCAGCCAAAGTTTCTTGTTGCTAATTGCTTCTGGTAAGCCGGCTGGCCATTTTGATCATCAGTATGGAGCTGGCAAAATTGGCAGCTGTTGACAAAAGTATGTAATATCTTGGAAATCCTGGCGGAAGAAGCAGACAGTCAAGACAGGACTTCAGGTAAACATAGAAAAGGCGAAAGTGATGAAGATAACCGACTAACAACAGCGAAAACCTGCACGAATCACCACTGAACGGGAGGGACTTGGCAGATCTCACCTCCTTCACTTATCTTTCTGGCAAGCATTGTTTCAACCACAGACAGTCGGAACGGATGAAGACGTCAACTTCAGCCATTCAGAATTGGAAAGGCAAGATACACTATTGTCAACCTGAAACCTGAAACTTGAAGTATCACTTTTGATGCTGTTAGACTGAAATATTTCGTCTGTGATGACATATCTTCTCCTATTAGGTAGGCTTCGATGACGTCTTTCTGAAGTTACTTGGTTGATAGTGACGAGCTGTAGATTTCAGGACGTTTTGTGTGTGAAATGGTGGGTTCCAGGCTCAGTGGGAATACTATCAACCACTGGGGATATGTGTTAATCTTCCTGACAAGATACAAATCGGATGCAACATGCTGCTTAGATTAAATAGCTACTCACGAGTAATCACATAACGTTGCATTTTTTAAACGGTTCTGCGCATCTGTAACCGAAATGGAATAGAGAAGCGAAATTTCCCGCTTAGCTTTCATATAGATGTACGCAGTATATGCATATTACTTGACAATGGTGTTCACACCAGTCACAAATTGGCAGAAGCTAGAATTCATGATCTGGCCGTTGAGTCGGGTCCCAGTGACTGAATAGTCTATGAGCTTATCGTGTAAACGGAAGATGCTGGGTTCGAACCCCAATGGGTGCTTACTGCCAATGATTTCCAAACTAAGGCAAAACAGATGTCCAATGCTCCCTAATGGTTTTCAACACTTCTCAAAGTGATATCAATCCCTGATCAAACTCGAAAAAATTCAGATCTCCACAAGCTAACTCATCAAAACTTATGATTCAGTTGGACATTCAAATTGCAGTTTCTACATAGACCTTTGGAAATTCATGTATGAGTAAAATATGGCCTCAAGGGTACATGAGATAGTAGAGTTATTCCTGTCAAAATAACTTATTGTAACACAAATGATTTTCTTTCTGCCGTTTGTTTATTTTCCAGTTAACGAAGATGATGTTAAAAAGTTTCCACTTTCAAAGATGGATGAGATTGCTATCGATTGGACTATACGGTAAGCTGATTGCTTATCTGAATTTTCGATGTTTGAAGATATATTTACAATTCGGACACGTTTTCGTTATTCATAAATCCGCGAAGTTAAACTATAGCAACCGAAACTACAGTCACTTTGAATAACGAATTATAACTTGTTTGCAGAAAAATTGGTAAAATCGTTGAAAAAAAACCTTACGAACATGATTTTATAATGGACAATTATCACATTTGTGTTTTTAAGCATATTTGCCAGTCACTTCAAGAATAATTGCATAGGGAGATCATACCATACATGATAGATGTATTCACTCAGATGACTGTAGATCATGGTACTCTGGTGGGATCTATTGATAATCCTGACAATATTCTTTAGTCTACCCCTAACCCTGTAACCTAATCCTAACCGTAAACCCTAATCGTAACACCACTTAACAATAAAGATTTGTAGAAAAATGTATTTAGTGAATAAGCACCATCAACAGTTTGATTTGGGATGACATTTCATTGGGTTCTTCAAATCTGATTGGTTCTTGAAGGTCAACTGTCAACTATGGGAAATTGACTTTAGCTGTCATTGTTTTAACCCCGTCCATAAACGTCTGTCAGATTGAGAACAATTTGAAAAAGAGGGTTAATTATTCCCACTATTGTCTAGAATTTTTCAAAAGCGAACACTTTTAAAAATGAGAGTTTAAAGATTTCAGAGGTCGGAGGTTATTGTCAGTGAGTAGCTAAATAATTCAAAGTATATGAGAAATAACAAAGCGTGCAAAAAATAGCGATTGATCTTCGGGTAATCGAGAGAGTTGGCAGATGACTAGTTGACTGATGAAAAATCAATAGGGAAAAAATGACTAAAAACGGGAGAACACAGGTTGGAAAATGGGTTACACAAAGATAAAGTGACTGCATAGAGTTTATTGTGCGGTAATTCAAGAAAATGAAATAGACAATAAAGTCATGGTAGTGAAAGAGGCTGGATAATGCGTTTCTGCGCGTCGAGTTTAGATGCTTCTTAATGGATTACGACAGCTTTCGCTGTATTAAGAAAATCTAAGCGAAATCACTTCTAATGACTTAACTGTTCTTTTTATTTTGCATTTTTATTTAAACACGAAATACTTGATACAATTTGACACCAAGAAGATGAGCCACACAATAATAATAAAACAATATACGTTAAAGGTAAAGACATAGGTAGAGAACGCATAAAGTACTTCATCTGGAAGAAAAACAGTCATCTTTAACAAGTTCAAACAGCATTCGTCAATTTAACGTCGGGAAAGGGAAGGAAGAAGGAAATTGTGGCACATTTGCCATTGATGACTGTGATTCTTGGCAATATCCGATAGTGTTTCGAGCCACCAATATCAGCTAGCTCTAGGACTTCAACCAGGGAGTCATGACTCATCACTGATGCTAACCTAACACAAATATCCTGCATCTCACGAGGCTACATCATGGACTGACCACCTCTCCGCTTTTTCAGCCCCTTCCCGGGACTAGTGAACAGAGACCTGTACATAAGCCTCTGGGGTGACATTTGTAGTACATGTCCAAGCTGCCAAAGCCAGTGTCTCCAGATAACGATACTGAATGAATGGGAAATTTCTATATCTTCATTACTATCTTCGATTTTTAATGGTTCCTTCTCTGGCATTAGTTTTTTTGTAATCACAACTGTATAAAGCAAACCTTTGTTTTAAATACTTTACTTTAAATACTCTTTTTCTAATAGTTATGGTCAACGAATTGGTTTACTGCAAAGATCTCAGTCAAATTACAGTGAAGATTATAAGTATTTCTACGAGCAGCTGCATATTCTTATGCGTACAGTTCGTTTATCCTTTCAGAAAGAAGATCAGTCGCCCTCTAGACAAAGAGACCAAGGTCAGTTTAGCTTATCCGATAAGTTCGCCAGAATTTTATGGCTTAATTTTATGGACTAGCTGTTTGTGTTTTTGACTGATGAAGCCCACCAGCCAAAGTACAGTAACACGATTCAGTGGGATTTATAGAACGGATTCAGTGTTTGCTTGTCCGATCATTTTTCTGGGTTTTTTTTATTATCATTTTGCGTTGCAAGTGGAAATATAAGTTGTGAAGTTCCAGTGAATTTATTCAAGAAGAGTTGAACCTTAAGCACCAGTAAGTACCAATGAGAAAATGACCTCGAACGAACCAACCATATGATATAGGCGATTTTAGCGTACACTATATGTATATGTACCTGAAAATAATCAATTAAAAGGCATGAAACTGTGGCAAAGGATACCCTCCTATGCCATGTGACAGATGTACCTCACAGTTTTCGACTGGAGCATGAACAGAGTAATTATCTAGGCCTTCTAACCCTAGCCTAACTCGAACCAACCTCTGATGTCGTCCTCATTAGGCGAAATTAACCCTACTTGTCCTTAGACTAAATTTTAACTTAACCATCACCAAAACTAACCTGAAAATTTCCAGATATCCCATTTAATAACATAACGTTGCACTAAGCACATTTCATTCATGATTACAATGTTGCTTTCTATAGTTGGTTTGTAAGCATTAGCTTTGTTTTTACGAATTGATCACGGACTGATATCAGTCAGAGAACGATTTAAGACCAGGGAGTAATGGACAGCTGTTTCATCCTAGTTTGGCAGTACGTATCCACTGCAGTTCGAATCCAGGACCGTTCCGTTACAAGGCAATCTCGTATTAATCTGATGCTTGCTAGTGACTGTCTACAAGATGGAGTTTCCTGGAGTTCTAGTGAGAAGTCGTGATCAGTGAAGTCCATCCAGTCAAATGTAAGGATGGATGTCCCACCGATGACATTGGTTGATGGTTGCACTAAAATCACGAACTGGTAGAAGTTAGAATTCATGGATTGGCTATTGAATCGGGTCTCAGTGTCTGAATGGTATACGAGTTTGCCTTGTAACCGGGAGGTCCTGGGTTTCATCACCAGTGGGTGTGTTCTGCTTATGACTCCCAAATTAGGATGAAACAGCAGCTGTCCAGTACTTCCTGCTGGTTTTCAATGGTTCTCTAACTGATATCAATCTGTGATCAACTCGTAAAAACAATATTAGTTACCAGATTTCACTAGCTTGCTCACTGAGCATTACAAGGTCATTGTTGCGATTGCGATCCGCTGGTACTTACTGGTGCTTTTAGTTAAACTTGACCGTTATTCCCACCGGAGGGTGAGGAGTTGCTAGCCTCTCGTTCAACCATACTTTTTTTTCTCCAGGGTTGCTACCAAGAAGGTTTAGCAGTGTGTCATTCGGAAATAGAACATAGACCTCCCGATAAGTTGCCAAGCATTCGCCTCGTAGCTTGGCTTCCATACGCATAAAGAGCATAGATGATTGCTACTGCAGATTGACAAATGAGGATGGGTCAGTTGTCCAGTATTTCATGCTGGTTTTCAACGGTTATCTAACTGAATTCAGTTTGTGACCAAGCTTAAGAGTTAAGGTTATAAATATTTTAAATATTTAGTGGTGATGGTTGATTTGGTCTTTTGGAATCAGAGTTCACATAGTAAGAAATACAGTCGGAGAGTATTCAGACTACATATTCGAGTATGTGATTGGAATTCTGAGCTACAGACCTTGGCAAAAGCATTCGATTACGGGGAAGCTAAGAGTGACTAGACAAAGGAGGTCGATGTTTCATGGGAAATGATACTTAAGCACAAATAAACATCTTATGAGTCAGTCATAAGGAAAAGAAGATGTAAACAGCGAAAAACAATTTTCTTTTTGACGATTCATTTTCAAAAGCTGTACACTCGCATTTATTATATTCAACAAAGAATTTGTAAGATCGATTAGAAAGCGGTAAATTTGTTCTAGAAAATGCATTGTATAATGTAAGGTGTATTCTAGAAGGGGATGACAAATTGGAGACTTGAGAAAAAGGGGGGGAAGAATTTGAAATTCATGAATAGTCTCCATCCAGACATCAATTAAAGCCAAACACATGGTTCAGCAAAGAGGCGTTTTTCGACGAATTCCTTTTTTTTCAGTCGTACAATCTTGTTTGTCGACAATATTTTCACGAAAGAGGATAGTAAAAATCCCTGTCTAATGATTTATTATTAGCATAAAATAGTTTACTGTCCTTCCGCCAGTTATTGTCCAGTTTATACATTCATATTGATTAGAAAAAAGACATATAAGCGAAACAATATTGCTGTTTTCAATTAGATTTCATCAGGCTTAACTATAATATTAAGAACACAATATTCAGCGAAGAATCTTTTCAACGAATTTATTATCAAGCTGTACAATCGTATATATATATATTTATATATGGTTTTTTTTATTAAGAAATTATATCCGGTGAGGGAATTAGGTCAAAGCTGTGAATAAATGAAATAATAATAATAGTAGTATGAAATGCAATTAAAATATTTGTGATTATAATCATAGTTTAATGTCAAGTGGCAAAATAATTAATGTCATATATAGAATAATACATAAGCTGTATAGATTTTGGAATGGGGTACACAATTATAAAATTAGTAGGCGAATATAAAATGTTACATAAAACGGTGTGAAATTTGATAAGATAGAATTCAGCATTGTAAAAATAAAAAATAAAATTTAATAATTTTGGGTTTAAAATGACAAGTGGGACAAGTGAAAAACAATTCAGAGTGAAATAGTAATAATAATATTAATAATGATAATAACAATCGTAGTAATAAGGAAAAGCACATAGAATAACTAAATAAACAAAATAAATAAATAAATGTCTATCCCTCTACGGCCAAGGCAGAAGTAGGGATTGTACATACTTCTTTTGTACACAAAGGTCTGGCTTAAAGTCATGAATTGCCAAGGCCTCAGCTGTCTTTAGAAGTCTGTAACGAAGAAAACGCGGGAAGTTAGCATGGATTCTGTATATGATCTTAAAATCATGGTCAGGGCTGGTAGAGTGACAGGAGTCGATCAGGTCTTCCAGAATAGAGCTTCGCACACACTTCCTTTCTCCCTTGTAAAACCATGCTGGAATATGCTCTCGTATCCGTGTGGAAAGCATTCTCTGGCTACGGCCAATGTACCTTGCTCCACAAGAGCAGGTGAACTGATAGATGCACATAGAGGTGGCCAGACGGGGGAGCTTATCTTTTACAGAGGTAGAGAACAACTTGCAGCTAGTGAACGTCATATGTAATTTTGCTGCAAAGAACGTCTTACTGACTGATTTAGAGAAACGATTTTTGAGCATATCTGAAGCTTGATCACCTTTGAATTCCAAGTTCATGAATAAGGTTTTCTTTGGAACTGAGTCGGTGACCAGTTTAGACTGCTTATCTTTCATGTCGCTGTCAATAAATCGGTTCGGGTAACCGTTTTCTGCGAGCTCGTTTAATATTTCGTGGATTCTCTCTCGTCAACTGCTTACATCCTAAATAAATCAATTAGATGTTACAAAATGGTTTGTGAACAATGACTTTAGGTTATACATAGAAAGTATAGGCAACATAATTTCAAACATGATGTAAGTAGACAATTATTCAGTGTTAAACGATACTCTTTTAACTATCTAGCTACATAAGGGGGAAGAATTCAGATTTCTCTCGGAAACAAGGATGGACTAGAGACAAAATACAAGATAAAACAACCGAGTGAAATTATACATATAATGGTGAAAAGTTCAGGAGGGTACGGGTGAATAGCGAAGTAAAATTATTAAAATAATTTAATTTAGTAGATTTGGAAACTTGATAGTGAGTTAAACTCAGTGAGTGAAAATCCAAATCAAGACTGACTAGAATGTTACGCAACAGAACAAAACACAAAAGGACACGAACAAGATAATTATGGTTACCAGAGTAGGGTAGTGAGAGATTAGTCACACTCTCTTTCTGTATGCATAGATTGGGTCGAAGTCTTTTGAGTGCATATTATTATTATTGTTTCCTTTAATTCCTAGAGGAACATAGGGCTTCAGCCGTGCGTCTCAATTGCGTTTGGTTCTCTGCTAGAGTCTTCACCTGGCTCCAAGTCTGCCCACACGTTTTCATCTCCTCTTCACATGACCTCCTCCAAGTCACCCTTGCACTGACGACCAACTCGCCGCTTCCCTTTCGGGTTCCACTCAACCAATGGCTTGTCTAGTGATGTCACTTGATGGTTTCCTCAGAGTATGGCCAATCCATCTCCATTTCTTCCTGCCTATTTGTTGCACAATCGGTTCCTGTTTGGTTGGCTCCCAGAGATCCCTGTTGCTGATCTTTTCTGGCCGGCCATCTGATCTTGAGTATTGAGCGAAGACAGCTGTTGATGAAGGTCTGTAGTTTGTTTGAGATGCTCTTTTGATTGCAATGGTTTCTATGAACCGAAGTGTATTGATTAGTTTGAGAAGAGTTTGCCGCCTTGAAAAACGCAGACTTTTAGGGATATGCTCTGAGAATCTAGTAGACGCTCTCCTCTCAAGACTGATATAAGATGTAGACAGTTGAAGAGAACCCACAAAATAAAAAAGGGCTCGTATTATCCTGACTGCAAATATGTTCATTCTTTCTTTATTCAAACTAATAACTAAGGGGACCGGTTGTATGAAAGTATGCACTTTTCAATGACAATGAATACAGGTTAATAGTTTCTGCTACGTTTCATCCAAATTAAAAGTGCTTGAATCTCTGAAGAAGTGGATTTTGACATTTATATATGTCGGATTCAGGAGAAACAAGTCATGTATTGATCAGATGGCTACATTACGGATCATCATTGAACAAAGCTTGGAATGGCAGTCAGCTCTCTATCTCAACTTCATCGACTTTGAAAAGGCCTTCGACAGCGTCGATCGAGAGGTGATTTGGAAACTACTTCGCTACTACGGGGTGCCACCGACAACTATACATCTCATCCAACAGCTGTACAACAATGCTGCATGCCAAGTAATCCACATCAGGAGACTTACGGAATCCTTCGAAGTGAGGACAGGAGTAAGACAAGTTGGCTGCCTACTATCGCCAATGATTTTCCTGATTGCAGTAGATTGGATAATGCGACAAACAGTGGGCAATGAGGAAACAGGCATAAAATGGACTCACACAAAAACATACTTGGAGGATCTGGACTTCACCGATGATATATGTCTTATTTCCCACAAATTGGAAGATATGTAAGGGAAAAGCAACAAGTTGGCGTAGAAGAAGTATCAAAGATAGGACTTCAGGTGAACATAGAGAAAACAGAGGTGATGAAGATTCCTGGACAACACCACCAACACCAACAACAACAGACAACAATCAGCATAAATAGGAGGAACCTGAAAGAAACAACCTCTTTTACCTACCTACCTAGGAAGCATCGTTTCAACTACAGGCAGAACTGACGAGGATATCAAAGCAAGAATCGGAAAAGCAAGACAAGCTTTCACTACTCTCAAGTCTGTGTGGAGGTCAACAGCACTCAGCACCAAAAATCAGGTCCGGATTTTCAACTCCAATGTGAAGTCAGTGCTACTATACGGATCAGAGACTTGCACTGCGCGTCATAAAGAGCATCTCAAACAAACTACAGACCTTCATTAACAGTTGTCTTTGCTCAATACTCAAGATCAGATGGCCGGCCAGAAAAGATCAGCAACAGGGATCTCTGGGAGCGAACCAACACAGCAGGAACCGATTGTGCAACAAATAGGCAGGAAGAAATGGAGATGGATTGGCTGGCCATACTCTGAGGAAACCATCAAGTGACATCACTAGACAAGGCATTGCTCGACTGGAACCCGAAAGGGAAGCGGCGAGTTGGTCATCAGTGCAAGAATGACTTGGAGGAGGTCATGTGAAGAGGAGATGAAAACGTGTGGGCAGACTTGGAGCCAGGTGAAGACTCTAGCAGAGAACCGAACGCAGTGGAGACGCGCGGCTGAAGCCCTATGTTCTTATAAGAATTAAAGGAAACACTAATAATAATATGTCGCCTAGTCTGTTGACAAAATAGAAGCCTAAATTGATAGGCAATGAGTTATTTTATAGCTTGTTTCATTTTATATTAATTTTCACTACATTTAGATGATGTATGATAACTTCAGTTGTCATTCCACTCATATTGGCTTTATCGTAATCTTGTTTTTAAGTCAACTAGTTTATTAAAGAAGGCACTGAAAGCTTTGGAATAATTTGACATTCATTATAGAAAGCTATTTATACATAATCTTGATGAAATGTCAATTAGTATTGATTTCACTAAAACATTAACACAAATGGTATTCAGTTTATAATTGTTGTTATTACATAGTTGGAGGTAATCAATAGGATTTAGGTTTCGTGCTTTCTTGGTAGTCACCCGTCAGCAAAGCATATCTGTAATCTTGAAGGAGTGCATGCTCCTTCTGAGATTTGAACATACGTCTTCCAGAGCTGCAGTCAGAGGAGATGTTACGACTGAGCTATGCGAATTCGCCATTGACCTCCTGTAGTCGGTGGCTACATTGCAAATTTGACTGATAGAATTCAGTCTGCAATAAACAGAGGACTGGGCACATGACACTAGTTCGTGGTCAGTCTAATTCTAATTTAGATATGATGGAGAAGATTTGTAGCTCAGGTGGATGATTTTGATGTGGTTGTGTTCTCTGAGCTGGATAGTTAGTTTGCGAAGCTTTCATTACCCTACTAGATGACGTCTTCAGCGCATACTTGAATTTGAAGTGAGCTTTTAGATTTCTCCACGAGTTTATTAATCATCTCTTACAGTGACCTTGGGCTAGATTGATTGTTTTTGTGCGTTTTCACACCTTTGTGCACAAAGTCACCCTGCCATGTATAAAGGATATATCAGCAATCACTGCGAGACTCGTCAAACCTTTAGGAATTGACGTAGCAGACAAACCAACAAAATCAATTCACTCACTTCTATGTCAACCAAAAGACTCAACAGCGAACGAAGATGAAACCAACATCATATACAAGATAAGTTGTAACAACTGCGAAAAACACTACATTCACCAAAGTGGACATCCCCTTCGTCTTCGTATCCACAAAAATAAGCTAGCCATCAAAAGACATGATATCCACTCCCTCATATCACTGGATACAGACAACCACGGACATCAATTCGACTGGGACAATGTTCAAATATTAGACAGAGGAAACACCAAGAATGCTAGAGAATTTTTAGAAGCCTAGTATTCCAGTGAATCGCCAATCAATAGACACATCGAGATTGACAAATTTTATCAACCGATAAGAAAGAAACCTCACACACAGAGGGTCAAAGTTCAAGTCAAAGAAACAATCAGTTCCAATACAAGTAGTCTAGAAGGTGTGAAAAAAACACAAAAACAACCAATCACGTTCAAGGTCACTGGGAGAGATGATTAATAAACTCGTGGAGAAATCTAAAAGCTCACTTCAATTCAAATTGAAGTATGCGCTAAAGATGTCACCTAGTAGGGTGATGAAAGCTTCGCAAATTAACTATCCAGCTCAGAGAACACAACCACATCAAATTCTAATTGTTGTTGTGTAAAGGATGAACAGTGTGAGTAAACTGATCACTAGAGAGTAGCAGAATACACTGTTTGATCTTAAATTTTGATTCCGCTTCACTGATTGTTAGCAAATTGTCTCGGTATCAGTTGACTCCTAGTGTATAAGTCTAAAGATGACATGCATCGCAATTCCTAGTCATGTTGTATTACATAACTTAATAAATAAATTATATAAGTGACGAAGAGGAATTCAGATCACAAACTATACAAATAATTAAAAAAAGCGACAATTTTTCAGTGAAAATATTTGCGTAAATAAACATCTCACATCAAAGTTTAGTTGAATGACAGTTATGTGAACATTGTAAAACAAGAGAAAAACATATTTTCCAACTTCTGTTGAGGCACTTTTAGAGATCTGAATGGTGGCTGACTACAGGATTAATGCTATTATTAATCCCTTGGGTTCTGAGTGGAATATTAGGCTTCAATAACACATATCCACGTTATTCTATCTTCTGCTGTCCTCTTCAGCTGAGTCCACGACTGATCCTAATCTCCTCCATGTCATCATCTCACCGACTACATACAGATCGCTTCCTATTCGGATCCCACTCGAACGATGTCATTTGACGGCCTCTTCAACATTTACCCGATCAATCCATCCACATTTCTTCTTACATGTTTTCTGATCAGTCGGTTCTTGGAAGGTTTGTTCCCAGCCAGTCCTAGTCAAATGGTCTTAAGCTTAATGCCTCCAAATGTCAGGTGGTTAATTTCACTATCAGTTCACGATATAACGTGAACTGGTTAGTTCTCACGATTCCACTATCATAGCTGGTACAGAAGTTGAAACTAAATCGTATGTTAAATACCCTGGATAGTGTATTTCCTCTAATCTTACATGGTCTTCCTAATCGATGTTAGTTTCCAGGAAGATATTTCGTTTGACCTTCTATGCAAGGAAGTTGAGACGATCTGGTATCATTGTGCCTCTACTGGTACACTTTGTTAATTCTTGTATTCTGACTATGCTTCTTTACTGTTCCCCCAGGGCTACTTAAGAAAGACTTCGTTATACTGCGAAGGGCATCGAAAGCCGTCAGAAGTTGGAGTAGGCTTTTGCTAAACCAACTCGTTAATACTTGGATTCCTGCAAGAAGTTAGCAAATATTATCCTGGCGCTGGATTCAGGGTGATCAAGAATGCGCTGACCCCGGGTAGAGGCTCACCATTGCACCTCGGTGGGTTGAAACTCGCGACGGACCCTAATCGGGTGCGCTCGGGCGTGTAGTTTTTGTCAGTGGGGAGGCCTCACGGTCCTCCCTTTAATAGTGCGTCGGTGGCACAGTGGTTATGACTCTCGCCGATGATGCACATGGTCCGGGGTTCGATCCCCTGCCGACGCACACCTGATATCTATGGTCGGCCTGAAAAATTTGGGCTACCGATATCACATGCTGAAAAATCCATACCTGTACCAAGAAATGCGGTGTGGAATCAAGCTGTAATCGAAAATAAAATTTTAAAAAAATCAAAAAGAAATAAACCTCCTTTCTATGCACAACTCTCTTCTTGCATATGTCTCATCGTATAGAGCTAGAAGCTACTATAGAAGACTGTGTACTCCGACGACTAAGTATAAAAACTCTACAATACCTTGTTTAGCTGGGACACATTTTATGTGATGATAAAAGTGTAAGACAGAAAATTACTGACTTACTGCTGAGGAACTCCAAGTAAACGGTACTATTTTTTGTTCTCAGTGTAACATTGTTGTTAATATTTTCATTTAATTTTATATCCATAGTCATATGGAACAATATTATTGATGTAAATGTCCTGCTTTAATTACTAACCCCGTAATGAGAATATTAGATACAATAATGATTGTATTACATGATGAAAATACTGTATATGCACCAAAATAATGTGCGTCGGTGGCACAGCGGTTGAGTGCTCGCCGATCACGCCTCGTGTGGTCCGGGGTTCTATCCCCGCCCACCGACGCACTCCTCTACCTCGCTAAGCCAGTATTAAAGCTGGTAAAGAAGAAAGGTTGGGCATGAGGCTAGCAATCCCATCCTGTAAAAATAATCACCACTGTTAAAGAAACGTCAAGCCTCTAGCTTGAAGTCCTATGTTCCACTGGGAATGTAAAGGAATAAAAACCACAACCAAAATACTGTTTGGAATAAAGCTATTATTATTATTCACTATGATATTTTACTAACTTTTCTTATTGCATAACTCAACGAATTCTCTTCTTCTCTCCCTATATAACGGATATTTACACTTTAGATGAGCCATTCGATTGGTTTGTGGCTACAATATTTCTTATATACAATACAAATTATAAAAGTGCTTGGAATTTCTTATCCAGCTTTTCTAAACTTCCTCATTCCCTTTACCTTTGGCCTAACAGATGCAAACATGTAAGTATAATGAGCTAGTGTTATCACCTACATTAATACAATAATCGATTATTTCTATTTTTAGATTGTTTATACTCAAGGTTAAATATGACATGTTTGAACAGCAGGGACAACACAAAGCCTAAAAGCCTTTTGTTGGTTTTTTTGTAAAGATTAAAAGATAAGTCATTCAACTAGTTCATGTTTACTAAAGTTAAGGTTAGATAAAAGATTTGAATCTGTGTAGCCCCTCGCCCAGTGAAGTCTTATCTTGATAAGCAGAAAGCTGTTACGAACAGAGTTTTTTGAAGATTGAGGGAATGAGGGAGAGGCAATAGCTCTCAGTGTAGATTTATTCTATGTTGATTTAAGAAAAATATTAATTTAATATAGTTTCTCAAGATAAAATATATGTTATTAGATGGTTGGAGGTAATTGGCAGGAAGCCTTACCTGACCTAGGTTTCTTATCTGCAACCTTGAAGGAACTCATGTCACTTCCGAGATTCGAACCCAGGTCACCCAGTGCTGCCTGCAGTCAGAGACGCTACCACTGGGCTATTCGGGCTCACGACTGACCTCAAAAGGGGACATGAGTTCCTTCAAGGTACCAGATACGCCTTTCTGACTGATGAGTACCAAGTAGCACGAAATCTAGGTCACCCAAGGCTTCCTGCCTATTGCCTCTAACCATCTAATATCATCAAATCAATGTGCACCGTGATGGCGAGCCACCACGTAGAATGATGGCCACATTGCAAATCTGACTGATAGAATTCAGTCTGCACTAAACAAGGGACTAGACACATCACACTAGTTACTAATGTCCAATCAAATTATAAAATGTCTGTTTTGGGAAATTTATTGACAAATAGACTGATATGGATCATGCGCATACGCTGCCAATGTAAATGCACTCAAGGAGTTGGATATTACACGGCAGCATTGTGCAATCCACAAGTCGAAAGTCTGACTTATTGGATCCTGCACTTAACTATCAGTCAGTGGATGGCCGGACAGAATTATTCACCACCTACTTCATACTAAGCAGCTGAGTGGCTAAAACTGAGCATGTGAATAGTCTTCTCCTACTCTGACTTTCAAAGTAGAAACACACCTTAAGGTAGGGAAAACAAGAAGTGGGGTCAGACTGCAATCATTGAGACCGCATGAGGAATACTGAAAATTTAATGAATCTGAATGTCCACGTAGAGAAAATGCATTCAAAACAATATCAACGATTTTCAATGGTGTCAGTAAATGAGTCTAAGCACTGACTGTTAGCCTCCAGGCGACTTCAGCTAGGTAGTCTGCACCACTTTCCATGTAGTTCGAACGAAGGGTTGCAGACCTAGTGGAATGATGCCATATTTCGATTTAATCGTCCATAACTCTTAACCTCATTTTCGGTACACTATTATGCTTGTTAGAGAAGGTATTGGCTTGGTATTGACTTGCATACGTCTTAGTCGTCTCAGTCAATGCGGCTTCCTATTTCAATCTGTCAGCGTTTCTTCCTTACTTAACACTCTACACGTAACCTCAATACTTCTCATCATAATATGATATATAATACTATAAGTCCAGTTAACCGTAGAGTCTTATCACGGCTTGTATTTACATTTTAACTTCAATTATCCGCGCATGGATATCAACATCAATCTACTGCCTTACATATATTTGCCAGAAAACATATAAATTGATTAGAATTCGCCTAAAGATTTGAATTAACGTCACATTTCAATATATCTTGATGGTTGCATACTACTATTACTATTAACAAAAGTAGTAACAGTAATATTAGTATAATACTTGGTGAAAATTGTTGTACAGTGGCGAAACATCTCAGTTTCCTCCTAGTTTCCACTACATAATTTAGATATATAACAGATAGATATATAACAGGGAGGGGGAAACAGTGACTACGAGGACGATAGAGAATGACTCATTTTACTGCTTAAACAAAACTTCAAATCAATATCTTTTATGTCTTCATTTTGAGTGGAACGCAAACAGAAAGCGACAAGTTTAGCGTCTGAGCGTCTGACATGGTGAAGATTATATTGGGAGAGGAAATTGAAGCTTTTGGGCAGTCATGGAACCAGGTGAAAATGAACTCAGAAAACACAGTGAAATGGAAATGTTTTACCCTGTTTTACACTCGAAGTAGAAAGGAAGAATATTAAAAATCATAATAGTCATCTCCAGACTGCTTATTCATATTGGAAATATGCCTCTGATATATACCTGGACTGAACAGATATGTTCCATTTCGCCTCATCACTCATCGGTGATTCAGTAATTGGATACTCACCAGCCCTGTCAAGAGATTCGGGTTTGATTATCGCCCGAGTCACTCCTAAATCTTGCCTTGTTTACCAGCCGATAGAAACGTTAGTAAAGAAGACGGCAGGGTTGGGAGATAATTACCGAAATTGTAAAGGAAACAAACTCACCTCTAATGAAACTTCAAGGAATGAAGCCTAAACGTTCCACCCGCAACGTGAGAAGCGTTTCGTTCCATAGACCCGAAATCACAAAATTGAATGAACAATTTTAAATTATTTCCGTTGCTGAAGAGATGCTATTTGTCGGAAACGCTTTTGCGGCTGAAAATATGGGCACTAGGTTCGTATTTCAGTGGTAAAACCATTTTGATTCGCTGAAGACTAATGTTTATCCAGCTGACCGGCCCCAAATATGCCAAAACTTAGCTTACCGTCTCTAGTCACAATAACAATCCGCGTGACAAGACGGAGATCATATTGAGAGGAAATTAAAAAATAAAAAACTTGTGAGAAGTCATGCAGTCAGCTAAAAAAGATCAAACAGAACAGAGAAAGGTGGTAGTGTGCCACTAAAAACCCTATATTCCACTCGGAAATCAAAGAATGAACAATAATAATCAATAGTTATAGTTGAACCGACAAGAAGACTCTAGAATATCTGGAATTCGTGCGTGGATGATTTATGTTTAATGTCACACAAACTCGAAGACTTACGAACAGGTGAAAACCGACAGACTGGCTGAAGAAGCAAGTGAAGACATTACTCTAGGTGAACAAAGAGAAAATGGAGGTGATGAAGACAGGCAATAGCAGCAACAACAACAGTAACCAGCACCAATCACCATCAACAAGAGAGGTTTGACAGAGGTTACTTCCTTCCTCCACTTATCTAGAAAGCGTTGTTTCAACCGCAGGCAATTGGAACTGATGAGGATGCAAAAGCCTGCACTCCGTGGCACAAGGTACAAGATTCGGATTATATTCAACACAAATGTGAACTCAGCCAGTCGGTTTTTTTATACGGGTGAGAACGTTGACCAGCGTATCACGGAAATGATTTTCAATAGCCTGTTAAAGACTTTTATCAACAGCTGCCTTAGCTGGCGCCATAATGAAGATCGGACAGGCAGCTGGTTGGCCAGAAAGAATTAACAATGAGAAGCTCTGCAATGGAACAAACCAACAGGGGAGAGCCGATCGCTCAACAGATATGTAGGAGAAAATGGAGATGGATTGGTCTGACGTACATTGAGGTGGTCATCGAATGACATCGCACACCACTCAGACCATTGCTTGAGTGAAATTCCAGTGGGAACTGACGAATATGTCGTTGGTGCGAGGGCGACATGGATGTGGTCGTCGCTACTAAAACTTCAACGCCTGGAGAGCTTGATATCCAATATTACACTAGGAACAGGAAAAGGGATTCCACTTCAAGAACACAACATCACTGCCATGTGTTCCACAACATGAAAATTCACTACTAGTATGTATCCCTTGGAAAACTTTCTAATACTTGGTATCCGCAGGTATATCCAACAAGTTCCAAGCTCCAAATAGGACTAAATCTGTCTCTTCAATTCTACTGCCTGCCAAACTACTATTCTAAGTGACAAATCCTTCACTAGTTTTTCAAAGTACACACTTTTTTCAACTGAACAGTGAGTGATATTCGATGAAATGTTATCAATATGTAACAAACATTGAAATACTATTAAGTAGAAGGGAAAGAAACGAAAAACAGACATTCAGCCTAAGGGCAAGAAAGGAAATGAAAGCATTGCGCAATAGGATTTCATTTGGCAGAAAGAAACTAAATTCCTTTTGCTTTTTCTCTGTTTGCCCATTATAACAATAATAATAACTCTTTCTCTTCTGAAAATCTTACCTGCATATTGTTTCTCTGCCCTTCTCTTTTTCCTGTCTCTTTTTCATTTTTCATTTTAGACTAAATTTCGTGATGTCTTCTATTTAAAATCATGCCAATACTTTGAGCATTTATTAGCTATTGAATGCTCAAATATATTCAGTGTATTTGTCATGTCTGAGATTAGTCCAGTTCAAGTAAGTTACATAACTCTCTGTGTGTTTGTCTGTATGTCTTTAACGAGATGTGAAGATTTTATGTGATAATCCCCATGTGTTTTTGTCATGTTGGCTTTGGCTTTCTGTTGTTCTTAGTCGATTAAATATGTCAGTCACATGGTTTGAAGAATGTTATTTGCGCTGAAATAATAACTGTAAGCTAACTAACTTTCTCATTGTTAACAAGTTGAATCCGTGTTTCAATGATAAAATGAATGATTGCTAAGGATAAGTGTGAATGGGGGGTTCGACTTCTGGCTGTCGCAGTAAGGCTGGCATACTTAACTGGTATAACTCAGTTTACAATAAAGAAAGGAGTAGACACAGTATACGCTAGTTACTGACTAGTGTTTCATGAAAAATATCCAACACAGTCCTACAGAAGGTCAATTTATTATCATTATTACTGTTTCCTTTAATTCCTAGAGGAACATAGGGCTTCAGCCGTGCGTCTCCATTGCGTTCGGTTCTCTGCTAGAGTCTTCACCTGGCTCCAAGTCTGCCCACACGCTCTCATCTCCTCTTCACATGACCTCCTCCAAGTCACCCTTTGCACTGACGACCAACTCACCGCTTCCTTTTCGGCCGGGTTCCACTTGAGCGATGGCTTGTCTAGTGATGTCACTTGATGGTTTGTTTCCTCAGAGTATGGCCAGCCAGTCCATCTCCATTTCTTCCTGCCTATTTAATTCACAATCGGTCCCTAGTTGGTTCGCTACCAGAGATCTCTGACCTTTTCTGGCCATCTGATCTTGAGTATTGAGCGAAGACAGCTAGCTGGGAATGAAGGTCTGTAGTTTGTTTGAGATGCTCTATATGACGCGTAGTGCAAGTCTCTGATCCGTATAGTAGTATTGAATTCACATTGAAGTTGAAAATCCGAATCTTATTTTTGATTCTGAGTGCTGTTGACCTCCACACAGACTTGAGAGTAGTGAAAGCTTATCTTGCTTTTCCGATCGATTCTTGCCTTGATATCCTCATCAGTTCCGTCCGCCTGTAGTTGAAACGATGCTTCCCGGGTAGGGTAGGTAAAAGAGGTTGTTTCTGTCAGGTTTCTTCCATTTATGCTGATTGTTGTCTGTTGTTGTTGCTGTTGGTGGTGTTGCCAGGAATCTTCATCACCTCTGTCTTCTCTACGTTCAGCTGAAGTCCTATCTTCTCTGGATGCTTCTCCTGCCAACTTGTTGCCTTCCACTTGCATATCTTCCAGTTTGTGGGAAATCAGACATATATCATCGACGAAGTCCAGATCCTCCAAGTATTTTGTGTGAGTCCATTTTATACGTGTTTCCTCATTTCCCGCCGCTGTCTGTCGCATAATCCAGTCTACTGTAGTCAGGAAAATCACTGGGATAAGTTGTAGACAGTGTAGCTCGTTGGGTCATTGCGATATGCAAGCTCGACCATCACGTCAAGTTAGCAGCTATCGGTCGGGCTACTTTCGATGGTCATGTCTAATCAAAGCCCCACAAATTTTGTTTACTGACGTAGACAAGTAAATTCAATTTCAGTGGATATACATATGCTCTTCTGACTATCACTCACCTTATGTAAGTACAGGACCCTTCTTTCACCTCTTTATATATTCCGTTTTCAAAATAAAACACATTTAGATATATTTAAGATGGACAAATCAATGCTACTGGAATTATTTTGATTGGTTCAATATCCTGAATTATTTATCCGTCTGCTTGCTGAATCCAGTTCAATTTCAAATCTATGTAAATATTAGTATTATAAAACATCTTGGTCCAGCCTTACTTCAGGCTACAAATGAACAACCGACTAGTCAAGAACAACAACAAGAACAGCTGCTAATATTCTTACAGGTAATATTTATTTTCTACAGTTGGTTTGTAATGATTAGATTAATTTTGTTATAAGTTGATCACGGAGTGATATTAGTGAGAGAAGCATTGGAAACCAACCAGGGAGTACTGGACAGCTGTTTCATCCTAGTCTCGGAATCATTGGCAGTACGCACTCAGTGGGATTCGAACCCAGGACCTTCCGGTTACAAGGCAAGGTCGTATAACATTCAGCCTCTGGGACCTATTTCAGTGGCCATCCCATGAATTCTAACTTCTACCAACTCGTGATTTTTGGCGTGACCACCAACCAATGTCATCCGATGCTTGCTAGCATCTGGTTACAGGACGAAGTTGCCTGGAGTTCTATTGAGAAGTCGTGACCAGTGAAGTCCATCCAGTCAAGTGTGAGGACGTATGTCCCACTGATGACATTGGTTGGTGGTCGCGCTAAATCACGAATTGGTAGAAGTTAGAATTCATGGGCTGGCTATTGAATCGGGTCCCAGTGGCTGAATGGTATACGAGCTTGCCTTGTAACCGGAAGGTCCTGGGTTCGAACCCTGGGTGGTGGGTGCGTACTGCCGATAATTCCCAAACTAGGATGATACAGCGGTCCAGTACTCCTTGGTTAGCTTTCAATGGTTCTCTAACTGATATCAATCCGTGATCCACTCGTAATATTTATTTATACTCACAATACGTTTCATGAAACACTTTCAACATGTACTTTTTAGTGGTTTTCGGGCTCCGTAACAGTGTGTCGATACACACTGGACTTCCTGATTTACATTGTTATTTTCATTAAAAATTGTTGGAAACCAGTTAATCTTTCGAAAAGTTATTTAGATGTCGACAGGATTCAACTACATCAACCAATGAATTTCTATTTCTATCCCCCCTTTACGGTCTAAATATGTCTGTTTTTTGTAGGGGTCCTGACGAAACAGCTGTGTCACTGCATTTATCTTTCCCAATAGCTTTTTTCAATCGTTTCCCATTCGTGAAATTATCTATCTTAGAAAATCAATGAAATCTGTGTAAAACTAGATTCGATTCTAAGTTAAGAATGTTATCGAGTGTCCATTTAAAGAAGAATTCGTCTCTAAGATGTATCTTTTGATAACTCGACTTCAAAGTTTTACAGCTATTTAGTAGTTAGTTGACAGCAAATGTTACAAGTGATTGTCAGTTAGCAGTAAGATGGGTCAAAGTGTTTGGGAAATAACAATGTGTGAAAAAATAGTGAGTAATCTTCACATAATCAGGAAATTTGACAGGTAATCAATTAAGTGATGAATAACCTTGTGGAAATAATTAGCAGGAAATGAGACAACATAGGGTTGAAAATGGATTACAAACATATAAAACAAAAGGGCTATATGCAGTTTATTAAGTACAAAGAATTAGGAAAATCGAATAAACTCTAAAGACACGTGAGTAAAAGGAGGTTAGACAGAGTGTTTCTGATGATATTAGATAGTTGGGGGCAATCGGCAACCTAGTGCTAGTTGGCACTCGTCAGCAAGGCGTATCTACAACCTTGAAGGCACTCATGTCTCTTCTGAGATTCGAAGCCGCGTCACTCAGTGCTGCGGTCAGAGACGTTACCACTGAGCTATTCGGGCTAGCGATTGACCTCCTGTAGGACTGTAGTGGGTATTTTCATTGGACACAAGTAACTAATGTGACGTATCTAGTTCTTTCCTCGGTGCAGACTGAATTCTATCAGTTAGGCTTGCAATGTGTTCGCAAAGTGTTTCTGAATATAGAGTCCTATTTTTTGACCATAGAATGTTAAGGCTTTGGTTTAAATGCAGAAGATATAGGCTAAATTCCTTACAAACGGTTTGATCGCAATTTATTTATGCATCAAAAAAGGAGTCTTCGGTAATTCTGCGCTACCGGCAGTCATCATATACCAAAGAGTTCAGCTGTTGACTGTTCTCTGTTTCGAATTATCATGATCATGCTGATAAAAGTATTCATTCGTTGGAGGATTTCATCATCATTAGCTGACGTCAGTTAGAGAACCAGTGGAAAACCACCACTGGAGTACTGAGCAGCTGTTTCGTCGGCCTAGTTTGGGATTCTTCAGCAGCACGCACCTACCACTAGGGTTCGAACCCAGGACCTTCTCTTTACGAGGCTAGCGAGCTCATACACCATTAAGCCATTGGGACTCAATCCAATGGCCAATTCATGAAGTCTAACTCTTGCCAACTCACCACAGAGCACGACGACTTCGCAATGTCTTCTTCGATGAGTAACTGTCCTCACCTTCAACCTTCTGTATCCTGCTGGTCATGGTTTCTCTCTAGAACCCTAGGTAACTGTCCACTTGAATAGGGCCAGTCGCTAGTGGGCATCGAAGACCTGAAAAGTATTCATTGACTAGTCTTTTCTTTAATTTCTAACGTTGATTGATTGGACCGAGGTGGTCGACCTCTGTTGATATGTTGCCTCCTAGGTCACTGAAATAGGCGCCAAGAACTGATAAGTGATATCCACTGCAGAAAATAAAATGACTTTTGAGGTTCGAAAGGTTAAATGGATAAAGCTTTGGCTTTTGAGAGGATTTAGACGCAAAATTTTTGTCTCACATTCGGATGGCGAGTCCCAAACATTGAGGGAAAATGCTCATCTCCTGGATTTCTTTGTTAATTATCAGTCACCAAATAACATTAGCCTAGTTTTATTTTGTTTTAATAAAATCATAAGCGCGCCTTTCAAAAATCTTCTGCTGTTACCAATAGTAATAATTTACATATAGGAGATTACATGGCAAACAGAATATATCTATATGATAAAATGGCGTGTAGGGTGTTTATTTAATTATGAATATTTATTCAAGCTTTACCTAAAAATAAGTGAATAGTAACATTTTAGGACAGGAGGATATATTTATATGTATGTGATGACTCAATGTTTACGTGACCTGCAACCCAAACGTTTGACCCTAAAGTAGATGAAACATCAGGTCACTGAATTTTCATCACTGCATACAAACCTGCCAACCGCATAGTCTCTTTTTGAGCAATAATTAGCAGTAATTTATTTAGTGATGAAAATAACTAACTATATAAAAATATCTGTGAATTCTAGTGATATCGTCTTTAGCATAGAGAAATGAATGCCTATCTTTCTCAGTCAGTTTTCTGTGCTCACTAGCGACTGGCGCTATTCAGGTGAACAGTTACCTGGGGTTCTAGTAGGAAACCATGACCAGTAGGATACAGAAGATTGAAGGTGAGGACAGTTACTCATCGAAGAAGACACTGCGAAGTGATCGCGCTATTTAGTGAATTGTGAGAAGTTAGAATCCAAGGGCTGGTCATTGGATAGCTTCCCAGAGGCTTAATGGTCTACGAGGTAGCTCGCCTTGTAACGAGAAGGCTGTGGGTCTGAACCCTTTGGTGTGGGCGAGTACAGATGAAGAGCCCCAAACTAGACTGACGAAAGTGCTGTTCAGTACTCCAGTGTTGGTTTTCCACTGGTTCTCTAACTGATGTCAGCTCACGATGATGAAATCCTCCAACCAGTCAAACAAAATCCCGACAAACCAATACTTGATTCAGAGGGAATAATAGTTGAGTAACCAGTTATACATCATCATTGTTATGTTGAAGTAACAGTATAGAACAAACCAAAAAAACAAACACCATCCACAATTTAAACATGTTAAGTTAAACAAATTAATGAATGCAACTTGATGAAACGAGAAGGAGAAGATGAGAAGTTTAGAGACTGTATTGTAATATTTGCCCTTTTCCACATCTTATCATCTGGAGCGTTGGTCAAACGTAAGGTTCAGCTTCAAATTTCCACGCCAACTCTACTATCCATTTGTAGGCCAGGAAGACAGGGAAGGTTAGATGTAAGGTCAACAGCTCGACTCCGTGGAAACCAAACTACAACTAATGAAAATTTGAAATTGAAAGCTTGAATCGCTATGTTCTACTCGGAAGGTAGGGAAGTGATAAAAAATATCACCTATAATTCCTATAATTCTCATGTTTTTGATGAAATGATGTTTGGTAATCTACTGAGCTATTCAAATACAAAAGGCTTCATTCAAACGACGCAATGCAGACAGCTGGTTTTAATAGTTTCGAATCGTGGGAAATACCCATCGGGACATTAGGGGGGGGGAAAGAACAAGAATTTCAGCAAAAATATCTTTTTGGCAATTTCATTCTGAAAAGCAGCGGTACAATCGCATTTTTATACATAAGTTTACATGGACACAATTATTATTTATTTAATTCCACATAGTAACGAGGGAGATAATAATTTTCAACTTGAAACGAAAGTTTGAAGGTACGAATATAGATTAAAAGGGGCTTAGAGACAAAATTACATAGGATTAGAAAACAGTTACAACGTATGCAAAATTAATATTTGATAATAATTTCAAAGGCGAATAAAAGGCGACCGTTATTATTTTCAACTTGATATGAATTACAAGAGGCTTAGAAACAAAAATTACGCAGGGATCGAACGAATTACAGGTGTGAACAGAATGAGCATGGAGGCAAACTGAAATAATAATTTTCAACTTGAAATGTAAGTTAGGAGGTGTGAATATAGATAGACTACAAGAGGCATAGAATGATATACTAATGTACTGGACCACGAACTGATTTCAGGTAGAATCATGGAAACCAAGGTGTACTTAACAGTTGTTTCATTCAAGTTTGGGACCGTTCACCAGTACGTTCTACTGATCCCATTAGGGATCGAACGCAAAAGCGTCTGATTAAGAAATCCAATGACCGGCCTATAGCTTCTGACTTCTCTCAGTTCCTGTCAGTGTTATCCGGTGGTTATTTGTCCTCAAACCGTACCCGCTGAATCTTACCAAAACTCCCGGCAACTTTGTCCAATAGTAATAAATTATATGAATATTTAGTATTCAGAATAACTTGGAAACTGTAGAGCTAACCTGTGCAAACCACTGAACAGTTAGACACTAGATTGTAATCAAGGAGTTTAGAACGGAGTATGTGCTATAAAATTGG